GCCTACTGCAGAAGCTAGTTTGCCAATACAATAAAACAGTTCGCGTTCAAAATTTTTACGATTTTTGAATTTAGATTGCAATCCATCTCTTATATTATCTAGAATGGGATCCATATACGGGGTTATATTTGATCCTACCTCGAATGCAATATCACCAATTGAAACCAATATATACGATTTGTCTGATAGGTTGGCACTGCTTGCATTTAAATTCTTTAATACCATTAAAAAATGAACCATTGTTTGATCTAGATATTTATTGGTAAAAATTTGGGGCTCAAATGATGCCAGTAGCGGAAGAATAGCATATACTTCTTTTCTGATAACATCATATTTATGGTCTTTATATTTCATTGTAGAGTGGTATATTTCATCGTATTTTGAGTTTAAAAAGGAACCTCGTAGTACTAACAATTCCCTATAAACCAGTAAAGTCGCATGAATAGCTTCATTTGTATTTAAAGTTAGTCCATAGACACAACCTTTAAATAAACGTTCGTACCACTGCTTTGTTAAAATTGAATCTCTATGTTGGATAATTGATAAACATTTACCTAGGGTTACAGCTGCATCCGATCTGATAACCAATTTTGTATCTCTTAATGCTCTCCAAATATTGTCTAAAATAGAATTAATGTAAGGATATAATAAATATGGAGAATTATTTGCCAATGCTGTTACAATTAATAAAGATGCATGTTTTCTGAATTCTTGCTTCGAACTGGAGGAAGAATTTTCTGGCGAGGTTGTTAGCCATTCAATACATGTTTTAACCTCGAATTCGACAAAATCCGAAGTTAAGGTACCACCAGGGATGGCTAATTTACCTAAGGTAGTTGCCGCTAAACGCATTACTTCAATATCATTGGAAGGGATCAAAACACGAAGATAATTAGCTAATCTTGAAGTTTGATTTGGTAGTTCTTCTGTATGTACATAAAATCCAATCAAAGTATCTACAGCTAAAATACCACCAATTTTTTCATTGACATCAGATCCGTGAATTAACTCGAATATTTTATTATTTAACACATTACTAAATCTTTGGAACTGTTCAGTTGAAACCTCACGCGCTAGAGAAATGAGAGAATTCTTTAATTCGTAGGATGCCTGTAATCGTTCTTGATTAGATGGACTTCTTAGCTTATCAAAAATCACATTAAAGGTTGCAAACGTAGTTTCTAAATCAGCCATGGATGGATCCGATTCACTGAAACCTTTACCATCACCATCGGCACCACTAGCAGCCCTAGTATCATTTCCAGCAGCTGAAGTAACACCATCTACAGCTTCTGCTGTAGATATTTCATCATCAAGATGTATATTCGGATTTAACTTCTTCCTATTATGGCGACGACTTTCTGCTTTCTTCCTAAGGGATAACATCTAGTATAACAGTTTCTTGATCACCTTCAACCAATAATAACTTCTAACCTATACGTAAGTGGGATAAGAATAAGTTCCCAACTCTTGGTTGTTAGTACCCCTTTTATATACCAATTGCTATTCTTAAGAACCTTTCAGTTCCTAGCTGATTAGGTCATTTTAATCAATTTTGAAATTCTGTTATTATTTAGTAACCAGAGATATTATCAAATCATTAACTACGATATGTGACTTTAATTATGATAATGACAGTATTTAGGAATTACCTATAACAAAGGCTGATTTACTCAAGGAACTGTCAATTCTGTCAGTTTATCAGCACTCGATCATAATGATATTATGCTTATTATTTGATTCTTCCACCCATATCTCTTATGTTTATTAGTTTTGGCAGAAACAGCAAAATCTCGTGACACATGAACTAAAGAGTACATGTAATAATAACGACTTCTTTTGAAGGATTGTCGAAGCAACGTGTGTTTGAGGAAAATGGTCTATGAACTTTTAATGTAAAATGTCTTCAACATGATTGTTCAATGAACTTTAGGTTTCGCTCTCTCAACATTTTTTAACAAAATGTTGAAATAGAATTTTGAAAATTCAAAATTCTTAACCATGACATTATCTAAAGACTATCAGACTATAAAATATTACTTTGATTTTATTATAACACTATATCTATACTATACATCAGTATTCATCCTTGCCACTAATGATGACATTATCAATTTTTAAGATCATTCTACATAATTGAGTGGCCAATAAGATTTGTTGTTTCTTACCGATGAATGGATCAACTACAAATAATTCTTTCATATCACTTGTACCTTTACCCAAACAATCAACACCTATAAATGAAGTCTTTTCTTTAATTTGTTTACTCTTTAATGCTGATAATGTTGCGATTGGATCTAGACCTGAGTTTTCTGCTAAAGTCATTGGGACGGTATCAAGGGCTTGTGAGAAAGCACGGAATGCATATTGGTCGATACCTTTTTGTCTGTCTGCTTCTTCAGAAACAGCAATGGACATAGTAATTTCTGCTGCACCACCACCGTATACAACACGAGAGTCTCTAACCAAGTTACGTACAACACATAAAGAATCGTGTAACGCACGCTTAGCTTCATCTACTATCATTTTACTTGAACCACGAATAAAACATGTTACTGTCTTTGATGAGGTACCTTCTTGTTCGATAACCAACATTTTATCCTTTGTGGTACCAAATTCTAACTCATGAATTCTTTTACATGAACCTAATTTATCATTTGATAAATCTTGGAAACGAGGAACTATTCTACCTGATGTAGCAATGGCAATGTGTTCTAATTCTTGTCCACCGACCCATCTCACAGCTGGTAGATCATTTTGTAATAATAAGTGGTTTGCTTCATCATCAAAACCCCATTGGCAGATAACAACATCTGCACCAGCTTCTTTCACGTAGTTTATCATTTCTTTGAATTTATCTTGTTCATAATTTTGTAATTTTTCGTATTCTTCAACGGTAGAAATATCTAACTTATGCTTTGTTTTTGGTTTTGGTGGTTCAAATGGACATGTCAATATGGCTAATTTAACATCTGATTTACCATCCTTTGGAGTAACTTCTTTAGGCATCTGTGGATGAGAGAAATCTTTATCTAAAATAACACCGTTGATCAATTGTGAATCATCTAAAGAACCACCCACTCTACCTTCCATTTTGATCAAGTCGAAATGAACGTCCTTTCTGTTTTTATCCATAACTTGTAAAACTGCATCTACTGCCATTTTAGCAAATTTATCATGATTCTTAGAAACAATTTTAGAACCTAGGGAAGTCTTAGAAGCCTTAAATAGGTAATCATTGAAAAGATCGCTATCAATAGCAACATCGTCAGTGGTACCTTCCAAATGTGCAATAGCCAATTTAGCGGCTTCGTCGAACCCATTGGCAATCTTTATAGGATGAATACCTTTTTCAATCAATTCTAAAGCTTGATCTAACAAGGCACTTGCCAAGACTACAACCCCAGTGGTACCATCACCAATTTCATCATCTTGAGATTTAGATAATTGGACTAACAATTTAGCTACTTCATTATCTAGTTCCATCTGTGATAAGATGGTAGCACCATCATTGGTAATTGTAATATCACCATCTGGTGAAATCAAAATTTTATCTAAACCTCTTGGACCTAATGAAGTTTTAATAATAGAAGCGACTGATCTAGCAGCCAATATATGAGACTTCTTAGCCTCGATACCATGTTGTCTCTTCTTATTACCTTGATCTCTAACAATAATAAAAGGTCTACCCATTTCATCTTGAGCAACAATAGCATTAGACATGTCTGGCATCTCCATAGTCTGTGGTCCCATTTGCGCCATTTTGATCGTTAATATTAGTCGTTTTTTTCCCTAATAATAGTTTCTCCAAGAACAGACAGTCTCAAATCAATCACAAATGCACAGATATACTATAATTCAACTATTCCTTAAGCTCAAATCATCATCATCATCGTCACTTTTAAAACTTTCAATCTTCTTAAACCTTTCCAATTTCTCATCGGCTTTTCGCTTTGTTTGCCACCTCTTAAAAACTTGATCACACTGAACGATATAATAACACACAGGCTATAGATTACATACCTATACATACATCGTAACTCTTACCATACAGCAGGTATAAGCAAGATGCTGGATCATCTATACGTGTCAGATTGTCCTTATTATCGATATTAATGGGATCCCAAACTCAGATATCGGTCAGCCAATGATAGATGTACCTATATATATATATATATATATATATATAATTATTTCTACTTGCAATGCCTTTAACTGGCATCACTGTCATCTAATTTGGTTCTTAACAGAGAACTCCTCCGGTTGCATATTTCAACACAATGCAATATCTGACAGCTGTATTATTCTTCAATATTTTATGGTCATAAAGTGAGTCGATGCATCTTGATTTGATCGCAAACTATCGCAGATATCTTGGATATTTTTCCCACCCAGATTCGATTACAGTGAGTAGCCATGCCATGCTTATAGAAGGATCATTTTGTTCTTCATATCGACATTGCCAATGGAAATGATTGAGTTGCGGTTTGAAAGTTTGTTCTTGTCATTTACAGATGCTCTTGGTGTCCCATTTAAATAGGTATATTATATTTTCTTGGTGGAACGAATGTCCCTAATAAATTTTATCAGAGATTCTTATTCCCAATTCTTCCAATTGCTAGTTATTCTATCCCAGATTAATGATCCCTATCAACTAACGAAATATGTATATCATCAACATCGTTATCGATTTTTTACTGTCCCTTACTCCCATATCTTTCTAGTATCTGTACTATTTGGGTTTCAATCAGGTTAGGCTTTAATCCTGAATTAGAGATACTATCTCCTGAGTATTATAACAAGATTGATAAAGGGACTGGAAACAACCAAGATAAACATTTCCTAGAAAGCTATAGAACGATCTTTTATTATGGCTCATGAAGTTTCAGTAACCGACAGGTTGGTTTATTTGAATTGGCAATCGACTTAAATATGGAACACCACTAATTTACCAACCAAATCTCTCTCTTGTCCCTTTCTTGGACTGACGTATCTTCTCATTTCTACTCTCTAATACCTCTTTGTTCTTTTCTGCATTTCTAATCAAAGAACTCAATTGATTTCTTGTATCATAAACGTTTGTTATCTTAGCAACATCAGGATCTAGTCCTTTATAACTAAACATATCCCCAGTATTCAACTCTGTACTATCATCTTGCACATTTGTATCCTCCTTCTTATCAAGTTTGTTTCTTCCATTCGATCTGTTTGCAATATCATCATCACCTCTAGCATTTAGAACAGTAGCTTTAAATTGGATATCAGCAGAAGCCCAATCTTCTCGGTTATATCCTTTACCAAAAACAGAATCACACATAACACCAGTTCTTGTTCTAGATCGGTTAGCTAGCTGTCTTCTAATTGCTACTATTACACACTCTTGTTGACAGGATTATTCAAATATTAAAGATATTTATTTATATTAGGATACTTTTACCGGAACTTGAATTTAAGAGATGATGACAGGTTGGTCTGTTAAGTAAAATAACAAGCAATATCATAAAAATACCATAAAATTCGTTGCATATATATAAACATAGGTATGTATACATAGATATACATAGATATACATATATATAAATATATTAATTAATTAAATATGACTTGTTCATTATGAAGTGAGTCAAAATAGATGCTATAGTAATGAAATAAAATTATGTTTGACATGGTGTCAATAAAAAAAATTCAAAAGTTAATAATGTGTTCATCAACAATGCTATGCTGGTAATGAGGATATAATTTCTGTATCTGTATTTGTATTTGTATCTAAGTTAGAATCTTGATGAAACTTATTTATTAGAATCCTTTGCTTGTTCATCTAGTAGTATTGGATCTTTCTTGAAAATTTTGTAGACTGAACTTCTATTATTATGATATAAATTCATACCAAAATCATTCAAAGTAAAAGTTTTATTACCTACGAGTCGGTCTGGGATGTCAAATAGTTCAAGGCTTCTTGATGACACACTTTCAGTTAGTTTCCATAGTTTTCTAAGAACTTCTTGGGAAGCTTCTCTACGAATGTCAGATAAAGTTTCATCAGAAAAATCTCTAGATAACATATCCCATAGTTTTCTTTCATGAGAGAACAATAGAGGGTCCTTACCTGGTGCATTTAATCTAGGAGCAACTTCGTTTCTCATAATGTTCAGATATTCACGCTTTTCATTCAATTTCAGTTTTGCATCGTATTGAATTTCAAGTTCTTTAACTCTGAATGAACTGGCACTGTAAGACATGTATAAAATACTGACCAAATCTTCATAGCCGGCCTTTACTAAGTTATAGTAAAAGGTTTTTACATCTGTCAATTTCATTCTTTTTATTGGAGAACTCAACTTCCTTAAATTTGGATACCATGAATATATACTACCACATTTCTTTAAAATGTCAGTTCTAAACCATGCCTTAAACTCTGGAACATATGCTTTGTTTTGATAACCCACATAACCATATTCATCAGGAACTCTATATTCATTATTCAGTATTCTGATAAAATTATTAGGGACAAAAGTAGTGACACCATGGAAGATAGTAGTTCTTAATGGTGACAGTAATTCTAAAGTCGAAAAATGATGATTTCTACAGTTGTAAATTTTCAAATAATCATTCAAAGAATAACGTTGACGAGCTGATAATTTTTTTTCAATACTATTGCCACTGGCAATTGAACGTTCGTTTTTGGCCATTTCATCAATTTTATCAATAATTCTTTTATCAAATCCATTGGATTTTTCATGTGCATATGTTTGCAGTTCATATATACCTAATGAAGCCAAACCTTTTTCTGGGGCTTGAATGTCCAATAAAGTCTTATTCAATTCAATATCTTTAGTGATATTTGATTGAAGCTTCTTGATATAATCTTCCATGTAATGTTTTACAGGTGCCGAAGTCGAAGCCAAACCAGTAATATCGATATATAACCCAGAATCAATATCAACGAATCTAGCATCGATATTGTTTTTACCATTACCATTTGTTCTTACTGTGATTGAGCTACCTATATCGACCAAATATCTACCGTTACCTTCTCTTGGGTCTTCTAACACCAATGTTTGGTTGAAATATTGAGCTAATAAATGCAAATGTTTAATTGGCATTTGTAGATCATAATCATTATCCCAAGGGAAACTGAGACCATCATATAGGTAACCATAAACAGTACCATGAGCTAACCAGGAGATTATACCATTTGCCTTAGTGAATTTTTGAAAGGTTCTAATCATTGCATTTAAACGTTGGAAATATTCTTGGGAATCATCTGGTAGGTCACCATTGAAGAACCTCTTATCACGATGCCAACCTTTACCAGCAAAACTTTTAACGTGATTTGGTTCAGAGAAATATTTTGTAACAAAGACAGGATGCGTATTAAATGAAAATTTCAAACTTTCCAAATATGATTTGTCATGTACATCTAGAGAAGTTTCTGACTCTTCTAATTCTTTGATTTTAGCAACAACATCAAAACGGAAGTCATCTTCATTCAAGTAGACGAAATCGGAATGGAAAGCTGAACGATTACCGCCAATAACATCAACCTCATGATCTTTAGCAAAATCTGATTCGACAAATTTATCAAAAATTGGGTTATGATCAAAGACGTAATCGAATGAACTTTGATTGTTTCTAAAGTCTGGAGTCTCTTCAACTTTCTTTGATTTGAATAGATAATTTGAAGCTTCATCATCTAATTTTGGTGAATGTCTCTCTAAGAAATCATGCAATAGTCCAGATTGAATGATATTTTTAGAGGCTTCTCTTTGTTCAACAGGAATTCTGTAAGATGATTTATCACTGTTTAAAATAGTCATGGACAATGGATGAACCAACGAGGTCATAATATGGTTTCTGGCTTGGATCTGATAAACTTCTGGTCTAACCTTGTCATATAAAGTAGTTACTTTAAATGGACTTTTAAAATCATGATCCTCTGGTCTTTGCAAAGCTAAATTATCTTTACAATAATCATGTAAACTTCCAAAAACGCTAGTGTCACCGACTTTTCTTTCCTTCCTATACCATAACGGTTCATTATATTTTATTCTATCTTTTATAAATAAGAATTCACCCAATTCATCTTCTAGATTAGTTAGTTTCTCTAATTCAAAAGCAGAATCAAAAACGAAATGGCAAGGTATTTTAGTCTTTTTAGCAGCTAATAATTTATTGAAATCATGAGATTCAGCCCAATCATACCAAGCAAATGGTACTTTTGAATTTTTATGTGAAGTCTTCGAATTCATAAAATGGTCCAAATATACTGACCAAATTAATCTTGGGTCATTCTCATAAAAATTCAATTGGTTTATTGAATCGACCCTGGTACCACGGTCAGTACCCATTCTTATGGTTAATAAATCTTTTTGTAATTCATAAGTATCGAACCAACTATAAGAAGAATCGTATTTCAATTTCTTATACAATAATTTACCTAACTGAATATCACTTAATGGTTCGGAGCTGTCACTATAAAGAGCGTTTAAGAACGATAGTGGATCACTCATTAGATTTGACATTGAAGTTCTCTGTTGATGCTCTAAACTTTGTACATGTTGAGGTAAATAATTGATGCCATTATTTAATGAAGCACTACGGCTATTGGTTGACTTATTATTACTGTCATTATCATTTGATGGTAATATCGAGAAAACAATTTTAAATATTATAAATGATGAGATCAACGATAGAATTAATCTTAAGTATCCTCTGCCGACAAAAGGATCAAGCATACGTCTTGGTGACCTGCTATACCTCTTCATCATTATAACTAAAATATGAGTATACGTATGCGATGAAGGGTTAGTTGTTAATGAATATATTAAGAATAAGAATAGCCAACGATAAGAATAAAAGTTAAACAAAGGAAAGAACCAGTTGAGTATTCTCGAATATACTCATCTAGATGCATGGTTGTATAGTCAGTGATATTTATATATCTTTTGATTATATGATAAATAGGTGAGATGCAGTAATTTTTGAAGTATTATCATCAGTGAGGAAGTACCAAATTAGCATTATAATTAGAAATTAAAGTAAAAGTAAGAAATATACCAACAACAAACAGTTTAAAGCATCATTAATAAAATAGTTATGCTGTAGTGGTTAGCATATGTATCATTCTTGATACGTTGATACTTTTCAGTCTCTCTGAACTGAAAAAGGAAGGAAACTAAGCAAGTTGCAGTAAAATCGTCATTTCGAAATAGATACAATTGTTTATTAATATGGTAGGAAACAGTAGGAAGAGGATGGATCGTCTTTGGGATATCCAAGTGTTAATTTTCGAATCGAGGGAAGATATGAACACATATCCATCCATCTCTCTCTATATATCTCTGTCTCTCTTTTTTTTTCCTACCCAGAGAGTGGCATCTACAACCTCATTTTGAAGTTCTGTATAACACTGGTAAAAGAAGCAGATAACTGCCTTCTTTAGCAGAACAAGATCCTAATAAGACCACTGAGCCCTCGAAAGAGTATATAAAGCTACAGGAAATCGATAACCTAATACGCAGAAAGAGAAACCAAAACCTCAATAGGATAGTGAAAGTGGGAGGGTTAAGAGCCAAACAGTCAAATCCAGTATCCTTTCGAACTAGTTATATTAAGAAATGATATGAAAAGAAAAAATTTTCATTTCTTGTTCTTGCTAAACCTAAGTACTAGTTTGAATAGAACTTACCAAGAAAGCCAAGAAACAGTCTGGGCAAAAAGAACATCAGTTATAGAAATATGGCAACAAGAAGGGCAAAACCCACTTGGTGAATTAGTTAACTGATCTTCAATTTCTTGTCGAGGTGCACTCATTCTCTCTGGGTCAGTAGCTTTAAAAGTACCAAGTTTAAGCCAGCTGATGATGACAAGTCAAATATATATATATATCTATCTCTACCTAGCTGCTAATTGTAGCAGTTGGCTGTAAAAATTCTTGGGAAGCGGATAGGTTGTAGTTGGGATACCGTTTTCTACTTGATATTATCTTGAAGTTGATATTGGTTGTATCCGTTCAGTTAGCTATATATTTAGTGGATGGGTACATCCGAAATGGTACTCTTACATTTGATGTTCAACTTCCAGTGAAGAAGAAAGGCTTACTATTCACCCTCTTCATCATCCATATCGACAACCGTATCTCCATCCGTGATAAGTTTTCCACAGGGAAGAGAAGAGAATAGCATTAGTCTTCTGGTTGACAGAGTTGGTATCAGACAAGAAGTGGAATTAGGTTTAAGGAATTCCTATCTGATAGTGGGTGGGATACGGTAGGATCGAGGTTGGTGGGGGATTAGAATTAAAAGTGTAATTTAGAGGTAGAGGCAGAGGTAGAGACAGAGAGAGCAACGTAGCGATATGGATATATTTATATATATATATTTATATATATATAAATATTGTATCGTTAGCTTATTTGCCAAGGAAGAAGCTAAGGTTTCCCGTTATTATAGGTAACTTTTAGTTAGATTTTGGGTGGCTAGGTATCAATCTCTCTAATAACTAACTTTCCTCTTGATACTTGCTTGATTCGTATACTTGACTAGAAGACAATGCAAACCTAGTTATTTACTTTTCTATTTTTATAACAACCTTTGGCTCTGCTTATCGCTAAAAGAAGGTATAGATATTCTATTCAGACTACGTTTTTAGTATTAAAATCTAACTGATTTAATTGTACATACATTTAGATGGGAGGGTTTCTACCGTAACTTTGCTATTATATAAAGATTTAGAATTAAGTGAATACATAAAGGAAAAAAAAACAAAAGACAACAAACATCATTTTAGATGCATTGGATCGATCCTCTCTTGGCTGATTGAGTGGGTACGTTAGTTGCTAGAAGTAGTATTGATTTCTGAGGAAGTTCTATCTTGCTTGGCTATAATCTAATTTAATATAAATTAATTTAATTTAGTTTCTTTTTTGTTGACATGAGAATGAGATTGGGTTAGCAACAATGTGAAAAAGTGCAGACAGCACTCAAGCTACATAATAAAACTCTTCAACTCTTGGTAGTTCAAACCTTCCTTTGTATAGGCGTTGCCTTGGGAAAGGTCAAACATGAAAGGGAGTTTCTGCATATTTCATGTTTTTCAGGGAAAAGGGTGCATGCATGTGTGTGTGTGCCTACAATTGCATTTGAATTTGTATTACTTTATATTTATTTTTGGTATCTCTTAATTTTTTTAGTTATTTTTTAAAGTTTGAAATTTATTATTGTTGTTATTGTTATCACCAAGTCTCTTCGCCTCATTTATCTTCGAATTCTTTGACTTTGGTCTTCAAGACCTCGATCTCTTTGTAAGCATTGCCAAGTTCTTCTTGTAATTTTTCATTGGCACTTGTCAATTGTGAGGCGTTTTGTTCACTTAATAATTTCTGCAAAGTCCACTTTTCGATATTTGCATTTTCTGTTTCTTTTAGTTTTTGAATATATTCTGCAGCTCTTGATAAAATTGCGGCCTTGCTACTCTCTTTGACAGGCAACAAATCACTTAATTTATTAATAGCCATGTTGATATTCTCACGACGTCTACGTTCGACTTCCTTGTGGGAGTCCTTGCGCTGTTGTTTCCATTCAGCGGATCCAGTAGCTGGGGTAGCTTTCTTGGCTCTTCTCACCAGAGCAGAGACACTATTTCCTCCCGTATCTGAACCGTTGCCGGACTCATCTGCATTAGCCTCGTCACCTTCGTTTTGGCTAGCAATGTCATTGTTATGATCGTGATCGTGATCGTGATCATGTTCAGCTTGGTGCTGTTCTTCCTCTTCTTGTTCTCTATTTGATCTGGTCTCATCGTCATCGTTAGAACCAAGATTTTTCTCATCCCCAGCCTCTTCGGATTTGTGACGACGTTTGTTATTACCGCCACGGCCCTCGGCATCATCCTCTTCTTCTTCAGCGTCACCATCACCATCTTCTGGAACATGGTCTGGATCTTTGTCCTCGTCGTCGTCGATATCCTCGTGAGAACGATTGTGTTTTCTGACATCTTCCTCATCGTCGTCATCATAATTTGAATTAGTATTGGCCTCGGTGGCAGCGGTGGCAGCAGCAGCCACAGCAGCAGCAACTGCGGTGCCATCGTTGTTGTTTTCATTCAACAAAGCCTCATCGATATTACCTTCGTCCATTATTTCTTGTTTATGGCGTTTCACATTAGCATCGTCGAACTCACGGTGTCTTTTCTGCATCTTGTCTAAAAATTGGGTAATTGGGTAATTGAGTAAATATATATATATATGTGTGTGTGTGTGTGGGGGAATAGTGTAGTTGTAACAGTGGCTTGTCTAGTGGTTTGGATGTAGACAAATAGTTAAATGGTATGTCTTTTGTATGTATGTGTTCAGCTGACCAACTCAGGATAGGTATGGTTTAAAAAAGAGTTCCAAACGTGATATCCACGTGGAAATCAGAAACATGAAAGATCAAACTTGTGAAAACTTTGAGCTTTTATATGAAGTTGACGACCCATCGTGATACATTTGTTATTTGTCATTTGTCACTCTAGTAGTTGTTGATGGTGTTGATGTTGTTGTTGGGAATATCACGAGAAGGACAAGAGAGCATAGCATAGCATAGCATAGCATAGCTTAATGTACTGTACTGTAATGTAAAATGTCAAAGAGCAGTGGGTATCGTTGAGCGCGTGACAACGTTGTGAGTGAGTGGTGGTTGGTTGGTGCGCGTGTTTGTCTCTGTGTCCGTGTTGCTTTTTGTTGTTTTGTTATTTTTTGGGTGAGAAAAAACGTGACAGAATTGGTTTTTGCTGTTTTGGGCCAGTTTTCGTTTCTTTTCGTTTGTTTTTGTTTTGCCTAACTGGGGAATACGTGCAGACGGAACAGGTGAGCGCATGTGGTGTACGGCTGTTTGATGTTGGTACCGTGCGTGGCCATGTGATTGGGTATCACGTGGTGTATTGTTGTTGGTGGAACGAGAATTAAAATGCAATCGGCACGTGATTGCGATTGTGGGTGGAAGAGGACATCTTGTCGGGTTATTGGTAGCGCTGTTACTCTCTTCTCTCGTTCGCTCTCTCGCTCTCTTGTTTCTTTATACCTTTCAACGAACAGAGGAGCAATGCCCCATCTTAAAATTTATATACACTTTTTGATAATTTATTTCACTTATAACTAACCTTTATCCATATGATATACATGTATATTTGAACATGTACTATCTGTTTAAATACTCTATATTACTAATCTCAATTGTTCAGCTCCAATACAGCCTCATCTCAACACTCCACCTTCCCCCATATGAGAGACTCACAGCTCACTTTTTGCACTGTATGTGCTTCAAACAATAATAGATCTATGGAATCTCACAAAGTACTACAAGAGGCTGGCTATAATGTAAATTCTTACGGTACCGGTTCAGCTGTAAGGTTGCCTGGCTTGTCCATTGACAAACCAAACGTATACCCCTTCGGCACCCCATATAACGATATATATAATGACTTGCTATCACAGTCGGCAGACCGTTATAAATCAAATGGGTTACTACAAATGCTAGATAGAAATAGAAGAATTAAAAAATCTCCAGAAAAATGGCATGAAAATTTTAAAATATTCGATATCATATTCACTTGTGAAGAAAGATGTTTCGATTCTGTAATAGAAGATCTCATGTCAAGAGGTGGTAAACAAAATAAACTAGTCCATGTAATAAACATCGATATTAAAGATGATAATGAAAACGCAAAAACTGGTTCAAAGGCAATCTTAAAATTAGCAGACCTGTTGAACGACTACTTCAATGAAAATAATTCAAACATACTTCTCGAAGATCATATAATAAATATTTTAGAAAATTGGCAATCTTCATATCCAAATTTACCTTGTCTTTACTCACCTGCATATTATTAAATAATTTTATATACTTTAAATTAATTAATACAAGTCATACGCAAAACTCCTCAAGAAATGTTTGGACCTTCTCCTTCCACCCTCGTCTATAGTATTTGTGATCCATCAACCCAAACATTAATGGTATTACGATCATCTCCATTGAAAAACCATTTACTAATAATTTCCTCCATGGTAAAACTATCATTATTCTCAGATGGAACTTGCCAATGAAATATATCTACAGGATCGTATTCAGAATTGATATTAATCAATTGGGAGTCAAATTTTTTACCAACGTCAAATGTTCCTAATTTATCACCCATGTTTAACACATTGGCACCACCTTGTGTCCCTAAATACAGAGCATCAACTACAGATAATTTCATATGATCTTTATCAACCTCATCCTCGAATTTCATAGATAAATGTCTGGACACCAAATGGGCTTGTCTAGCTGTTACTAAGATGCTAGAAGAAAACCCACCTGAAACGTCAGTACCCAACCCAACATTGACTCCCTCGTCAATAAGTTTTCTAACATGACATTCTCCAGATGATAACGATGTATTGGCAATTGGACAATGGGCTACCCCAGCACCAGCAGTTTTAATTAGTTCGATCTCAGGGTTACTTAGATGCACACAATGTGCTAAAATAGTTTTGTTTGTCAATAGTCCATATTTATAGTAAACGTCTGTGTAAGAAGAGCAATCTGGGAAAAGCTCCTTAACCCAGTCAATTTCTTTTAAATTTTCAGATAAATGCGTTTGGATGTGTAAGTTATCGTAACTTTGAGCCAATTTTGATAATCCCTTCATTAATTCGCAAGAACAAGTTGGTGCAAACCTTGGTGTTAGAATAGGTAAAATTTTTGGATCCTTCAAAGTATTACGAATGTATGCAATAACTTCATCACTTGATTCCAAAGATTCATGGGTAGATTCCTGATATGTATCAGGGCTGTTTCTATCCATGCAGACTTTCCCGATTAAAGCTCTCTGACCTCTTTCAGAACATATTTTGGCCATCAATTTCGTTGATTCAGGATCAATTGTTGTATAATATGCGGCGGTAGTAGTACCATTGGATAATGTCCTTTCTACTACTTTGGTATAGACTTTGTGAGCTATTGATAAATCTTTTAGCGATGCCTCAAGTGGGAATGTATACTTTGTTAGCCAATCTAACAGAGTAGTATTTCCAAATATACCTGAGTTGGGGTACTGAGATGCATGGATATGGGTGTCGATAAATCCAGGAAAGAAGAAAGTACTGTATTCCTTTTCACACTGTTTATTTATAAACTCCACATTATCATTGATATTAATATCAGGATTGTATTCTAATAAAGCAATATCAGGAGACTCACAATTTTCCTTTATAAATACTATAGTACCATTTTCATTTACACCAACTGCAGTATGTTGTCTAACTCTTAATTTTCCAATGAAAGGAGTATCAATGAACGTCCCATAAAACACTTTGATCTTAGCCCCAATCAAATGCTCCTCAACAGTCTCCTCCATAAGCAATGCAATGTTTTAAATTTATATGTATAGCTAAAATTATTTTTTTTTTCAACCTTATCAAATTCTATTTACAGTAAAAGGTATTCCATTAAAAATGTCCTTGTAAAGATGGTTTAATATAACTCAGTTGTGGAGATATAACAAAGCACAACCAGTAAACACGTTTTACCAATCTCTCTTAAACATTCTGTCATTAAAAACCTATGTAATACCAAAACCACCTGTCAAATTTAATAAATTAGTTTCGATTTCTTTTTCATCGTTTAAACAGTTACCTTCATTAGGGGAATTCCAGAACAAGTAGTATTCTCGATCCATCTATGACGTATTTCGAAATACTATAACACAATAAAAAGTTGATGTAAAAATTAACATAACACAATTGTATGTTATTTGTAAGAATGCTGACGCTGACAGATTTGGTTTAGATGTGTTAAAGTTTGAGTAATCATTTAGTAGATTTTGGTTTATATTTAAATTCAGGACAGTGGCACTTATATTTCCTAATTGTGGGGTTCGAGGAAGAGCACAAGAATCGTCGAAATAGGGAGATCAGGATAATAGTTATTCAAAATGGTTAAGACGATATTATGTTTGGCATTGTTCGTATCTATTGCATCTCTGGGGTATGGAGATGTAGATTTTGCCAAGAATTTTGTTTCTAAATCTCAAGATACTTTTCAAACTAGATTCTTGGAAATAGGTGCTTTGGGAATTTCTGGGAGAAATTTATTGCAATTATTTAAAGTTAGTTTAGTAGATGTTATAAGACCAAATGTGCGTATTCCTGAGGCCAGGGTCTCTAATTATTATGATAGGGTCCATGACTATTTGTTTAGGGGTGCGTTGTCTTTACCCGAAGTGTGTGATCCTGATAAATCTGTCGTTGCCCAACTAACGAGAAATGTGTCACCAATAAATATACATTCACATAATGATTACTGGAGAGATCTGCCATTATTCGAGGCTATTGCTCATGGGGCTACCAGTGTTGAGGCCGATGTATGGCTAGTTCCTAATCAAAATAAGTTACAATCAAATGGGTTTGCTCTAGCGGTTGGTCATGATGAAAATTATTTGGGCCCAGTCCATCGTACTTTGGATAAATTATATACAGATCCTTTGTTGTATATGCTGAATGAAGTTAATTGTAACAAAAGAGTTAAAAAATCTAACCGTTATGGTCTTTTTTATGATTCTCCAGACACTACAATTTATCAATTCATTGATTTTAAATCATCCGACAGTGTCCTTACTTATAAATTGTTGATGGAAGTCTATTTCAAAAAATTAATTGAAAAAGATTTCATTACCAAATATAACCTTGAAACCAAACAATTGGAATGGAGGCCAATTACTATTATACTAACAGGCAATTATCCAACCGATATGAATATTATTGATAATAATGGGAAAGGATACTTTAATGACACTAAGCGATATGTATTTCAAGATGCATCACTACATGATATCAAGACATATGACAATAGTGATAATAAATCACTAATTGCATCAACATCTTTTAATAAATTGTTAAATGAATGCAATATTTCAAGGGTGAAGTTTAATTTAAAGAGGAAGTTCGAAGACAATGAAATGAACTGTTTAACATCACTAATTGAGACAGCACATTCAAAGAACCTACAGACTAGAATATGGGGAGGTCCCGAATGGCCAGTTGCATTCGCTAAACAGGTTTGGGACATCGAATTAAGTCAACTAAACGTCGATTATCTAAATGTTGATGACCTTGCAGAAGCTATGAAGTTTTAAATCCCACATATATACATTTATAAATGACAAGAATATAATCATATCAACTAATAACACTTACAAATAATATTCATTGTTCATTGTGCATCACATCGTCTGATGTAGATATAAAATGAAGAAATAAATAAGGATTACTATCTCGATAGTGAATAGACAAAATATTCACTATCGGAATAGAAGAAAATAAATCAAAAATTATAAGACCCGCCCGTTCCTATCAAGAACCTTCAAAATACATGCACCATTAGATATCATCTTGTCATCCAAACGAATTTAAATAACATGTCACAAAGAAATGATACATACCAGATAAAGATAGCCTTACATCATTAAACCTTCTCTCAAGTTACCATAGACAATGCTCATCCGAAGACAAGTACAGTCCACAATGCTTGAGGAATCAATAATAGAAGGTAAATTTACCATAATTGGAAGAACCATTTCAATATGCAAAGAATCAATTTAGGTACAATTTGAAGGGCCCCAACTCCCCCAGCACTGATTTGTACTCAGTGCCATACTTCTCCAGGCAGAAGAAAAAAGGACCTCAATAAAGATTCAAATATCTTCTTGAAATTCCATCAAGTTGCTCACTCCAAATAAATGGAACAAACAACAAGAATAAAAACTACAAAAAAATACGATCCTAAATTGAGATGAGGGAACGAAACGTCGGCAAATACACCTTTCGCTACAGTTTGTGCGTGAATCTGCTAGAGAACTTACATCAAAAATAACAGAACCTAACCCTCCAAACTAAACGTAAGTTAAGATAAGTTCTGGTAAATGCCTAGCATCTCTATCGTAATTAAAAATTACATGAAAGCGCATATCCGGCCAATGGGACTTAGTGATCTCCCCTGACATCTTAAGGTAAGTATGGGGATTTTAAGAAAAAGGTTTTTTAAAAAAAGAAGTAACTTAAAACATCAAAAAGTTATTTAAAAGAGTTATAAAAGCTTTATTATTTCTCATCACTATCACGTATTTATATGTCGACGTTTTTTTTTTTGGATGTCGAATTTAAAAAAAAGTGAAAATATGGTAGGTTACCCGGCTTCTTAGGCCAATTGTAGTGAGGGTAATCTTGGATATTTGGATGACAATATACTTAAATGAAGGTGCTCTATGTATACATGTATTACAGATATTAACGTCTATATATCTATCAATGATGCTTTCGCTATGCGGTAGACGTTTGTGCCTACATTTCTTATCAAGACGTAGTTTTGCTTTGAAGTTTCTAATGAAGAAGAGTCGACAAAGCCATTTGCGACGCCTCTACCTTGACCTTGATGATAAGTTCCGCTTGTGACAAACCCTATTAGATGGTTTATATCAGGCTTTGGATGTTCTATCTCGTGGTCTCTCTTACCATCGGATCTATATATACCATTTGCGACTTGGAGCCAATGCTTATAATGTTCTTTTGGTATATGATAAATTCTAGCATAATCCGCAGGATGACCTTTTTCCAGAAATGTGCATGAGATTGGTGTTACTTTCAATGGAGTTTCTATAATTGATAATTGTATTGGTGCTTTGTTGAGGTCCAATGGATACTTTTCAGGCTTTGATGACAAAATAACAGGAACTAATTCGTTATTTTCTTTTTTGGCTTGTGAGTCTTTATATAATTCGATGATATCGTTTAATACATTGAGATTTCTCAAGCTTGTCTTTTCATCAAAGGAACTTGTTCTAGAGGATGATACCATTGTTAATTTACCCTCTTTTTGGAGTAAGTAGTTAATACCATTACGTAAGATTCTTAAAAATTCCCAATCACAACTAAAGTAATCACCAATTTCACCTTTTACTGATGGTAAATCCATGGCATGAATATTTTTAACTTTAGTGTAATTCAGCCTTTTTCCAATTGGTTTACGTTCCCATTTTTTAGAATTTGAATCTCTTTTAAAAATCGAATTTTCTAAATGGCCAGCTTTGGTGAATGGGAAATCATCTGGGAAGTATAATTGCTGGTTTTCGTAGTTCAACTGCTGCAATTGTCTCAATCCAATGTGATAGACTCTTGAGATCCGGTTTAATTGGTACCAAAAAGGCAACAACCAGTGCCATGGTAAGATTAATAACCAATCGTTGGACTTTGGTCTTTTCACTAATAGCAATGGGATCTTAGGATCTTTTCCTTCATTGAACGATATTTGGTTTTTAGTTTCGCCTGGTTTCTTTAACAACAATTGTCTACGTCTCTGTGCCAACTGCTTCAGAGAATTTTGATTGCGATAAGACAAATTTCTCTCTTTTGGGTCTGAAAGTTTATTTAAGATATTTGTAATCTCATCGGCTGGCAAATTGTTTTGTAATTTCAGAATATCATCCGAAGTTGTTTTTTTTTTAGGTTTAATTGGACTAGGAGTTGATAAGTACCTTGGATCGATTGAGTTGAATGCAAATATTGATCTTTTTGGTAGAGATGAATAATCTGAGATGCTGGAAATATTAATGAATTGATTAAAGGATTCAGATGGGTTTGGAGTTCTGATAATAGAAGATAATGCGGTTAAGGTTTTTGCACCTCTTATTAAGATACTTGATAATGAAAATCTACAATCTTGCAAATTGAATTCGTTATCATAATCCAATATGGAATTGAATATTGTTTCAAAAAAAGAAGGATGCAATCTTATCATTACCGTATTTTCCGATATCCATAATAAATCTAATGGACCTAGAACATCGCCATTGAAATTATAACATAACCCTTCAAACCAGTATAATTTGTTTTTATACTTGCTTTGGATAGCTTTGCTATTTGAAATGATTTTAATTACCTCATTTACTTTTGTATTATCAGTATGTGATAGTATCATTGTTCCTATGTAACTTGAATCCATGCACAGAGCCCCATCGGATGCTGCTGTGTTACCACCTAGACGGTGCGTCAATCTGTAGCACTTCTGGGTTGGGGCATAAGGAATTTGGAAGCCCCATCTTTTAATCATGTGAGATCTTTTAGCGTTCCAAATGTGAGAAGAAAGCCAATTAAAATTATTTTGTCTTTTCAAATACTTTATTCTATTATGGCTAATTTTCGATAATTGGTTGATACCTGTGTTATCAAAACTGCCATTAATATTATTCAATAAATTATTGATATCTGTCAAAGATTTATCCTTGGTATAATCTTTAATGAGTTTATGCAGGAATGCGATTTTTTGTCTAATTGATTTATGAGAAGTGGAAACTGTCAATGAATCTGAAATTGATAATTTCAATTGTTTTGATTTAGTGAATAATCTCAACAGTTTCAAAGACATTTTTGCCTTGTACAATTCCTTTGAATTTAATTTTTTCCCATTTTTCTTTGTCGTAACAGTGTTGATGTCAGACTGTAAGTTATTTTTATTCATTTCTCTTTTAGCTCTATTACGCATTCTTTTTGGTATTCTTTTAATGTTATGGGAAGCAGTTCTTCTCCTCAACTTACGTGGTAAAGATTGAAAGACTCTAGTAGAGTTGCTTGACTTTGAATTCTTCATTGATATAAATAATTGTTCAATATCATAAGACCGTGAATCGATGAAATTGTGTACGTTCAAGGTTGCCGCATTCTCCTTCGATAAGTCTGGAGTTTTAGCATTATCATACTTCAGAGTCTGTGCTCTGATGAACCTTGCATTTCTAATCTTATCTCTTTTAAACAATTGATTTTTATTCAACTGCTTATTACCACCAGAGGACATAATGTTAGTTGCTGGAGGGAGGCAGGAGTGGTGAGTACTTGGACAAGAGTGAAATAAGTTAAAAATTTACTTGTAGATGTAATCTTACCAGGTAGGATCCTGTTAAAACATTAACAATGGATTGGATTGGTTTGGTTTGGTTTACAAACCAAATCACATTGAAATAAGCCAAACTGAATTTAATTTGGTCTCATCGGGATGAGATGGATACTGAAAAAATCGCAAGTGCGGGTAACAAACTCTACAACAGATCAAAGGAATATAATATAGCCAATACTATTTCGAATTCGAAATCGAAATCATACAGAAACATCCAACTATGTATTAATATACCAAAAATTCAAGAACGTTTTGGACTAATCCTCGAGCAACATCACTCCCCATCAAGTACACAATGCAATACATCGACTTTTGCCCTAATCCAATTAACAATAAAAACATCAAAATCAATATCAATATCAATAACCCATACTTGAGACTCTTGAATACCAAGCTAAAGTTTAATTAATTAAACAATTTAACATCTAACCCAAACCTCACTCTGGCAGCAACCTGTTCCAAGTCAAGTTCACTCAAGTTCATTCAAGTTCTGTTTCGTTACGTTTCGTTCTGTTTCGTTTCGTGTGGTAACCTGTCCTTGTTGCAACTGGTTTGGGGGGGACAACGTAACGTTTTGACTTGTCTGATAGTTCTTGGTCCAGTCCTTGGTCCTTTACGCCAGGTCCTTAGTTTCTTAGTTTTCTTCGTTCACCCACTTTGCACTTGCACTTGCACTTGTTCTTGTTCTTGCACAACTGATCAGACAGAGTCAGTTCACCTCCCCAGTTTATTGATTATTGAATATTAAATGTTGTAATTCAGAGCAAAGGCTTCCCAACGTTGTTAATAGTCTATTCTAGGTTCGGTTTGGTTTAGCAAAAGGTAAAGTAAAGGTTTGTCTTCTTGTTCGGTCCAGTTCAGTTCAGTTCAGTTCAGTTCAGTTGAATTCAGCTCAGTTCGGTTCAGTTCACTGGGACATGCTGAGTGATATATTTTCTGTAAACTAGTGAGAGTGTGTTCTGTATTTGGTTCGTTGTCACTGGACTGGTCGATTTCGAAATTGATTTATATATAATTAAACACTATTATTCTTATGCTTATATTCAGGCTTTCATGTTCTTGCATTCCTTGTGTTTGTTTGTTATTGGTAATTTGTTGTATTCTTCTTGTACTGAACTGAACTTAATTGAACTGAATTGTGCTGTTCTAACACTTTCATAGTATATCTTGGCAAAAATGGTTAACGTGGTTTTGGGTTCCCAATGGGGGGATGAAGGTAAAGGTAAATTGGTTGATTTGCTAGTTGGCAAATACGATATTGTTGCTCGTTGTGCTGGTGGTAATAACGCTGGCCACACCATTGTCGTGAATGGTATTAAATATGATTTCCATATGCTACCTTCTGGTTTGGTCAATCCAAATTGTTCGAATTTATTGGGTAACGGTGTTGTTATTCATGTTCCTTCCCTTTTTAGTGAGTTGAACAATTTAAGTGAAAAGGGTTTGAAAGATTGTGACAAGAGGCTGTTTATCTCTTCAAGAGCACATATAGTCTTCGATTTCCATCAACATACCGATAAGTTAAGAGAGTTGGAGTTGAAAGGGATTTCAAAAGATGGTAAAAATATTGGTACTACAGGTAAAGGTATTGGTCCAACCTATTCAACAAAGGCTTCGAGATCAGGTTTAAGGGTTCACCATTTGGTTAATGACCAACCTGGTGCTTGGGAAGAGTTTGAAGCAAAATACCGTAGACTATTGAAAACTAGAAGGGAACGTTATGGTGACTTCGAATACGATCCTGAAGAAGAACTAAACCGTTATAAGAAATATAAGGAGTTATTGAAACCAATGGTCGTAGATTCTGTCTTCTTCATCAACAACGCCATTGCTAATGGTAAGAAAATATTAGTTGAAGGTGCCAACGCTTTGATGTTGGATATCGACTTCGGTACCTATCCTTTTGTCACTTCCTCAAGCACTGGTATTGGTGGTGTGATCACTGGTTTAGGTGTTTCTCCAAGACATATCAACGAAGTCTACGGTGTGGTAAAAGCTTACACTACAAGAGTGGGTGAGGGTCCATTCCCAACTGAACAATTGAATGAGCAAGGTGAGAAATTACAAACTATCGGTGCTGAATTCGGTGTCACTACAGGTCGTAAGCGTCGTTGCGGTTGGTTGGATTTGGTAGTATTGAAGTATTCAGCCATGATCAACGGCTACACCAGCTTGAACATCACAAAATTAGACGTTTTGGATACTTTCAAAGAAATCCCAGTCGGTGTATCGTACTCCATCAACGGTAAGAAATTGGACTCCTTCCCAGAAGACCTAATAAACTTGGGTAACGTCGATGTAGAGTATGTTACTCTGCCAGGTTGGGATCAAGACATCACTAAAATCACAGAATTTGACCAATTGCCAGAAAACGCCAAAAAGTACTTAAAATTCATTGAAGATTTCGTCGGTATTCCAATCGAATGGGTAGGTACTGGTCCTGCAAGAGAAAGCATGCTGCATAGAGATGTTTAACCCCACACAAATAGAATTATAATTATAAATAAATATATATATATATATACCTATTACATTTACATTTAAATTTACGTTTACGTTTACAATTACAATAACAATTACAACTACAACTACAATTTAGATATGCATACAGATCCAAATTTAAGAAGTAAAATCTATCTGTATGTATATATTCATCACATTGATCTTACTCTTCTAGTGTAACACAACCACAACCACAACCCAACTCATCCCTTTTGTAACCTCTCTCACAAACACCCCCCTGCTTTGCTCATACGTGCCCATTATTATATACCATATCCCTTGCTATCACAATCAACCCTTGCTTGCTCTCTTCCACCTCTAGCTCTAACTCCTTTTTACCTTTGGCTTGCTGACAAAAATCCTTAAAGTTCCCTGATTTCTATGACGTATTTCTGGAATACAGATTTCCTGATCCTGTTCGAAGGAAAATGACAAATATTCAAACCATTTCGAAATGAACGAACAATGAATGGATTGGGATTGAAAGCAAAAGCATGATGATTTTGGCAATTGTACCTTTATAAAAGGACCTGGAATTTTTGTAGATTGTTGGTTGGAATTGTTGTCAATTGAGATTAAGAGTTGGTGGTAATCAAGATAGAATTGAGACCACGGTGAACTTTTTTTTGTATATAATAGATAATATTGTTTAATAATGACTCAACAACAAACGCCTACGAAGATTACTAATAAATTGCTTTCAGAAGAGTTTTTGAATAAGTTTGATACTTTTCTGTTTGATTGTGATGGTGTTTTATGGTTGGGGACAATCTTGTTGCCAAGTATTAGAGAAACTTTGGATATGTTGACTTCATTGGGCAAGCAATTGATTTTTGTTACCAATAATTCAACTAAATCTAGAAAGGCATATACAAAGAAATTTGAATCCTTTGGTATTAAAGTTACAGAAGATCAAATCTTCACTTCTGGTTATGCTTCTGCTGTCTATGTTCGTGATTTCTTGAAGTTACAACCTGGCAAGGACAAGATTTGGGGGTTTGGTGAAGCTGGTGTCAGAGAAGAATTGACCCTAATGGGGTTCGAAACTTTAGGTTGTGATGATCCAGGTTTAAATCAACCTTTTGATGCTTCTACCTCACCATTCTTGGTCAATGGTTTGGACAAGGATGTAAAATGTGTCGTCGCTGGTTTGGATCATAACGTCAACTATCATAGATTAGCCATCACTTTACAATATTTACAACAGCCAGATGTTGAATTCGTTGGTACCAACGTCGATTCTACTTTCCCACAAAAGGGTTATACTTTCCCAGGTGCAGGTTCTATGGTTGAATCTGTCGCATTCTCTTCTGGTAGAAGACCAGCTTACTGTGGTAAGCCAAATAAAAATATGTTGAATACCATTGTAAGTGCCTTCAATTTGGATAGATCAAAATGTTGTATGGTCGGTGATAGATTGAACACTGATATCCGTTTTGGTCATGAAGGTGAATTGGGTGGTACTTTGTTGGTTTTGACAGGTATCGAGACAGAAGAAAGAGCATTGGAAGTCACTTCAGAACACCCAAGACCTGCTTACTATGTTGAGAAATTAGGTGATCTTTACGAATACACTCATTAAGGGAAACGACGAACTGCTTTGAAGTTTCTTCGATTTCCCCCCTCTTTGCCCAACTTAAGAACAATTTTTTATATAGTTTATTGACATTTGATATAGTTTTTTGAGTTTTAAAAATATTTATATATTAGTCGTAAATATATAATGTTAGATAATGTTATGTTTTTTGATAGTTTTACGTGTTATTGAGGAAAAATTCAGAAAGATTTATATATATGCATAGTTAATGATTATACATATTAATTTGAAATGATGCCAATTCTGTGACTGGTATATCTGTTATAATTTTTTTTTTTTCTTATCTTAAAAATATCTTTTCAATATAATATTGCATGTGTGCTTATGGTCCCTACACCATCACACTCAATAAAATACTGTTTATGATATGATGAAATAATTAACAAATCTATATTATGATGAGAGAATGAATGCTTATTTCAATAAAACCTATAATTCAGTTTTATAATAATCGGATAATTCTTTTCTCGCCAGTTTAAATTCTACTCTAGCTTGATCTAAAGCCTTTGATATCATTTCGAGATAAACTTTATCATTACTACCGTCTATTGCTGGTATTACCTCATTTGATTGTTTCTTACCTAGATTCTGTATTTTTTCACAGATCCACGCAATTCTTTGTAATCCAAGAGTAGCTGAGGAACCTTTGAGAAAATGACCTAAGCTGTTCAATGCACTTAAATCCTTTGTAGTTTCTAATTCATTTTGCATTTTATCAAACGTCGTCTGAGCTTGATCGATATATTGCATGATTAGCATCCTTGAAAAATCAGGATCATCTTCATCCATTGATATGATTTCATTTAAAATATTCCAATCAATAACTTCCTTAGGTATGGACATTTTTTGAGTTGATTTTTTTTAATTATTATTATTATTATTAAATGGTTAAAGTAGAAAAAAGTCCTTGAGTTTAGGGATTTTTATCACTCTTTGTTCAATGAAAAAACTAAAACTTTGTTTTCGTTATATATTTTTATTCAAACTCTTTGAAAATAAGTATTCCCTGTAATATATAACAATGCAATGGTAACTTTTGTTTCTATGTCAATGTTTTTTTAAAAAATTTTAAAACCTTCCACAATTTTATGATTCACCTTGCAAAGTATATATTGTAAAATTAACGGAAATGTAAAATGCTAGTAAATGTGTAATTATTATTATTATAATGACAAAATATTTTATAATTCGAACACTAAAAGGAAATGCAATTACGATGACAATGATGAATTGATCAATCTCTCTCCTATCCGTTTAAATAATTACTTTATCACAATTGGTATTTTCTTTTCGTACAGTACAACGTTTCTGAATTAATTCCCAATCTTTATATTATTAATCCAAAATAAAATAAAAAAAAATAAAAATCTTCAATCTTTTACCAATGGTCTCACCTATAAATACCAAAATGACCTTACGATTACTTCAAATGACCTTTATAATTCGAATAGATTACAGTTCACTGAGTGATAAAACCATTTGTTTAATTCATATTTTTTTAACAGCTATTTCAAACACTTATGATAGTACCATTTACTAATTACTAGTGTGTGTTCTCTCTCTTGGTAATAGCTTAAAATCGTGTTTTTTTCCTTTTTCTGTTTCTCTTCGTTAAAATTTTCAAAAACTTCAGAAATGTCCGATCGTGTATGATGATTGTAAATTATGTAATATTGGAAGGTTCTCAAGTGACAGCAATTAGAGGAACCTATGAACTGATTAGATGTGAATACAGTTCGAAAGAAATATGGTTATATTGCATTATTGGTTCAATATTATTGTTTTTTATTTGGAATGAATTGTAGACATTATGGTGTATTTCTTCTTAGAAAAACTTTATTCTTTCTGATGTTAGAAGGGAGTTTCTCTTGATAAATAATGGGTTTAAGAAAAACTTTTTTTTTTATTTTTTTGACTAAAGTTATGAAAACCCTGGTGCTTGCTCCCTGGTGCTTGCTCCCTGGTGCTTGCTCTTGTACTAACCTTTATCCAATTAGGTATACTGGTTCATACCTATTCCTCTTATTCTACTTTTACTTTCCCTTCCCTTCATTGAACCACGGCTATTTTTGTAATTGGACATTCAGAAATAGGATGATGGTGATGAATCTGAACTGCCGCATTTCTTCAATGGAGGCACATCGTCTACCGTAAACTTTATTTTCATTTTGTGGACTTTATTGTGATACAGCAGTAGAAAGAACTGGTCTGTTACTCTTGTTGTGTCTAATTGCTATTCTTTAATATCAATTGGTATATACCAGAAAAACTTTATTCTTGATTCGAACTCTAAGTATTACCAAAACTGGGAACCTCCCAGTAGAGATTAAACGGGAATAAATACTACCCATCAACCCTCCAAGTATCGGTGCCTCCAATGAGATACAATGTAATTGTATTGCCTAGCCATCGAGTCTTTTTTTAATTTTTGTGTGTGTTTTTTTGCTTTTTTGCTACTTTGAGAACTTGACACTACCTACAACCATTTCACGTACTAATCAAAGACTAGCTAAATCCATTCTACTAACTGTTGACTGTCAAACAACACACGATTTTGTAGCCATTGATTAATCTCGATAATAAATGGCAACATTTTTCTGTTATCAAATCTCAATGAATTCTATTTGTTCTAAAAATAGACAGGCATTCAGCGATCCCTTCAAAGATTTAACCTTCAACTAATAAATTTAAGTTTAAAGAAGAAGATACACCTGAATTCAATGCATTTAGAAGGAAGTATCTTTTTCAAATAACTAATAATGCATCAAATTGAATATCAGTTCCTGTTTATAATGTTGTTGCTGAGTTTTTTCAAAACCACTTCTAAAGACGCTGGAAAACTAATGAACCACGCTGTTTTGAAACCTATGTCTTAACTTGTAGCTCTGTTTCAGGAAATTCCAGGAACAAAAAAGCCAATAAATTTTCATCTAAACAAAGCCTCATGTCATCGAGAATCTTGAACCAGAAGATACCAATACAGTGGCTTACAAAATTGGCTGCAAATTTCCAGTTCCCATATAGCTTACTCAAATGTCCAAACTTTATATCCAAAGCATACTGCAGCAGCAAAATGATACAAACGTGAACCAGTGGACTTTGAACCAACATAACTTGATTACCTTTATACATTTTATCAATCTTCACAAACTTCAGTATATATATATGCGAGTGTGTGTGTAGAAGGCATGGAAAGTCTTTTATTATATATTAGAACAGAACCGTGGCTTCTTCTTCGATAGAATATTCAATGACCCTAATCTATCGAAGTATCAAATGGATAGTCTCTCTTTATATGAAAAGCCATTTCGAATAGCAGTTATACATCAAGTTTCAAGTTCCTGGAACTCTTGCCATAGACCTTCCATAAATTTAACCGCCCATCTTCATCTTCATCTTAATCTTCATTCGGGGTGTTGTTGTATAGCGGATGGATACAGTTACCCTGCATCACTTCGAATCTCAAAAGATCATCTCTGTTTTTGTGGCAGTCTCTTAGTCTATCTATTTTGGAGGGAAAGTTTGAAGTATAAAAAGGGGACAGAAGATTTGGGACAAAAGTTTGATTCTGTCAGCTACTTTCCAAATTGACAAGAGACGATGGTTTGGAGAGAACGATCTGGGTTGTTCTGTTTTATTGAAGAGTTTGCGGTTGTGAGGATAGAGAACACACACGGATGTTGAGGTTGACCTGTGTGAAAACTGTCTATACTTTAGCTTATTTTACACGAGATGAGAGGTCTATAGAATTATGTCGCTTTTCAAGTTGACTGGGGGGGGGCTTGCCGCCCATTGCTAGTGTGAGTGTGATTGATTGGATTTGGTTGGTTTGACAAAACTACAATATCCTCTTTAACAAGTTGAGGAGCTGGAAAGAGAAGCAAGAGTAGGGAAGACTGGAGTTGGATCATTTTTATAGGTTTCGCTGGAAAGAGCCAAGGAGGTGATGAGGCAGTTGAGGCATGCACTACGTCAATTGTTGTGTTTTTGTTTATTGCTAACTCTGTACTACAGTTAGCCGCCAAGCTTCTTTTATTTCATTTATTCCCTTTTTTTCTTTTTGGATGTTCCGTATATTGTGATTGGTTTGGTAAACGAAGTCTTACCCGGACGTCTTTCCATTGTTTACGCTTTTTTTCCCCTTTTTACATGATAGGGTGTTTTGATTTTTGTTTACTTTGTTTATCACATCATTGTAATCTCTGATTGTTGTGATGTAATTTTTACCTTACCTCTCTCACATTCTAAATCTTTTATATATAGTGATGGGATTGTAATCTTACACCACATATATTATTGTATCAAAGGTTTTGAAATAAAACAAAAATAGTTAACTAAAATTAAGTGTCATTTCAATAAATCCAAGGTAATACCATAGCAAAATCTAATCGAGAGCCTGATCATTATTATTATTAGTAATATCAAATATTTATCGCCTATTGAACTTTTAATCTTTAATCCAGGCAGAAAATACTATTTATTAGCAGTAGTAAAACTATTATCATTTTATTGATCCATTCGAGTACATGAAATTGAGATTATAAGCTAGATCAGATCTATCTACAAAATTCAAATACTAGAAAAAACATCGAGAAAAACAAAAATTGAAACAATAAATTTAATCCAAATTTAATTCAATTATTGTTTTTTATTTGTACCTTTTTCTTTATTCAATTATAATATATTACAAATGTCAAGTCCGGATGATTTCGATACCGCTCCTGACGAGTTTGTTGATGTGAGCGATAACATTGCTTTGCCAACAGATACAACTGTTGATACTACAACAGATAATACTTCAAATAATGCCGCTTCAATAGCTTCAGATGCTGGAACCGAAACTAGAAGATTGAATACAAATATACGTCACGACAACAGTAACAGTATAGCTGGTATTTTTCAAAATTTAAAATTTTATATTAATACCGAACAAGATGCCTATGATACAGTAAATGATATTGAAACTTTAACAAGATTGATACAATCTAATGGTGGTACAGTACTAGAAAACATTCCACAACAAAATTCAATTGATTTTAGCAAATTTTTCGTAATCTCTCCATATAATGATACAAAACTAAGAACTGTTACCTCAACTTTTATAAAAGCATGTTGTCAAAATAACACCTTATTAAATATTGATAATTATTTGGTCCCATTCGATGAATTTAGATCGGTGATAGATTCTCAATTGGCATCGCAGCAGCAGCAAGAACAAGATGAAGATGGCCAGCAGCAGTCAGAGAAACAACAGCACGCTAATCAAAATTTATCCCAAGAACTAGGTTTATCTCTTTCAGATCCACAATCACAAAATCATCCAAATATACAAACAGCCAACCCGGATTCAAATGCGTATGGGAATGATAATTCGCATACTGAAAATTCGATAAATTCTATGCCAATGCCCTCTCAAGATCAGAATGCTAATATTCATCAAAATGACAATAATAATGATAATTTTGATAATTCAAAAACAATTATACAGCAATCATCAGTGCCTTCTCATAATAAGACATCATTTACTGAAGAGGAAGATGAATTTATTTTGGATGTGGTAAGAAAAAACCCAACTAGACGTACAACTCATACATTATTTGATGAAATTTCTCATTACGTACCAAATCATACGGGTAATTCTATAAGGCATCGTTATAGAGTATACCTTTCTAAAAGATTAGAGTTCGTATACCAGGTGGATAGTTCAGGTAAATTGGTGAGAGATGAAAATGGTAATTTGGTTAAGACAAAAGTGTTGCCACCTTCGATTAAGAAGAAATTTACCGCTGAAGATGATTATAACTTGGCCATGGGTATAAAAAAACAATTTTATCGTGATCTTTACCAAGTTGATCCAGATACTGGTGAGTCTTTAATCCTAGAAGATGATTCCCCAGTAGCCATTGCTAAAAGAAAAATGACTATGATGCCAAATCACATTCCTGGAACAGAACCAAATTTTCAAGAATATAAGGTTAATGAACGTAGGGGCCCACTAGCAAGGGAATTTTTTAAACAATTTGGTGAGCATTATCCAAGCCATACTGAGAATGCCTGGAGAGATAGATTTAGAAAATTTTTATTATCATATGGTATAGATAATTATATTACCTACTATGAAACTGAAAAGGAAAATGGCAATGAACCAGAGCCAATGAAGAACTTTACAACAAGACCAAAAAGATCAGCTTTGTCAGCTCCTGGAAATTATGGTTCATACGTTAAAAAATTGAAGTACAATAAATTGGAAGAAAATGCATCTGCAGTAGCTGCTGCCGCAGCTGCTGTCTCACCTGATATGAACTCTGACAACAACAATGCCCATAGTTACACAATTCCAGAGAGTGAATTATTAGATGAAGCCACAATGAATTTCATCTCTTCGTTAAAGAATGATTTATCTAAAATTGATAACAACATACCATTTGAATATCCACAAGAGATTGCAGAAGCTATAAGAAACGATTTTACTAATGAAGAAGCGGAGTTTGATAATATTGATCCTAATTCCATCCCATTCCCTCCTGAAATTGCAAGCATTGATTTGTTCTTACCGCAGTTCTTTAGAATGGCAAGTACATCAGAATTTTTAGCCAAAGTCCATGAGGTTATTTCAAGAGATTATGAGCCATCCCAAGCTGAAAAATTAGTTCAAGATTTGTGTGATGAGGCAGGTGTACGCAAAACGTTCAGCACCAGTATATTAACAGCGCTGTCAGGTGATTTAATGGTTTTCCCACGATACTTCTTAAACATGTTCAAACACAACGTCAATCCACCAATGAACGTACCCGGTATATGGACTAGAGAAGATGATTCAATGTTAAAATCAAATAATGAAGATGACATCAAGTTCTTAATCAACAAGCACGGTACAGGAAGAATTGAAATGAGAAGACGATTCATAGAAAAAGATTTAATCTAATTGCGCAATCCATTTTGTTTACAAACAAAACCAAAAAAGTTATGAGCTCAATGTCTATTGTCCTCTCAATCTATCATATTTTTGCATATTTGTTCTTACTCTTACCCTTACCGTTCCCATTTCCATTTCCATTTCCATTTTCATTTCCATTTTCATTTCCACTTTCCCTGGTCATCTAATCACAATTACTAAAAGTCTCCCAGCATAATTCTAGTATCCCCTCCAACATCTTAGAATATATACAAATACATAATCATTCAAACCATACATATCTGATAGTATACCAATTAATGTTACATATCAATTTGCGATTCCCAATCCCAATCCCAATCCACTTCAAACCAATGCCTTATCTTCTCTTCTCTCAACTGATCAAATTTCATCAATATCAAAATTAATAGACGTTGCTGGAATGAAGCCTTTAGAATATAAAAATGAGAAAAGTTGTTCCTGTTAAGATGGAAGAAAAGTTGGATTGAAGTGCAACTAGAAGGGGAAACTGAGCTATTGTGAACTGCATTGGTTGATTTATTGGTTCCTTGTTGTTTTGTTATGGATAGTGAATTAAGTGACGTTAATTCTGGTGAAATGGAGGAATATGATGAATATTCAGAAGGTGTTGAGGAAGAAGAAGAAGAGGTTTATGAAGAGAATGACGACGATTATTTAGAGGATTCTGAAGTTTCTAAAGGTAAGACAAAACCAGTAAAAGCTTCCAAGGTTGCCAGTGGTGGTGAGGCCCATCATCGTACTAGTAAGAGGTTACAAGCCAAAGAAGATATAGATTTCACCGAACAGCCATCAGATGTGGAGGAAGAAGAGGTTGATGGGGAAGATGAAGAGGATGGGGAGGAGGAGGATGAGGAAGAAGAGGCAGTTTCTTCTAGACAACATCATCAAAGAGCAGTGATAGCGGTTGAGGATGATGAGGATGAGAAAGAACTGGAAGGTGAGGATGAAGTTGGTATTGATATTGACGAAGATGAAGATGATATTGATGAATTAGTAGCAGAAGAGGAAGAAGAAGAAGAGGAGGAAGAGGAAGAGGAAGAAGAGATGACACCTGCAGAAACTGAACCAGAAGGAATTGATGATGAGAATAAAGAAGTTATTGCCAAGACGGTACGAAGAAGTGGTGGAAGCAAGATGCTGATGAACTTATTAAGTGACGGTAGCTCTAGAAAGAAACTGACAGAAGAAGAAATACAATTGAAGAGAGCAGAAAATGCAAGAAAGAGAAAGAATTTAAGTGAAAGAAGGTCAGAAGAAGAGAAAAGAGAGACCATCAATAAACTTCTGAAAAGACGTGCTGGCAAATCAAGAAGTCATTTGCCTAAGGATGATGATGGAGATGAGAACTCAGAAGCCAGTTTTATCAAGCCTAGAAGACCATACAAAACTACAGGTATGATAAGGACAGTATCCACCAAAGATGGGATTATCTATTGCACATATTAGTAGGCATGGATTGGTGATCTTTATCAGAAAGTAAAAGAATTATCATGAGATCTTTCACCTGATCTACGATCGATCTGTATATCCCCTCCACCTCCCCAAGGGAAGTCTAATGAAATATATTCTACTTTCTAAATAATTAGAATGCATACATACCCATTTGTATAATTACATATCGACCCATCAACTGTAACATATATCTATATTATCATATTTAACCAATTGCTGTTGAAGTTTCATTTGCTTAACCGTTTTAGCTTCAATTTAAGACTCAAGCCGACTGGCTGATTTAAAGCCTTATTTTAAAAAGAACCTAGTATAGACAATCAAGTGATAAAAGGGCAAACAGATAGGTGGAGTGTGCTAAGATAACCTTCAAGCAATGAGTGTTGATATTAAGAACTGGCCTAACCCAGTCCAAGTGGTTAGAACTACTAGACCAAATCCTACGATCGAAGCAATTAGATCAATTTTCTACAATTCAGGGTTTACAGTTTCAGTCATATATCTTTTATTGGAGTTTATATTCAAACCTAGTCTAGAGAGGCAATATGAGCAACGAGTGGATCTTAATGGGATATGTTTATTGCAAGTTCGTCATTTAGTTGTTTCATTACAGAAAAGACTAAAGACCACGCCAGTTTCTATAATTGGATTTAATGAAACAGAGGCTACGATAGAGAAGAGCACGCAAACTGGTGAAGATAAAAGGATTATAAGGGATTATGATGATCCTTGGGAAGGTATCAATGATAATTTGGAGCAATGTTCCTTTAAACTAGACTTGTTCAATAACGATTGTGGAAGGCCATCTATAATTGTTGAGAATTTCACTGATCAGACAAAAGTTTTAACAGATCAATTAAATGACTACAATCAAACGAATAATAAGCCTAAGATTTCTCATGACATCACTCAAGGTATTAGAGAGATGAAAGGATGGTTTGTCAACGGGGTTATTTCATAATATGATACTTTTAAATATGTAAATATATATAAATATGTATATTCAAAAATAAACAAAAGGATTGGAATCTATATTCATTATTTACAGGTTTTAATATGCAAAATTCATTGGTTTAATGTCTTTTTTAAAAGTTCTAGTTTACTCTTCTTTCTGGCTAAGTCCATTTTCGAGGTATTCGTTTTGTCATCACTATTATTAGAGACCATTTTTTTTATAGTATGTATCGGTGAATTATTCCCTGAACCTATTACCAGTGTGTTGGTGACACCATTGGGTCCTATATGTGAGTTCCAGATCTTTCTCTTTTTCATGATTTCTTCTACTCTTATACCTCTTTTTTTCCACCTATCTTCAATCTTTGAAATTTCCTCAGCACTGGGCTGCCATTTAGACTTCAAAATTCTTCTAATTGCCTCGGGAGAGACTTTAAACTTGTCACCCAAATCACTTGCTGTAAGACTAGGTATCTTATCTTTCAAAAGTCGAACAGTATCCATCTCCACTCTAGATAATTTCTTCTTGGGATTCCATTTCTCACCTTTAAACTTTGATTTCAACGCTAATTTTTGCCTCTTCCATTCAGGTACATTGCTACTACTATCAAACGTCTCCTTATTACTCAAACTACTGGAATTTATCAGTTCTATAACTTCTTTTGCTGACTTCTTACTACTCTCAAATACTTTATAAGATACATGAAATCTTCGAATTGGTATCTTCACCGCCAGAAACATTGAAACCCCCCAACAAAAACAGATTCAACAAACAAAATACCAAAATAACACAACTCCAACAATATATACCACCTGATATCACTTTCCTGCCTCTTATAACTCTTCTTCTTCAACAACTTGATGAACTCTTCATCACCATTTTTTAATCTCATCGCAATTATTTTTCAAATATCACCACAGTGAAATATTTAAGAGATGGTAATTATTAAAGGGTCAAAATTATTTAACTACAAAAGTTGATGACAAGGGGATATATCATTGGAACCAGACATTTTAGAGACTCGAGGGTAGTTTTATTCGATTTATCGTGTTTGGATTAGTGGTATTCGGTTGTTTTTGATTGTATTGAAGAATGGTTTCAGACAAGATCAAGATTGAAGATGAGGAATTAGTGGTTTTAGAAGAAGTTAACAAAGATGCTAGAAAGAAAGAGGTCAGCAAACAAGTAAACAGTGATGATGGGTTAGTGGTTATTGAAGATCCGGTTGTTGTTGATCGTAATGTTGAAGATGATGATATAGTTGTGAAATTTGAATCTTTGAACGTTAAAGGTAATCCATCTGGGGTCGAAGAATCAGGAAATGAATCTGATGATTTATTTGTTGATGCAGCTGAGATTAAAAAAGAAGATGAGGAATCAATAGGAGAATTATTGTATGCTTCAGCTTGTCAGTTATATATATTTGATTCAGTGGCGGAAAAGTTTGTGTTGCAAGAGTCGAGTGCGAAAGTTTCACTTTATAATATTGGCAAATTTGATTTTTGGTTTGCGGTTAACAGTAATTCAACAGAATTAGGTACTGCTATTAATACGAATATTAATCCTACTTTTAATGCTAGCAAGTTATCGTTTATATTCAACTACAGTTTTTCCTCGGTTACTTTGTCTTATATGTTAGTTTTCGAAAATAAATCTCGTTATAATTTATTTAAAGCAGAGTGGTGTAAGATATTCTGGATGTCATTGAGTAAAAGATCATGGGCTGATATCACAAAAGAAGAGCAGAATTATGTTCTTGAATCTGCCATAGAAATAGAGAAGCAACTGGATGAAATATTGGACTCAGATAGCGGTCAGGAAAGAAACATCAGTGAAGACAGTGAAGAAGAGGAAAGTGAAGAAGACGATGAACATTCAAAAAGAATAATATCTTCAGTAAGGTTTGAAGAAAGTGAGCAGGATAAATCTGCATCCGCTGGTAACAGATCTTTGAATGTCGCATTCAAAAGTAATAGATATTTTGTTGTCAGAGATGACAAGGTTGGTGTGTTTAAAAAGGCAGAAGACGATGACATGGAAATGGAATTTGTTACTGCTATAACTGGCATCAAGACATTGCATGGCAAAAGACTCGATCCTTATTCTCCTATGTTATATATGGAAGATACATCTTTATTGATGCAAGAGGGCTCTAGTAGTAACAAAATCTTTAAGATGGATTTAAACAGGGGTGAAATTGTTGAAGAATGGTCAACTGGCGATAAAAACGTAGTCCAATATTGCCCATCTAAGAAATTCGATCAAACGACATCTGAACAGACATTCTTAGGTCTATCAGATAAAGCACTATTCAGGATCGATCCAAGATTGAACACACCAAATAAGGTTGTCCAAGATCAATCAAAGGAATATTCTACAAAGACGAATTTTACTTCAATTGGTACTTCTGAAAATGGTTATATTGCGCTAGGTTCAGCATCGGGTAATATCAAATTATATGATCGTCTTGGTATTAGAGCTAAAACCTCTATTCCATCATTAGGTCAAGAGATCAAGCATATATCATCCTCTGCAGATGGTAGGTGGTTGCTAGCAGTTTGTGAGAAATCCTTATTATTAATGGATTTGACTATTAAAACTGGTAAGAATGAAGGTGGCATTGGTTTCTTGAAATCATTCCCTGCGGCTGAAAATGTTAAGACCTATATTTTAACAGTTTCACCAGAACACACATTATATATCGAAGATTTCACTAAAAAATCGTTATCCTTCACAAATGCTTACTTCAACACAGGTATCGGGCAAAAAGAAGAAACCATCATAACCTCTACAGGGCCATTTGCTATCATATGGTCGATCGATAAAGTGTTGAAGAACGATGCTGTCCCTTACCATGTAAGACGTTATAAATCTGACGTTGTCGAGGACAATTTCGAATTCGGATCAGCTTCAGAAGTAGTAGTAACTTTGAAGAATGATGTCTCCTTGGCAAAAACCGAAAATTTCAAGAAACCTAGCAAGAAAGTCCTATTCCCAAACGGTAATATAAACGACTTTTATGGTTAATAGTTACAAGTTCTTATATCTTATCTCCTAGCTGTTGTTGTTACATAGATAAAAATAAAAGTAAAAATTAAAAGTAGAAATTACGATTCTTCCCAGAAACAAGAAGGAACCCACCTTTACTCACAACTAGCACAACTACACCCATTGATGATTAATGGCATCCTATCCTATCCAAATCTAGTTCTAAACTTATTTTAAATTAATCGTTATGGTCTATCTATATAGTTTTAATATATATCAAATCTCCCATACTAAAATCCAAATAGTGGAAGGTGCTGACCGAATTTCGAAATTTACAACAAAGTGAATAGTTGATGAAATAAAGGAACTGTTAAAACAGTTCAACGATGGCCTTTGCATTGAAGGTAGTGTTGTCCTAGATTCAGGTTTAGTTTAGTGATATTTGTAGAGTCTATTTTGAATAGTCTGGTTTTTATTTGGGAAGATCGACCGACAAAGACTTGATTGAGTACTGAATAAACTTTTGGTTTATTAGTTTTTTTGTTTCATATATAGATAGACAGTAGTTTTAGACCAACAAGATGATTACAGATGATCAATTGAATGGTATAGTTATAATCTTTGGGATCACGATGATGACGTTGATTGTCATATACCATGTTATGAGTTCTACTATTTCTGGTAAGCACTAGAGAGGTCCCCAAATATTGTTTTGCATTGCAAGCTATTTTTTTATATTTTTGAATTCCCTTGTTCTAGAATGGTAACAAGGTAGGATTATGTAGGGATAAGATTAGCTCTTATTGATCCTAACATCCCCATCTATCCTTAATAAAGAAGTGTCGACGTCGGCGACATCATTCGATATACATATATCTATATAGAAGTATAAGTATAATATTTTACATAATGTGTTTTAATACAGGTTTATCTAATATGCATATATAACAGTTAAAGCACTGGATTGGAATGGAACAATCGACTTTCTTAAACAACTGCAGTTCGTTTCGATAATGGGATTGAAGTTGCAGTCGTTTTCATCTCAGAGTTCTATCTTGTACTTGTCTTATCCATTTGCTTCCAGCCCCATCTGGCTCTGCTAGTTAAGATTTCGGATCCAAGCCAAAATTTCAATATGGTTATTGCTGGTTTCGATACGTTCAGACATCTGGGGAAATAGAAGAAGCTTATAAAAGGATACTGATATATAAGAATCTTGTTGATGGATGAATTGTTCATTAACATCTTTTCTTCACCTTACCTTAGGTTTCTGTAATCTGTAACAATCCAAAGTTTATAGGAATCTCGATATTATCAAGATCAATCAAGATGGGTAAAGTAATTTTGCCAGAGTACTTGAAGCAAAGTGACAGACAGATACAGGAGAAGTTTCGTTATATACAACATCAAGAGGACGGTAGATTGAGGGATGCTACGTTAGATCCAGAGAATTCCAGGTGGTCGTTTGGGGTCAGTGTGCTTGAAGAGAATGATAGACGCAATAGGTATGTTAATATCATGCCCTTTGAACGTAATAGAGTGAGATTGAAAGTTGAAGAAGGCAATGATTATATCAATGCATCCTATGTTAAAGTAGATGTTCCGCAACAGTCTATTTCTCCAGGAATCTATATAGCTACGCAAGGTCCTACCAATAAAACTTGGGATCAATTTTGGCAAATGTGTTACCAAACATGTCCAGATGAGAATATTGTTATAGTAATGGTGACACCTTTGGTTGAACATGGTCGAGAAAAATGTTATCAATACTGGCCAATTGGTGGACAATTAGACTCAGCAAGAGAAATAAGTAAAATCCAAAAACCTGGGGGCTCTGCGGACATTTCAGTGTTCCCAACGAGTCTAAGAGTTTCATTCATTGAAAGCGAAAGGTTCTCTCAGGGATATACATTAAGCACATTGAAATTAGAACCAACAGATGAGTATATGGGACCATCAAAAACAGTGCATCATTTTTACTTTGATCAATGGGAAGATATGAACAAACCCGAAGAAGTGATTCCAATCATGAAACTTAGCGAACACTCTCATAGACTGAACTCTGGTAAAAATCCAATAATTGTACATTGTTCAGCAGGTGTAGGAAGAAGTGGTACATTTATTTCTTTAGATTATCTAATTCATAACACATTAGACTTCCAGTCACATCCCGACGATCACCTCTCACTGTCCCCACAATTTCGACCTTCGCAAGATTACCATCATGATTTAATTGAACAGATAGTTCAACAATTACGTTCACAGAGACTTAAAATGGTTCAGATAGTCGATCAATACAGGTTCATCTACCTGGCCGCAAAATGTCTCTACCAAAAATCAAGAAAAGAACAACGATAAGTACAGCTACAACTACCTTGAATACCCAAATATATCAATCCACAAATTGACACTATACTCCCCCTTCATTCCCAATTATTCAAAGCAATCTACCATCTATCCATCCTTTTTATATAGTCAATAACTAACCGCCTGTCTCATGTAATAAATTACATCAACTATCTTTATCCCATTATACCAAAGAGAACGGTTACCCTCCTTTTGGAGGTGAACTCGTGTGTGGGTATGTTGTGTCGTTTCTTTTGTTATCTAAATAGGAAATTCTCGAGCGATGAGCTTCTTTTCGAGAAAAAAAATGAAAAAGAAACGTGAAAAATTTTACCTATCAATTGGAAAGGAAAAGTGAAAAAAGTTTCATTCATTTAAATATAAAGTAAGAGACTATCTATAATATTGAAATGAGTTTTTATTTGTAACTATTAAAAAATTTTCAGTTATTTATTCTTGTTACTTAAAAGTTTTTGTTTTAAAGATTGAATTTTTGGGCTTAAACCAGACGATTAATCCGTTGACTTAAGAAAAAATGGCTGAAGGTGTTTTCCAAGGTGCTATTGGTATCGATTTAGGTACTACCTACTCATGTGTTGCTACTTATGAATCTTCTGTTGAAATTATTGCTAACGAACAAGGTAACAGAGTTACTCCATCTTTCGTTGCTTTCACTCCAGAAGAAAGATTGATTGGTGATGCTGCTAAGAACCAAGCTGCTTTGAACCCAAAGAACACTGTCTTCGATGCTAAGCGTTTGATCGGTAGAAGATTCGACGAAGAAGCTGTCCAAGAAGATATGAAGACTTGGCCATTTAAGGTCATTGACGCTCAAGGTGCTCCAATGATCGAAGTTGAATACTTGGGTGAAACTAAAACTTTCTCCCCACAAGAAATTTCCTCCATGGTCTTGACCAAGATGAAGGAAATTGCTGAAGCTAAGATTGGTAAGAAGGTCGAAAAGGCTGTTATTACTGTCCCAGCTTATTTCAACGATGCTCAAAGACAAGCAACCAAGGATGCCGGTGCTATCTCTGGTTTGAACGTTTTGCGTATCATTAACGAACCAACTGCTGCTGCCATTGCTTACGGTTTAGGTGCTGGTAAGTCTGAAAAGGAAAGACATGTCTTGATTTTCGATTTAGGTGGTGGTACTTTCGATGTCTCCTTGTTGCACATCGCTGGTGGTGTCTTCACCGTCAAGTCTACCTCCGGTAACACTCACTTGGGTGGTCAAGATTTCGATACCAACATGTTGGAACACTTCAAGGCTGAATTCAAGAAGAAGACTGGTTTGGACATCTCCGGTGACGCCAGAGCTTTGAGAAGATTGAGAACTGCTGCTGAAAGAGCTAAGAGAACTTTGTCTTCCGTCACTCAAACCACCGTTGAAGTCGACTCTTTGTTCGAAGGTGAAGATTTCGAAGCTTCTATCACCAGAGCTAGATTCGAAGACTTAAACGCTGCTTTGTTCAAATCTACTTTGACCCCAGTTGAACAAGTCTTGAAGGATGCTAAGATCGCCAAGTCTCAAATCGATGAAGTTGTCTTGGTCGGTGGTTCTACCAGAATTCCAAAGGTCCAAAAATTATTGTCTGACTTCTTCGACGGTAAGCAATTGGAAAAATCCATTAACCCAGATGAAGCTGTTGCTTACGGTGCTGCTGTTCAAGGTGCTATCTTGACCGGTCAATCTACTTCTGATGAAACCAAGGACTTGTTGTTGTTGGATGTTGCTCCATTATCCTTAGGTGTTGGTATGCAAGGTGACATCTTCGGTATCGTCGTTCCAAGAAACACTACCGTCCCAACCATCAAGAGAAGAACTTTCACCACTGTTGGTGACAACCAAACTACCGTTCAATTCCCAGTCTACCAAGGTGAACGTGTTAACTGTAAAGAAAACACTTTGTTAGGTGAATTCGACTTGAAGAACATCCCACCAATGCCAGCTGGTGAACCAGTCTTGGAAGCTATCTTCGAAGTTGATGCTAACGGTATCTTGAAGGTTACTGCCGTCGAAAAGTCTACTGGTAAGTCCGCTAACATTACTATCTCTAACGCTGTCGGTAGATTGTCTTCTGACGATATCGAAAAGATGGTTAACCAAGCTGAAGAATTCAAGGCTGCTGATGAAGCTTTCGCTAAGAGACACGAAGCTAGACAAAGATTGGAATCTTACGTTGCTTCTATCGAACAAACCGTCACTGACCCAGTCTTATCTTCTAAGATGAAGAGAGGTTCTAAATCCAAGATCGAAGCTGCTTTGTCTGAAGCTATGGCTGCTTTGGAAATTGAAGACTCTTCCGCTGAAGACTTGAGAAAGGCTGAAGTTGGTTTGAAGAGAGTTGTTACCAAGGCTATGTCCTCCCGTTAAGAAAACTTAAAATGCAATAATCCATCATTTTATTTTATCTTATTACCTATCTAAATCTTTAGTGTATATTTTAGCATTATGTTTATATCTTTTGTCAATTCATGAGATGTTTTAAATTTTAAAAAGTAAGCAAGTCTTAAAATCACAACAGTTACGTAATTAGGTAGTTAGTTCAAACTACCATATTAGTCATGCGTTGGAATCTAATTTTATTTTATCCTTACAAGATGGGAATAAAATGAACTTTGAATGCAAAGTGTCGTTATCATTAAAAATCTATAAAAATGCTATAAACCTAATACCCAATTATTATAGTTATAAATGCAGATTAAGTGTTAGAGATAGCTTCGGTTAGCTTTTTAGGACCTCTAACAGCGTCAAAAGTTAAGATACCATTACATCTTATACAGCAGTACCCTTTGACTGGTACACCTTCTGGAGTAATACCAGTACCTTCTCCGATAGCTTTGGCTTTCTTAACTTCTCTAGCTTCTGGCACATATTTACAGTTTAAGCATCTGTAACCACTAAATTTGTAACGGCCATAACAACGACCACATACTCTGTGATTTCCAGTCCAATCTTTATAAAAATATCTAACACCTTTTCTAGGACATGCAATGCAATGCTTCAAATTTTTAGTTGTTGTTAATTTAGGTTGTTCTTTTTCACAATGAGAACCACACACTGGAACAGCCATTTTATTCTCTAATAATATACTTTTGTGAGAATTAATTTTAATGCCATAAACTTCATGTTTGTCCCTTTTTTCTTCTAAGAAACCAAAATAACTAGGTTCTCTGGCAATTAAAACAGGTCTATCTCTTCTTTTATGACCACTTGTACAATAGGATAAAATACTTTGTAGAGGAGCACGACCTGCGATATTACAGTCAAATGTAAACTGACAGTTCACTTTACGACCAGCAATGATACTTGGCTTAGCGGATCTAGTAGTAACGGTTGCATTAATACCCAAAGATCTCGAAATATTGATGACACCATTCATTATTGAAGGATAAATGGTTTGAATTGCAACTTTGAAAGAATCAGGACCTTCTTTACGCTTTACTACATAACCATCAGCATCAATTAAGCCAGCCATAAAGGCTTCTCTTACTTCAACATCTTCGGACCACATGAATGTAGGAATTTGTTTAGCACCATCACCATCTCTTTTGAATTTCAAACAGGTAACTGCATTCCAGAATGGATTGTGCTTTCTGAAGTGTCTATATTTACGATTCTCTGGTGCTTCTTTACCATAGTATAATCTGACATGTTTTGCTCTTAAAGGAATTTTTTCGTCTTTGTAAGTTGGATATAATCCCCAGGTCTTACCACATTCATGTAAACCTTTCATTAATTCTGTATCATGACTGTCGACGGTAATTTCAGGTTCTTTAGTAGTACCGTCACCAATCCATAAACCTAAAAGCCATGCCATTTGAAGAACACCAGTGGTAATTAGATGTTTCTCACCAGTAAGAAACTCAGATAAAATACCATTACCTTTGATAATTGGATTGAAATGTAAAAAGGAGGTAACACGTATCTGAGGACTTAGAAGATCTAAGTCTCTTACTTGTAAATTAAATTCGAAATATTCACCATTTTCTGCTTCCATTTCTGCCATGAAAGCTCTTGCACTAAGTTCACCTTCTGGTGTCATTGGGAAATCTTTATGGTGGTTTTTAGGTATACAAATCATTCTACCATCGACAGTTAATGTTTCCTCTAGATTTCTCCATCTGACTTTATAGTGATTTGTTCTGAAGCTATTTTCTAAATTAACGGTTGCAGGTGTTCTTAAGGATAGTTCATGTGCAACGGTACAATTTAATTCTAATCTTTGGTAAATTTCTTTTCTTAATGGATCTTTTCTAGCAGCATCACCTTCATTGGCTCTATGTTTAGTATTATGCACTATTTGATATGTTGTTTGATTATCTTGGGAAACCTCTGTCACTTTAGCCGCACTACCATCTTCACACATGATAAAATCATTAGGGATGATTTCTGAGATGTCCTTGGAAGTACCATCGGCCATTATAATTCTAGTACCTTCTTCAAACATTTTTTATAGTTATATGTAGTTATTATATTTATAATTGTTTAATTGCGCTGGAGTGGTGATATTGAATTCTCATATCCAAATATTAATTGATTGGACATATTTTGATATAATTGATAAATATCATTAGATTATATATGTCCAATCTTTGGAATATTTGATATTGTGATTCAATTAAACATTGGTCAAATTTGGCAATATAATTAGTCGATTATTCACATTGATATTGATAGCGACTACTATGTCTCTTAGATGAAAGAAGTGAAATATAGGTTAAATCTTGGTATTATTTTGGCGTTTGTCAAATATTTTAATATGGTTACCATTAAATGGCATATTCAGGAACAGCAGATAATATATTGGTTGTGAGTTCAATTGGCGTCTAATTTACCAATATTGGATATATAATATGGTTCACAGCTTATCTGGGCTTATCAAGAACGAAATTTAAGAACAATATGTTTCAAAAGGAGAAACGAAGTCATCACATATAATCCTAGTAATTACCATTGTGAATTAATATCAGTTCTTAATTGGGTAATTTAATTATCAATCATCGATATAAGATATTGCAGTCGAATTTGAATGATAAGACTAACTCTACGATAAAAAATTAATCGTTAGCATTTGTATATTGTAATCACCATTGAGGACCATTATCTCGACGCCAATTTAAAATATATCCCCGTAACATACTATTAAGCTAGTTAAAAGTACTCTTTCTAACTGGATTCATTGACCTTGTAATTTCAAATGAGAAGAAGTTAGTAGTTTTCACACAGTTGAACAAATTCAGAATTCTTTAGGAGATAAAAAAATTATTGAAATACGAGACTTGATGAAAAGGAAAATTCGTAGCAAATGGTGAAAGTCAGCATAAAATACACTGGATATCTTTCTAACCCCACTGTCAAACTCAATGGTAAATGTCGAAAAATTGTCCAAGAAAAGGTAAATGAAGACAAATTTATTGAATAACAAAACCGATGAGTTCGAAGTTTAGAGCTTATTACAGAAGACCAGTCAACAAGCTGGGGTGGGTAAAGTTAAGTAATCCTTAGAGATCTGGAAGAATAGCATAAAGATAAATTTTCCATGGTACTGTACTCTCTTGTGTCACTAAGGCGCAGATATCTCATCAGAAGCCTTTCTCTGATTGATTTAATGCACCAAGGTTTAATTCAATTCTCTTTCTTGAACTGTAAATCAACACATTGAAGACCCATTGTAACCTCTGCTTTGTTTAGTTAATGTAGTAGTTGTGTACTTCTCATCTCATCTCATCTCATCTCAAAAAGTTCTCGTTTCTTTTCAATGCTGAGTTAGAGACACCGGAGGAAGAGACCAACTCATCGAAATAATTGCAGATGCAATTATAATCCATTCAATATAAGCTTATAGTACAATATACTATAATACAGTCGCTGTATACCTTCTATTACCAGTCTGCTTCTTACTGGCACAGGTTATACATCGGATTAGTACCAGTTTAGTCAATATCTTAATATATACCTCTTTCCGCTTTGGGTAATCCGATGCTGGTTTGCTTTGCTTTCGTATTTCCTAAAGCGGTTGATGTAAAATTTAACATGACAACCAAAAATCTCGAACAATTAGAACAAAGGTGTGGAAATGGTTACTACTGACTAAATGATTAGTCGACATAGATGTCGAATGAAAAGATCGTTGAAGACAAGGATTCTTCAGCCAGTAGCTATCTCAACATGAAACGTAATGAATTCTGAGAAAAATCTACGTTTAATTGTCTGAGAGGATAGCTGAGAGAAAATGAAATACAATATATTTCTTTCCTGAGTTCGATAAATTGCAGACAAAGTGTTTACTCTGGTGAATCTGTAAGATGAGGTAGCGGTAGTTACTTAATCGTTTACCCAATACGTATTAAATTGGTAGGAGATATTTCCACTGAGTTGTACGTTCGTTAACTTGAAAGACTGAGATGACTCTGTAGAAATTCATCCTAAAAGATGAAACATCTACGATGTTTAAGGACGACTGGAAAATATGGGTTAAATTGATACCGTTAATCAATTGATGCTTTTAGTATGGTAATTTAGATTTTTTTGGATTTTATTTAATTAACATACCTCAAATGGTCTCTTTTGCAAGGGGGAGATAAGTGAAGGGCCCAATTCATTTCAGGAATTGTTTATATTTTTATGTTTATTCTTGGTTTGTTGTTGTGCTTGGTTTCTATTTATTTACTGTTGGGTTGGAAAACCCAGTGTGTGACTGAGAGTCATTGGAATGTTGTCCCAAGAAGTTTCTAAGTGCGTCTATCAAAAGTTTGCATAACATTATTCAAATTTTATGAGGTTATTGGAATTTTTAGCAGTTCTTTTTCCAATTAAAATAGGAAATGAAATTAAATTGTATGTTGAACTAGCGATAGTAGTGTCTGTAATTAAAAATATTTCACGTAAACTTTTGGCGTTTGTTATTATTATGTTTACTAACTATTAATTGCTTGTGTTTATGTTTTGCATTAGGATGTTTATTCATTTATCCATCAAATTTTAACTGATAGCTACGGGGATATACGCAGTAATCTTCTAAACTGAAATTCGCTTAATTGATGTCATCAATTAATTTGAATAAGTTCTTCAAAAACTTAAGAGAGATGTGCTTACTGTGGAAAATAATATATATAACTCAACATAATCATTTACCTATAATATCCTGTAGATTAGTTGAAACTGAGGTTGTTGGGCTGAGAGTTCCTTATACCAAATCTAATTAATTAGATAACTTTTCCTAAAAGAGTTAATAAATTAATATAACTTTTGGAGTAAAAGGACCTGAGAAGATGAGTTAATATGATTATACAAGTTTCAGATTTATACGTTTTAGTTTAATTGATACTCCTTTTGGGAAAATATTAATTAATTTAACTCATCGTTTAACTAAAATTGAAACTAAATGAAATAAAATATGAAACACAGAGATATCCTCAGGCAATGCAATTTAAAATAACAAAATAGGAAATATAATTAAGTAAATTACTAATTAATTCATTAAAACCGCTTCTTTAATTATTTATTTGCCTCAGTAGCTAAATTTTTCAATATATTGATATTACCAACTAATTGATTACATAAAATCGAACTTTTACCACTTTTGTAATTTGTCCAAACAAAGAGAATAAAATTCAGTTTTTTAATTAAAACATATTTAATTCTAATAAAAATCAATTTGTCAAGAACAGAGTTATGAGATAGAAGCTCTATAAATAACGAGATCCTTAACTTCATGCAAGACAATTATTTCATTTTCATAACGTAAATTAAATTTTAGACTCAATTGGGTTTGGACTTCTGTTGGTTGTCTTCATAGAATTGTAATAGCAGTTATTTCTACTAATTGTATTTACACCTCTAAATATAGAACTGATATGATAGCCTTCAATAATATATCACTCTTCTTAGTATTATTATTTTTATATTTTGTTCATAAAATAAAATTTAAAAGGTTACCACTTGGAATCAAAAAGAAATATATAATAACTAATAATAAATAAAGATAAAAAAACATACATAACTTGCTGTGAGATTGTTTCCCATATAGTTAAATTTGAACGTTATGTCCCAAAATCTCAAACCTAAAGTATCTAGATTCTTGTTTGCACATTTGCACATTTGATGCCTTGAGCAAGTAACGGTTGATTTTTTTATACCAGAAGTATTTCGTAGAAAAACAGACTTAATGTTTATACAAAAAGATAGGTTAATTCAAATACAATAGCCCAGGTATTTCCTTAAGTCTTAAAACTCAGATTCTTACCCTTAATTATGTAAAATCTCAACTAGAATGCAACAATTTTTCTCATAGTTCTCACTATTAATCTGATCTGAATTCTTAACTCTAAAAATTCTGATATCCTTCTAGAACACTGATAATCCTACTAAGTTAATCCCCTTACCATATTCTATTCTCATTGAACCAATATATTTACTGTCACTTGAAATGGGTGTCAATAAATCTATCCAATCACGTGACATCAATGGAAGGACAGTTTCCACCTCCTTTCACCTACCCCCGGTCAAAATCAACTAAACTCCGAGAGTCATTCAATAAGCTTCATGTGGAGTTCAATGATTAGAAAGATCCAAGCCAACAGCATATAAAAGGGAAGGGGGTAAATGATGATCAATCTTGAAGATGTTATTGATCTTCTTATCTTGGGTAATTGGGTAAATAAGAAGGTAAGAGCCAATCTATTATTTAATAAAAGTTAGTTGTCTCTAAAATTGTATTTAAAGTCAGTATGGTTAACACGTTAGATTCCACATTTGTCAGTCAAAGCTCTTGGAAGCCAGATTTATTCAAGGGTAAAGTTGCATTTGTTACTGGTGGTGCTGGTACGATCTGTAGGGTTCAAGTTGAAGCTTTGGTTTTATTAGGTTGTAAGGCTGCCATTATAGGTAGAAATAATGAAAAAACTATAGGCGTAGCCAAAGAAATTTCAAGTTTAGTCCCTAAGGGTAGTGATGGAACAGATGCAGTTTTGCCAATTGGAAATGTTGATGTTAGAAATCCTGAACATTTACAAGATGCTGTGAAAAAAACAGTCGATACTTTTGGTAGAATTGATTTTGTCATTGCTGGTGCTGCTGGTAATTTTATTTGTGATATTGCTAACCTGTCACCAAATGCATTCAAATCTGTTATTAGCATTGATCTGTTGGGTAGTTTCAACACTATTAAAGCTTGTTTTAACGAGTTAGTTAAGTCTAAAGGTTCCATTATCTTTGTCTCTGCTACTTTTCATTATTATGGTGTTCCATTCCAATCTCATGTAGGTGCAGCAAAAGCTGGTATTGATTCATTATCAAGTAGTATTGCAGTTGAATGGGGTCCCTTAGGGATACGTTCAAATTGTATTGCTCCAGGTGCAATTGGTGGTACTGAAGGTTTAAAAAGATTAGTCTTGAAAGAATTTGAAGAAAATGGTGCTGATAAAATTCCATTACAAAGACTTGGTTCCACTAAAGATATTGCAGAGGCAACTGTTTTCTTATTTTCACCTTCTTCCGCTTATATAACAGGTACTGTTCAAATAGTCGATGGTGGTATGTGGCATTTGGGTACAACATTTGGTGACAAAATGTATCCAAAATATTTAATGGATTCCATGAAATCAAAGTTATGAAAAAAATTCAATTTAACACTTAACGTTAGGATGTAAATAGAACTACATATTTTATATTCGCTAATATCCTTCAATTTCTATTCCTTAATTAATTGATTATGCATTTGGTATTTATGGATGTTAATATAATTTATATATATTTAAATAGTTCGAGAGTAAATAAATGCTAAAGTTGAAATATCCAACTAAAAATTGGTCATAATATAATGAACTCGACTAAAATGTAAGTAATGAACGACTTAATGGGAGAATAAAATATGAATCAAATTATGTGATAGATGATCTGTCTTAATGAAGATAAAAAAACCTGTCAATTCCTCAGTTCAGCTAGAATTGACCTGATTGACCCAACATCCTCAAGAAGTAATCTCTTCAGAGTATCAACTTCTCTTCTCTGTGTGTCTAGTTCTTTCTCAAGCGACTTAATTCTTTTATTTCTTTCAGTCAGCAAGGCATCGTAGTTCAATTGAATCTGAGCCGTTATTTTGGCATAGTCTATTTTACATCTTGGATTAGCAGTCTTCTTGATCGAACTCGAATTCTTTCTCTTTCTACCTCTATTTGATTTTGTAGTCTTAGCAGTGTTCGTTGAACCTGGTGAAGAATTTGATAAGATGCTAAGGTCTCTTGACATTACCCTATTGGCAGCATCAGTGGCCGTAGTTGTTACAGCAGCAGCAGCAGCGTTGTTGAATCTCAAAAATTCCTCAATATTAATCTCTGATGGGATCCATACATAGTTATCCACAGGTTTAAGGTTTTGTTCATCTACTGTTTCAGGTGTGAACAGACAGGATTGATCAACTGAACCTTTCGTGGCAGCATTATCAGCGTCACTGAAAGAGAAGTGACCAGACGAACCTCCAGAAGAAGAGAAACTTCTATAAGAGACATTACTTGTATCATCAGGCTGCGGAGAAGTCTTATTCTCAATTGTATTGGAGGTGGTAGTTGGACTTATCATATTTTATATTGATTGATTGATTTTGAATGTTATCAGAGTATAATATATATTGCTAAGTATGGAAGAATTCGAGGTATTAATCAGTTGGCATCAAACTCAAAGCACAACCAGCAATGATCTAATTTGAATTCAACAATATAAGAATCCAAGTTCATAATTACAAACAAGCAAACAATCAATTACACATCCAAAATTATGGCACAAGTTTAATCCTATTCCCCCTAGAGAAGAACACACATATTGTAAATATATATATATATATATATATATATATAAGTGTGTTATGTAGATGAACAAGTTTGAGTGAGTGCATTGGGTGTGATAACAAATAAGAAAGCAAAGGGGGAAAAATGACCTCCCCATACTTTAAAATTTAATAATCAATAATAATAACAAACAGTTTAACAACCCCAGGTGTATAAATCATACAAGTTTCTCTTCTTGAATCAAAGACAAGATATTGAGGTGAGGTGTGAGAAACATACAGACAAACGAAGTTGTTTCTTTTGAATTGAAATAAGCTAATATATTTAAAAGTGATCGAGATTAATGACCCCTCGAACGAACAATGAACGATCAAATAATTCACTGAATAATTAATCCACAATCCAATGACCTAACCCCCCCATCACCCATGTGTACTTTCTAGTATTAACAATGGAACAGACAAAATACCAAATTGTTGGGAGGTTTTTCAATATGCAGGTGAGTTTTGCTTAATTTAAGTTTACTACGGTTAAATTGAGTTGAAATGAAATAAATTGTGTAGGGAAGGTTATATTTTACTCCATATCATTCTGATGACATACCATAGAGATTGGGATACCTCAGCAATAAATCAATTAATTGAACAATTAATAAATTAGTCCAATCCATGGGACCAAGAACAAAAAGGTCAAGCTAAGAAGAGTCAGTGGAAGAGGCCGAAGTTGGAATACATACCTCATAAGATATAGCTCTGACCAACGACGACGATGAAAAAATGGATATATATCTCAATATTAAGTTTAAATCAAGGCAGAAAAAAATAAGAGAGTCTGAGAGAGTAAGCCACATATCGATTGGAGAGAATAAACACAGCCGTTTGGAATAGCTTGAATTATCCACAGGTCGGTCTCTTGTTGCTCTTGTTGCAAGCAGTCTTTCTCACAGCTAATTCTTTACAGGATACAGAAATAATTGCAATTGCAAAGAAAAACTGAGTTATTAATACGAATATCGATAATAACATTGCTATTTTCCTATGCGAAAGGAAGAGCGGTTTTTTTCTTTTGTCAAGTATTGGAATTTGTAAGCTTTACAGACAGTCTTCTCTTTGACGGCTTCTACCTAGTCCTTATCGTTGTCACTAGAGAAAAGAATTATTAACCCTCTATGATCCCAAAGAAAGTTGACACCTTTAGATTAATCTAACTTAGTTATTATAATCTCACCAGTCTAGAGACCAAACCAGACCAGACCAGACCATATATCCCCGATCGATCGATTACTGGATTAAATTGGACATTAACTTGAAAAAATCATTATTCTTAACCTGACTTTACATTGGTTGATCAAAGGATGAGTTGATTGATTAATGGATTGGTTCATTGCTGGATGGGCTGAATGATTTTAAGAAGACGAATGGCTCGTTTCTTATAGGCAGAAGGCCATTGGCATCGAGATGAGCAGCATCAGTAGCAGCAGCAATAGCAGCGCAGCGCCCTACATTTTCGAAACTTGATTTCCCGATTGGGAAAGTTGGAGATGGGGAAGAGAACTGTTTCCTGATTTGGTAATGATAGTTCGTCGAGAGGGATAATATACGGTCGCTGTTAGTTTTCGAACTGACTTACCTGAATAGGAAAGACACTACTACATCAGGAAATTTGAGAGAAAAGCAGAAAAAGAAAAAATCTGTTTCGAACGAGTTATCCACATTGATCGTATAACGCGATATACAAGACAACAAGCTTTAAGCAGGGTAACATGAATAGGTGCTGGTAGCGCAAAGAGTATTTGACTGGTTAGACTGGTTATACCGCTAAAATGAATTTCTTGACAATATATTCTTCATAAGAAAGTGGACCAACGTTCAAACGACATTGAATGGACTAGAATCACTACCAAGTTATAACCAATTTATAGAATAGAATAGAATGGATCAACAGACGTCTCTTCCCTTTTATATATATAGAACTGACACGAAAATATACCTATGTATATCATATCTAACGACGCGTTATTCTATTTCGAAACTGGAATTTTTGAAAAATTCCAAAACATCACCGAAACTATTCTGAAATTAGTTAATTATTGATCTATACCTACATACAAAAAGTTAATGAGATCAAAAGCCAAAAATTTGATGAATTAAGTTCTGAACTTGTTGTAGAAACAGATCAAAGAAGATTTTGATCTGACGCCGAACCACCTGTTTCAATTGTACATCGAGTTACCCTTGTAACGGACTATTTGTGTTCTCTTCTGTTATACTCAGTTCTATTTTGCCAGGATCACATCTGATTTCACAATTATTACAGTTTCGTGATAATTGTTTTATATCTTCCTGTATATTTTGATTACTTGTTAACTCAATTGAAATACTTTCTATTCTCTTTTTTGCCTTCGATTTTTTCAGGTCACTGGCATTCACAAAGAAATACATTATATATAAATACGTTCTTCGATAGACACTGGTTTCCTTCTGGAGTAGTTCCTTTATCACTCTCCTTTCATTTATCCCATTGCCCTGAAAAATATTATTGATTCATTGTACTATTACAATACAGAACAAAGAAAACAAAACAAAACAAAACAAGATGAACCGCGATTCAGCAATGCCAGCTAATTTGCTTCGTAGGAAGAAGGATACAAAACGTGGTATCACCTATACAATGCTCCTCTGTGGTCGCGACGGTGTAGGTAAAACTACTTTTGCTAATAACCTTTTGGAATCAAATATCTTCTCTCATAAATACAATGTGGTTAACCAAATTACTGCAGAAAATGAATCCAAGGTAAAGGTCATATCTCCAACAAAAGTTGTCTCTTATAATTCGAAAAATGGTATCCCAACTTTTATGTCGGAATTGGATCCTTCAAGGGCTCAATTCGAACCTGGTATCACTATTACGTCTACTTCTGTAGAAATAGGTGATCTTGCCGATGAAACTGCAAATGAAGATGATATTATTCTTTTCAACTTAGTTAATACTTATGGGATTGGTGAAAATTTGGATGATTCTTTGTGTTTTGATGAATTGACCACCTATTTAGAACAACAATTTGATTTAGTCTTAGCTGAAGAAACTAGAATTAAAAGAAATCCAAGATTTGAAGACACGAGAGTTCATATCATATTATACTTTATAGAACCGACTGGTCACGGGTTAAGAGAATTAGATGTAGAGTTAATGAAACGTTTATCTCGTTATTCAAATGTTTTGCCTATCATCTCCAAGGCAGATTCTTTCGGAAAGGAAGAATTAGCGCAATTCAAGAAAACCATAATGAAAGATGTAGAACTTTATAATGTTCCAATTTATAAATTCGAAGTTGATCCTGAGGATGATGATTTAGAGACCATAGAGGAAAACCAAACTCTGGCTTCTTTACAACCTTTCTCAATTATCTGCTCAGATGTTAAAGATAAAAACGGAAGTTATGTAAGATCATACCCTTGGGGTGATATAAATATCACTACAGATAACATTTCCGATTTAAAAGTCTTAAAAAATGTCTTGTTTGGCTCCCACTTACAAGAATTTAAAGACACAACTCAAAATTTATTATACGAAAATTATCGTGCTGAAAAATTATCTACTGTTACAAGCCCTCATATAGGTGCTAGTGGCAAGGACAATACTGCCAATAGAGCTTCTGCTGCTCCAAGTTTGAGTAATTTTGCATCTCTAGTGAATACTGGCCAATTTAAATCCTCCCAAACTTTAGCCATGAATTTAGAAGGTGCAAGAACTCCTGAATTAAAAGAGCCATACGACAATGACCAAGCATCACCAATAAAGAAAATGTCACAAGCCCTAAAGGAAGAAAATGAAGAGATTATTAAGAACATTAAAATGGAATCTCCATTAATAAACGACCACAACATTCCTGAGAAAACAAAATTAAGGAATATTTCAGAAACAGTTCCTTATGTACTAAGACATGAACGTATCATTGCAAGACAACAGAAGTTGGAAGAGCTAGAAGCACAATCGGCAAAAGAATTACAAAAGCGTATTCAAGATTTGGAAAAGAAAGCTCACAATCTAAAATTAAGAGAGAAATTGTTACGTCAACAAAAAGATCATAGTTCATCATCATCTTCGTTAACAACAGCCTCTTCTGGAACCCAATTAAAGAAAGAAGATACTTTAACGGATTTGGCATCTATTGCTTCTGGTAGAAATTAACCAAATATAACTTCATCTATTTATAATTTTATATATCACTAAAATGTGAGGTTCGGTAGTAATGGGAAGAGTATAAGAATTGTTAACTAAATTTATATAATAATCTAGTCAATAAACTAAGTAATATGAATAATAAAAAATGTTGAAATGATATTTAACATGAATACAAATTTATATAAAATACAACGTGCTAACTCCAAAATGTATTCTCTAAGAAAGATTACAATAAGGAAAAATATTAATAATATAGAATAATATTCATAACAATGAATGCTAAAAGGATGCGCAAATTAATATTAGTTGTAGAACTTTGTTTTATAATGCAAACTTTCAAAATAAAACTTTAAAACAAAACTTACAATGTAAACTGACAAAAAAAATGATACCAATAATGAATTGAATGCTATGATTTATTGTAGGCAGAAACATAACTATAGTTATTCGTATTAGAATTACTATTGATATTGGTTGAACTATTGTTTCTCCTGCTATTAGGTCCTCTAACACCTAATGGGTTCTTCGAAAAACTTAACCTTATACCACCCTTATTACTTACATTTGTAGAAGGTAACTGACTACCATACAATTCAGCAAGCGCCCTAGTAGCAAAACTCACATCCTCAAATTCGACGAAACAAATTGGACCATGACCATTACCATTTGTATTTTTATTCCTGAACGATAGCCTTCTAAAACCTGGTTGAGATGAGAATAGTTGCCTTAATTCATGTTCAGTTGCATCAGAAGGCAAGTTACCTACATACAAAGTATTACATGGAGGATTTTGATCAGCTGGATTAGCTGGAGGTGGGACTTTCGCCAATAATGATAAGTCAGCTTGGGAAATTGTCCCATTTCCAGACATAGAGTTATATGAAATAGAAGTTCCTGACGAATTCTTTTGATTATTCATCATGTTTTGGCCACTTCTGTTACTTCTTACAGGTTGAACTTTTTGAGGAGTACCTGCTTGGGATTTGTTAATTTGAGCTTCTTGTTGAATAGAATCATGAGAGTGATAAGTAGGTTGAGGCATAATATGAGAATGCTGTTGAGCAGGTGGTAATGCATTGTCCAATGGAGACATTAGAGGTTGACTTGCTGGATTAACGGGTTGAACCATACCATATGGAGGAACTTGTGGGTTAGGAGGAGTTGGTAAGAAACCTTCAGTTGAAATACCCGACATCTGTACAGCACTGTTTGATTGATTAACAACAGGTGTATGTTGTTGAAGGCCACCAACTCCAGGGTACATTGCAAAAGTATTGCTCTGCTTCCTGCTAGAAGAAGATCCCCATTCAAATATTGGAGTTGAAGGTTGAACGTTTTGCTGAACTTCATCTACGTTGAATGGAATACCATTGGAACCCCAAATAGTGTCGTTGATTTCATCATTTTCCATTAGTAAAAATGATTTTCCAACATCTCTTGGCTGAGGTTGACTAGTTCCTGATAAATTTTGGAATGACTGAGGACTACTTTGAACAATTGGGTGTTGTTGATGTTGCTGTTGCTGTTGCTGTTGCTGTTGATGTTGATGTTGCGGTTGCTGCTGCTGCTGTTGCTGCTGCTGTTGATGCTGTTGTTTTTGTTGCTTTTGCTGATGCTGTTGATGCTGTTTTTGTTGCTGAGAAGATTGATTATGCATACTAGTTGTTGATGATTGAATATGATTTTCTTTTTGATGCAATTGTGTTTGTGATAATAATGAGAAATCATTTGAGAAAGTATCACCAAATGAGAATCTTGATTTCTTTGGTCTATCGGTAGTGAATGAATTTCCTGCAACAGAGGATACAGAAGATTTTTGTAGATTCGACAAATTTACTAAATCTGGACTCGATAATTGATAATTTTGGAAGTTTGGAGCATATAACTGATACGAAATCTGCTTACCAGTTGGATCATCGATTATTTCAACGTAAGTTTTAAATGGATAATCAGGGCCAAAAATATTTGCCTTAGAATCAAGGATTGATGCATATTGAGAAGCAGTAACCAATGAATCAAATTTAACGATGATTGATTGATCTTCAGAATTCTCTTCTTTAATCAATTCAATATTCGAAAAATTTTCGGCTAAGGCGAATACAGCATGACATTCCCTTAAGGTGATATCTTTTGGCAAATTTTTCAATTTTAAAACATATGGGCCTTGACATTCCAATTTTTGTTGAGGTTGAGGCTGAGTTTGAAATTCATTGCTTAATGACATTGTATGCAACATAGAAGACAATTGTAGAGGTGAATTTTTGTTACTATTTGAAGTATTATCACTTATCTTTTGTTGAGAATCATTTGAGTTGTGTAATCCTAAAGAGGGCCTATGCGTAGGCGATATATCTCTATTCGAAGAAGAGGTTAAATTTTCAGAACTGTTACTGAAACCAGAACCATGAGCAAAAACATTTGCATCATTTATCAAATGCGGTTCCTGTATAAGTGGCATCATCAATGTAAACAGTTTCTATTGTAGAGGAAATAAATAAAAGATGAATTAGGTGCAAAATTCAAAAAATCAAACAAAATGGAGAGAAGTACTAATTATAAAATAGTAAATCAAAGTAATGAATTTTTTTGGGTGATACAAACAGTTAAAAGAAAATGAAGTTATCTATTCCACTTTTAATTTTTAATCTAATGTATCCTTGATATTGTCCTTGTTTATCCCTCAAAGTTGAACTTTTCTTTTAAAAAACAACAAAAATAAGGAGAATAATAATTTAAACAAATCTTATGTTAACAATATGATGTGATGTTGCTTGTTTTTAATTGTATTATAAATAAAATCTACCGAGTAAACTTTCTTATAAGATTCTTTTTTTTGTATTTGAGAAATGCAAAATTTTGGAAAAATTAAAATGATTTAAAAACCTAATAATGTTGGAAATAGGTTATATGTGTCTATTCTATCCTGATTGCAAAAGGTGATTCTTCAGAAACAAAAAATTAACGAAAAAAATATGATGGCAATAGAAGAAAGAAAAAAAAAAGTGTATGTATATTAACAAAAAAAAAATATTGAGTTTAGTTTTAAAACTACCAAAATTCTTATCCCAGAACTAGGCCAAAAACGTTCTTTATACAGATTCTAAAGCTTCAGGAATGCTACTTTAACAGTTATAATCAATCAATGTTAATCCTTTTCAACTAATTTATCTTGCGACTATGTGAAACAGTTCTTTAACGTAATATTTATAAAACAATCCTTGATCATTCAAGTTTTAAATTTAAATTCTTTGGAATTTCATTTTTGTTTTGTTTTAATTCTTTTTGCTGCTTTAAAACCAATTTCTCCCACTTGTATTTAATTGAAATTTTGTTTTTCGTCGTCGACGTTGTCGTTTTTACTTGTTAAATCATATTCGTTGGGAGTGATGATGACGATGGTGACGAATATATCACGTGGCCACAAATGTTTTCTTTTGCTTTGTTTTAGTCGTGTTTATATCCGACGGACCAACATTCCGCATATTCGATATCTCCGTCGGGTGATCCTTATCAGAGAAGTAAAAATTGGGATATCACCATGGTAATCCAATCAATTGGACTAAACTGAAATCGTCGATCGTCGATCATCGATAGTCGAACATCGACTAAAAATAAAAGGAGATCTCGTATGGAATTGAATGGTATTAGAAAACACCAATAACTACAAACACAGCAATGAAGCAAGGTAACAAACAACATACTTTTGTAAACATTGAGGCTTCCACGTTGTGATTTTCTTCAACACAACTGGATAAATAATGGTTTCAGAAATCTTACCTCTGTACATGAAACAAACATGCATCCCAAACTTTGACCTCTTTTCAATAGAACTATCCTATGCATCTCTTGAACATAAAAACTTTGAATAAAATTCCCCCCATCTTTTATACCTTGTGGAATAATTAAAAACTATTGTTCGAGAGAATATGTAACAGTATTCACTAGTCCCTTCTGTGAAGACTGTTGCAATAGTGTGTATACATCTCTTCCTAATCAAAAACAACAACAAAAACAACAACAAACTGCTACTTTCGCATCCTCTAACTCTAACAGTATTTGAAAATAAAGCTAGATTCAAACTTAAAGTAAGAACCTCATCTTTTATACATTTCAAACTTTCTTTGCATTATATACCATACCATCAAGTATTCGATTTATTTTCTTTATTGGTTTCTCAGGTGACGGCGGTTATATGAAAGCAATACCGATGGGCAAAACAATATATAAAATGAGGATAGCCGCCGATATATTTACCAGCTATATCGTATATAGCCATTTCGAAAAAGGTATGTAAAATACAACGTATATTTGGTATAAAAACTACTATTTATAGCAGTAATTCACAAGTTATGTATTATATAGTTCTACTTAAAAACTGGTATAGTTTTAAAAAGGTCCTTTGATCTGAGCAACAAACATCTCGAACGGTTGCCAGTGAAAAGCCTAGTTATTCATTCAATTAGATAGACATTCATAGCAGATTGGTATCATAGGGAATATATAGGTAGAAATAATTAGAAAAGTAACAGAAGAGAGCAGATATATCAATAAAAAATAACAGTGCTGGAGAGGAAAAGTGAATCCATCACAATGTTGGTCTCATGAAAGATTTCCGGAACTTAGTAAACATTGATTCCTCAGTTTGGGATGTCTCTTTCTTTTGACGATGATGATGGTGATGTGTTTTAACTTCTTTTGGTTGATTGGCTTCACTTCTTGGTGTGTTACCTTCAAAGAAGTATCTCATTCCTTCTTCATGCCCTTCTTCTCTTTCTTCAGATGAAATAGACTCTGAACTTGCCCCTGGTGAGGAACCTACTGAAACTTTCCTATACAAATTAGGTTCAGCATCCCCTAATGAGTATTCTGGCTGGGCTCCAAGAGCAGTTAAGTGACTCTTTCTGCGACTTTTAAAACCATAAGTATTAACTGATGGATCAACAAGACTTGGCATGTTACCTATAGACATTGCATATGAGCCGACATCTTCTGATCCAATGCTTCTTTGTCTTTGCTGTCTTCTTTCTCTTAATTCAATGTCACTTTCAAAATGAGAAGTCGTAGGTTTATTCTTAGAATGTTGTCTACTTTCCCGAGATTTATCAGAATGTCTAGAATCTTTTGAAATTATAGGAGTGACAGTTGGTTCAGTCACACCAAGTTTATTTTTTTCAGACTCTTCAATGGTACCAAAAGTGTCTCTGAATCCCTTTTCCTTTCCTACACCTTCACGATATGGAATTGGTGGTGCGGACTCCTGCTTGAAAATACCAGAGGAATCAAACTCATTCTTCTTCAACTCTTCAATATGGCTCCCTGAAACTGGTTTATTAGAATAGATGTTCGAATCTTTCTTTTCTGTTCTCTCCATTGGAATGTCCATCTTCCTTGCATTAGTAAATTTTTCACCTTTATCAATATTTCCACTTTGCATCATGCCTGAAGTTGTAGCATTCTTCATTTCTCTTCCAGAAGCTACATCTTTCATCATTTCTTCAGCCTTCATCATTCCTTCAGCCTTCATCATTCCTTCATCTCTCATCATTCCTTCAGGCTTCATCATTCCCTCACCCTTCATCATACCATTATCCTTCATCATTCCCTTGACAGCTTGTGATTCCATCGCATTCATTCCTACCTTCTCTTCAACTTTGTTAAAACCCTTTTCTTCCATAGATTGCAAAGTGTCAGTGGCTTTCTTCATCTCTGATTTCGCTTCTTGCTTCATCATCTTTTCACCCATTCCAGAACCCACCATTCTGGCAGCACCTGCACCTGCCATCATACCTGTGATTCCTCCTTTAGAACCAGTTACATTAATATTACCTGCCTTTTTCATAGGATCAGGAACTTCTGGATCAATACCTCTTGCCTTTTCCATCACATTTCTTTCACCAGAATTACTGTCACCTTCAATTTCGTAATGTGTAGGTTTCGTGGTACTATAAGATTTAGATTGGCCCCGATCAGAAAAAGCACCTGGTACAGGATCAGGTTCTAAATCTGAAGGCTTCTCATACTCGTTGAAAGCTTCAATTGGGAACTCTTCACGTTCTCTATCCTTCGAGTCTCTATCCTTATTCCTTAATCTATAAATATAAACCAAATGTTTTTTTATTAATTATTAGTTAGTATGTTATTAATTACATATTAGGAGATATTAAAATTAGAAAATAATTTAATTTATTAATATATTAAAGAATTATTTTGTTTGAACTTAAAGATCAATCATTGATAAATTTAATTTATTTTAACACTCCAGTAAGGAATGGGTTGTTATAACGAACTTGTTCACCTGTCATTTTGCACATTTTGAGGAATCTCTTCTGCTTTTGGAGCATTTTCTGGTGGACGACCATTATTTGTTCTCAATTTGTTAAATAGTTTCTTCTTTTGTGTTGGCAATGACTTGGCTACTTCTGGATTATTAACATACCCACCTGAAGTTTCAAGGTGACTAACATCACCGGAGACAGAGTTAAATGTCGGAGTTTCAGGATAACGATCGTATTTGCTTTTCTTACTTAGGACAACAGTTGCTGTTTCCCAAACAGAATTCACCATCAACAAAAATGTCGATGTCCAAATGAAGGCAAAATTTTTAGCTCCTAATTTAGCTCTGCGGTCTCTACGGTTGAATGCCTGTCTTGCTTTAACATAACAACCGGTATACAAACATGATGTCAATGTCATGAAGAACATAGCAAACCAACAACTAACAGTGGACCAAATAGCAATTCCTGGGATAACTTTGAAGATATTAATAATTTGAGGAATTATAGCTGTAACAATAAAAAATAAACTTACCAATAGGAATGACCACCCGATTCTCGATAAATAGTAATAAGCATTCCTATTATCCAAAAAGGTTCTAGGCATGTTATCACTTGGGCCAAAGTTATCTTTTGGTGAAAAGGGTTTGGCTGCACCTTTAGAAGAGCAGTTGCTAGTGCGATGACCGTCCCAACCACAGAACTCATAGTTATACCATCTAGTCGTGTTTGGAGCTGAATTAAAACCAGAAGTATCTGCTTCCAACCAATAAAACCTAGTTAAAGTGCCAGTACTACGTGCGCCAGACAAGACGACAATGAACGTTAACAACCCAGCACCTAGTAAAAAAAAAAAGGTTAGCAAATGAACGAACTTCTTAAAAATCATTTTTTTTCCCATTTTTAATATTATTATTTATTTATCACTATTATTAGTTATTGATTATTGGGTTCCATATTATCTATTTTTTTTCATTTATCCTCTAGTAAACTCAAGAACACTTTCACACTAACGTCTCTTTATATATATATAATATCGACAATTGAAATTTCATCGCAAACACCTTAATTTGCCAATGCCAAAAAAAAAGGCCCAACAATTATCCTGGTTATCAGGATACTTATCTTGCTTGACCTCAACTTATGGTTTTTGCTATCGAGACAAATTGTGGGCTTTCTCACCTGCAATAACTAACGTCATCAAAGGAAGTAAAAAATAAACATCATGATCAATCGCAACATATTAACAGGTGTTGAGTAATGAATGGAGAACATATGTTATAGTAACCGCAAACCTTTCTGTCTGTTGGCCATGTCGGTAATTATTGTATTGACATCAACTTTTTTTGATACTCTTAGTTGCCATGAACATTTTGAGGTTCTAAACAATGAGGTGATAATGCAACTTTAGGGATGTTATAGCAATTGTTTATAATTTAGAAGTTAAGAGCTTTGAGATAGAATTTTTTTAAGGGAGTGGTTAGCTGGCGTCCATAACAATAATTTTGAATCTTTAATTTTTAACTTTGTTATTTGAAGCTCTATTGTCTTGTCGATGAGTTTTCGGAGACGAATGTTATTAATTGATTCCATAAAATTTAAGGATTCATTTATAGTATCCAATGTTTGATTTAGAATGTCTATGTTTAGTATATTATTAGGATTAATAAATTCCTGTTCATCAAGGTCGTCAGTTACGATCAATCTTATAAGTTCTTTATCATTCTCAACACTCAACACTTTTATTCTTAGAATATAATCGTTTTTGTTCTCGCTGTCAGTGGCTGATTGTAAAACATCAATCGATGGATATATTAAAATATTATTATTATTATTATTAGAATGATTATCGTTATTATTGTCATGACCAAGTTCACTACCTGTCACTAATGCTATTTGACCATTAGATTTAGTGATGGAAAAACAATGTGAAAATTTATCGAATTGAAACATTATAGCACTGTTTGAAATACGATGAAATGATTTTTTGAATAATGAATTGATTAAAATATCTTCTTCAGCTGTCCTAACTGTAGAGTTAGTAAGAATCTTGGCCTTTCTTGCTATTAAATGCAATTTGTCATTGTATAATGAACCTTTAATGGAAAGTTTACAAATTATACCAATCCCTGATATGTTTTCAGTACCATGTTTTATCATTTCTCTAGTAGAATAACCATATACTTTCTTTACTTCCTCATCAAATTCTTCGAATTGATTATGATACATAATCACTCTATATCCTTCATCAAGTTCAAGTTTATTATCATAGTCTATTAAAAATCTATCAAATAAATACTTTTGAGGAATGCTGTTATAAGTAAAATCTGTGAAAACCAGGGAGACAAAGGATGGGTGAGTAAAAGAACAAGATATCAACATTCCTACCGTTTTAAAGAAGATTTTTTCATTAATTGGAACTCTTAAATCTTCAAACTTAATGAGTTCATCTTTATCATTCCAGGCCATATCATCTTTAATTTTAGATTTATATTTGCCATTATTATTATTTTTTATGTCCTCAGTAGTTGGTGTTAATCTTTGATTTGTTTCATTGTCAATTTCCAATTTTCTTAATATCTTCATATTGCTTAGTGTCCACACAGATGTGAAGATTGTTTTGTCAAAAGACCATTTTGATCTTTTAATCTCTAGAGAGACTTCATAACTGAAGAGTAAAAGGCTCAAACTTTCACTATTATTGACTAGTGTGCCAAATAGATTTTTAAATTCATCTAAGTTGAAAACCATTATTTCTATGCAATTTTTGTTTGGTATTATTATATCTGCATTTCTATCATACCATTCTGTTGGTTGAAAATAAAGTCTTAATGACCAATATTTCAGGTTGTCTAAAGAGTCAAATCTGATTGGGAATATGTTTAAGAATTTTCCTTCAACAGTGTATCTTTCTCCTATCCTTGAACTATTCATTATATCATTAGAACCATCCCATTTTTTAACATCATCGCTAGTCTCATTCACTACCGATTTTTGACGCTTTGGTGGGTTTGGATCAAACTCTTCATCACTTGCTTCACGACTTTTATAACCACTTTCATTATTGAATAAAGATGTCGTGGGTTCTTCTTTAACCGAAGAGTCATTGCATTGAGATTCAAATTCTCTCATAGAATCAAAATCCTTACAGGAATCTTGATATCCCCTTGAAGCACTAAATAAAGGATTCTTTAATTTTAATTGCACAGCTAAGTTTTGCTGTCGTCCTTGAATAAATTCCCCAAATTTAGGTTCATAATTTTCCAGTTCAACAAATTTAAATGATCTATTTGAATTTGAATTTAAATTTATTAAATTATCAAAAATTGAAGATAAAGAGAATGCAGTCTCATTTACAGTTTTATTTGTTAGTAACTTCATGACAGAAGGTAAACTTATTGGCCTTATCTTTTCTGCAAAAACAACAGGATGTATACCATTATAGGCATATCTCCCTATACAATTAACAAAACATAACTTTTCCAAGTATATATTTTCAATACTAAAAGAAGGAGATTCTGAATTAAAATCGATTGGCAAATCGATATCAAATTTATCACAGAGTCTTAAAACTTTTGTTCTTGTATCTGAACTAAAGGGCTCTTGAAAATTGACTACAAAAGGTGAAGAATTTAATGTACTGTTAGAGAAACTATCAAATTTCAAAGTGAACCCAGTCTTGCTGTCATACTGTAAACTTGTAAATAGCGAGACAAATTCTACATATACATTAGCCTTCTCACTTTCGTTTTCGATTAGATCTATAAGCTGAGAGCTAGAAGTAACAAATTTAGTAATATGATCCATACACTCACACAATAAAGTAAGTTTCTATATATGAATCCAATAATATATACTCCTATTCAAAAAGTCATCTAAATTCATAACTATACAATCATCCTCTGAACCCTTTCATTAAATCATTCTAATATATTTCAAACTAAATTTGAAACTTTTTTCAATTCGATATTTACTTATTACGCCATAGTATAACTACAAAAGTAGAGGTATATAGATGCCGGAGCCAGATCACATATGTAAGCATTACTAAACAAGAATCGCAGACTCATACAAACTCTTTATACTAAACTAACTAGACGAGAATGGATTCCTCATTCCAAGGTAACGAGTGTAATCACAATTTCCAGGGACAGTAAGCTACATGTTTCTACAAGATGGATGCACCAAAAGACTCCAAAATTCTACATCACTTCAACGAGAAGACTGGAAAAAAAACTAAGGAAACTCATTGACAAAAATACAACAATACATCAAGCAATTATTAATAACTTGGTGAACTACATTTATTCAGCATGTTATAGAAACAAACAGTTATCTAGAATATCACTTGTATCTTTTAACAAGTACCTAGTTTATAAGGACCCTTTACTGATTAAAATGCTTGTTAAAAAACGCTTTTTCGAAAATCTGTTCTTCGAAGCGTTTCGATATTTTTCGAAATGGGTAATTTTTGGGGGATAATATGTTAGATATTACCGCACGAGCCAAGCCAGCCATTCTGATTTATTAACTGGTTTCGAAGATATAGGTAGCATTGCATCAGAGGTCCAACGACACAGCAATGTCAATTTAGCAAAGTTGGCCAGGAATATATATATAAGAAGCCTTGGATGGGACTTAATAAATGTTTGGGATTGTATATGATAAATTCTCAGTTGTGTATGCTAATCGGTTTGTTAAGTTAGGGTACAGCTTGAAGCGACAGAGGTGTCAGTCTATTAGTATAGAGTGAACCATTGCATTAGAAAAAAAAATAATTTATAATATTGGGTTTGAGGAAGTATCAGACTTAGCATATATAATGGGTAATAAACAGCATATTGAAGAGCATGCATATCGTTCTACTGTGGAAAACGCTCTAGAAGACTATCATGAACAACCAGAACATTACCTTGACTATATCCATGAACCTAGCAGACCCCAGCCGATTCAATACCAGGCATTGAATTATAGTGGGCAAACACATGGAGCTAACATCCAACATCAGTCACAAGAGCTACCTAACCATAATGAGGGTCAATTTATAGACAATGATAGACATGCTTTTCAGCAACAATGGGATCAAAGACAGTTCGAGGTACCTACTTATGGAAGTAATGCCAATTATGATGACGGCTATAACCGTGAACAAAATAATAATTTTACACATCAAGCAAAATATGAAGATGACTATAAAAGTGAGCATTTCGTTTTTGACTCGACCAGTAAATCATATGAACTAGCCGATGAAGGAACTGGCAGTATAATCGAGGCGAATGGAGAAGATAACTACAATATCAGCACATACTATGATGATAATGATCAAATGATAGATCCATACTACGACTCAGGACAACGATATTATCCGAACTATAACAATAATTATCCATATATTATTCGTGACAATTTCGATGAGGAAAATGATTTAAGTAATAGTATAATTAACGGTTACTTGAAAAATTACGATGATGAAGAAGGAATGGACGATATGAATACATTGGATAAGCTACGATTTGATACTGATGATCACACTATTTCTGATGTATCATCGGCAGAAACAAGAGTCTCCGCTAAAGCCTCACCTAAAATAAATAAAGCTGTGGGAATCAGTAGAGCTAGCACAGTTCTTAGAAAGTTCAAACTTTGGAATGGTAATTTTATCTTTGATTCTCCTATAAGTAAGTATTTGTTGGAAAAATATTCTATCGCTGCTACTGAAAACCAAAACTTACTATCAAATGAATTTAAATTTATGAGATACCAAGCTATTACATGTGAACCAGATAAACTAGCTGAACAAAACTTCACTGTCAGACAGTTGAAATATTTCAAAGGTAGAGAAACAGAGCTAATGATTGTTATCACCATGTATAATGAAGATCATATTCTACTGGGTCGTACCTTAAAAGGTGTCATGGAAAATATCAAACGTATGGTCAGAAAAAAAAACTCCAATACATGGGGGCCTGATGCTTGGAAAAAAATTGTAGTATGTATTGTTTCAGATGGTCGTTCAAAAATTAATGAGAAAGCTTTATCATTACTCAGTTCTCTGGGATGTTACCAAGATGGTTTTGCAAAAGATGAGGTTAATGATAAAAAAGTTAAAATGCATGCATATGAACATACAACAATGATGAATATTACTGAAGTATCAGAAAAGGATATTAAGTTAGAATGTAATCAAAATACAGTTCCAGTTCAATTACTCTTTTGTCTAAAAGAACAAAATCAGAAAAAAATTAATTCGCATAGATGGGCATTTGAAGGTTTTGCAGAATTATTACAACCCAATGTTGTGACATTATTAGATGCAGGTACAATGCCTGGTCCTGATTCCATTTATCAACTATGGCGTGAATTCAGAAATCCTCAAGTAGGTGGTGCGTGTGGTGAGATTAAAACAGACATTGGTAGATTTGGTAAAAATCTATTGAATCCATTAGTCGCGTCACAGAATTTTGAATATAAAATGTCAAATATTTTAGATAAAACTACTGAATCTAATTTTGGGTTTATTTCGGTATTACCTGGTGCATTTTCAGCTTATAGATTTTATGCCGTTAAAGGACAACCATTAGAGAAATATTTTCATGGTGAACATATGGAAGGTGATCAAAAGAATTTCCATTTTTTTTCATCTAATATGTATCTGGCAGAAGATAGAATCTTATGTTTTGAAATTGTCACTAAAAAGAATAGTAATTGGATTCTGAAATATTGTAAAGAGTCATATGCATCTACTGATGTTCCTAGTAGGGTTCCTGAATTTATCTTACAAAGAAGACGTTGGTTAAATGGTTCGTTTTTTGCATCGATATATTCATTCTGTCATTTCTATAAAATTTGGTCAAGTGGGCACAGTATCTTTAGGAAATTGATACTAAATTTTGAATTTTTCTATTTATTTTTCAATACATTGATGTCATGGTTTTCATTGAGTTCATTTTTTTTGGTATTCCGTATATTAACAGTTTCACTTTCGTTACAATATCAATCAGTTTTCAATATTTTATCAGTTGTATTCTTATGGTTATATGGTATCTGCATTTTATCCACATTCATATTATCATTAGGTAATAAACCAAGGAGTACTGAAATTTTTTATGTTACAACGTTTGTTATATTTGCAGTTTTAATGGGCTATATGATCTTTTGTACTGTATTTTTAACAGTTAAGGCATTTGAATCTATACTGTTAGATCATTCGTTTACGGTTAAAAGCTTATTGACTAGTGATACATTCCGTGACATTGTAATTAGTATTGGTTCGACATATGCGTTGTATTTAATAAGTTCGATAATATATTTGCAACCTTGGCATATGGTTACAAGTTTTGCTCAATATATTTTATTAAGTCCATCTTATATCAACGTATTGAACATTTATGCATTTTGTAATGTCCATGATCTTTCATGGGGTACTAAAGGTGCGGTAGCTAAACCGTTGGGTAAGATTAACACACAAGCAGATGGTACATTTGATATGGAAATATTAATCTCTAGTGAAGAGATTCAATTAAATTATGAGAAACATTTTGAGAATTTAAACAAACCAACAGCAAACGAAGAGGTTGAAGAAACTATAAATTATGAAGAACGTAAAACCGGATATTATGGCAATATAAGATCAATCATCATAATTGTTTGGATAATGACTAATTTTGCAGTAGTCGCAGCGGTATTAGAAACCGGTGGTATTGATCAATACATTAGCATGAGACATAACAAGAAAAGTAATGAGATTACAGAAAAGTTGTTACCAATTCAGTCATCGTATTATTTTAATATAATACTTTGGATTGTTGCATTTTTGGCATTGGTTAGATTTTTTGGATGTTCTTTATACTTAATCTCTAGACCATTTAAGAAGCTATGGTTTAAAAGAACCGCCAGAAATTCACCACCTGCATCCTCTGTGTAGGGTAACACATAAACATTTTTATTTAGGCATTTAGAATATTAACGTATATAGGGAGTATAGGCATTAACAAAGACAAGGCATAAAAAAAATAAAAAGAAGACAACAGCATTATTTTATCACATGACCTACGTATAACGGTATATTAAAACATCAAGATATTATATTATTATAGATAGATAGATAGATAGATATTGTGAAGACGAAGTGGCCTTACAAGCACATGTAATTACCCACATCTCACAAATGCTCCTGAGAGTTGATTTTGCATTTAGATCTAGTCATCTTTTAGGCAAACTATCATCATATCAAAGGCCCGGCATCCTACAAGAAGAGCCTATGCATTACATAACAAGACGGACTGGATTTGAACTCAGTACCTTTTTACGTTCTCAGAGTTAGAGACACACACACATATATACCTGAAAATATATGTTTTCTTTCTCATCAACCTGTAAAGCGACCTATCTTTGTTCAAAATTGCAATTAAATAATTTATAACTCATCCGTCCATGCCATTCCGTGGTTCTGCTACTTGTGGTGACCGATTTCCCAACCAATGTATCTAAAAGGGCTAACCTTTCTGAGCATAACATTACTGATTATATCTCAATTCACCACAGCATTGGCTGCTGCTGCTGGGAACTTTTACCAGTAAGTTACGTATAAGGAACTTGATAAAGCCCAGCAAACAATCGTCCAAATCTATGTTACCCGGAAACAACATGCACACAACCAGCAAAAGGCTTCTTAAACGGAGGACAGGAAAGCACTGGGAAACCACCGCTAAGCTAAGCTACAATTGATTACCTTCTTGTATTCGAACTGCCTCTTACTCTACCTATTTTCATACCATTTGGTTTGGCTGCCCTTTATCCCTCAAGTACACCTGCACACCTCACCTTGGACCGCGCTATTTTTAAAGAAATTCGAAATACAAAATGAAAACAAAGCTGTTGTGCACGAGCATCTCAGTGGCCGTCCCAATTAGGAAAAACATCGAAACGAATTCGATTGAAAAATTTTTCTTTCAAGTTAGCAAACCAAATTTCGAAAATTTCATTTAAATATAACTTGGAAAGAAAAGTTAAATTTAAATGCAATAAGATGGAATAGAGTTTTATTTCAGGTTGGACTGTTTGTTTAACTGTTGTTAATATTTTTTTTGGTTTTAGTTCATTCAATTTTTAAGTATTGTTTTAGGTTTTCATTTGAATTCATATATCTTTTAGAATTTCTTTCTTTCGTTGGTTTTTGGTTTAGTTCTTCTTGTTTTAAGGTCGCCGAATATCTTTGCTGCGTTTTTGAAGGACATATATTGATTAATATTTGGCCAAAAGGAAATAATAATAGGAAATATAGATTCATTTCTGCGATACCCCTTTTTAAAAAGTCTCTTTTTATTTCTGCTACCAATCGTATTCCTGATCAATCCCTCCACGTCACACTAATACCACATTTCCCCATTCTCTAGTTAATTAACTATTTAATTGATAATTGAAAGGAAACAAGACAAAAAAAAGAATTTTTTTTTTATCATAATACATCACAAGTTATAATATATATATATAATATACTAAGAACAATGAAATTCTCATCTGTCGCTATAGTATCTTTGGCTGCTATGTCCTCTCTAGCTGCTGCTAAGGACAAAAAAACTGAAGTTACCACTACTAAGTCTACTACTTCTACTCCTTACAGCAGTACTCACAAGTATGGTAAGTTCAACAAGACTCCAAAGTCTCACACTACCCAAACTGGTACTCACAAGTACGGTAAGTTCAACAAGACTCCAAAGTCTCACACCACCCAAACTGGTACCCACAAGTACGGTAAGTTCAACAAGACTCCAAAGTCTCACACCACCCAAACTGGTACCCACAAGTACGGTAAATTTAACAAGACTCCAAAGTCTCACACCACCCAAACTGGTACTCACAAGTACGGTAAGTTCAACAAGACTCCAAAGTCTCATACTACTAACACTGGTACTCATAGATACGGTAGATTTGACCATACCGTTGGTCACGTCAAGAAGACCAAGACTCCAGAAAACAAGGCTGCTGAAAACGCTGCCATTGGTAGTTTCGGTTCCTACAGAGCTGTCGGTTTGACTGCTGGTGGTGCTATGATTGCCGGTGCTTTGATGCTATTATAAATGGTATAATGAAAGTACTTGACTTACCTTTTTTTGTTCCATTTCAACTTCAAGTAAAGGGTCCTGAAGAGCCCTTTGCTTCACCTTATATGCCATTTTATTATAATTACTGAGAGGTTTTTTATTCTAACCGTCTTCTCATGAATGTATTACAATAAACAAAATTTCCAAAAAAATTCTAACATTAATTATTAATATTTCTTCAAGTTCGATTCGTCATTGATATTGATCGATCATCACCTTTTTTTATAACCATTTCCAAGTTGTTAGTTTAATCTTCGGGCTATATGATGGTAACAACTTATCTTTTAATGTGCAATTTAAATTCTTACAGAATGCCTTCTTTATCGAGCATCTGTAGGTTGTAAAATTATTAATTTCACTTAGAGACTACCTTATTACAAATTGTGATATTTATGGGCACAGTGGTAATGACTTTTAGGGCTCATTTATTTATGGAAGGCCCATGAAGCTTCGTTAACATCAATTTCTTGCTGTTTTATGTGTGTCAGCAAAGATGTTTATGTAAGTGTCATTTCTCTTCCTCTGTGGCCATGATACTGAAAACTTGTGAGTTTGTGTGTGATTCTCATGAGTATATCCCTTTATATTTGTTATAAAGGTGTCTCTATGTGTCAGTGTCTGTGTGTGTATATAAAAGTATTTTGAACTTATTCAAAATATGAATAGTGGATTACATTTTCTATATTTATAAATATATATAACTATGTAGATAAATGTATGCGGATATTCCAACAATCTCAAAATAGATTAGTGATAACTCTTTACATAATGAAAACCAACAGATTGTTGGTTCTAATGCAAATTGTTGTATTAGTCTTGTTTTTATCTCTCTCCTGCAGTAGTAAATAAATATATGTAAATTTTAGTTTCGCCTTTAAGTAAATTGTTCAATATAAAATCAATCTTTGTAACAATTGTTTTGTTGTTTAAAATATTTGATAGGATAAAAAGCAGCTAAGGAACGATTAAGTCTGATACAAGGAAGTTACTTCCCATCCTACGTATGCATGAATAGTGCACCGCCAAGTTATCTACCGTCGAAGAAGTCGCAATTGACAAGTCGATCAAGAATTGCTAAAATCAATGAACTATATGAAAGAAAAAAAAGAGAGCATAGGGACTCTGTAGTATCCAATAGTTCTACTTCAGTGGTATCTTCAAGTCCAAGTCATAGTATCCAAGAGGTAGAGAGTAATGGAATTGATTATTCTTCGGCAGATGACCAATCTAAAGAGATTCAACATCAGAATATTAGCAATCCTTTTGCAATTCCATTAAGAACTTCGACTCCTCCAATGAAGAAAAAGTACATTCCAGGCACTGTGAACATCGATGATAAAATAGTTAGTGATGACGATTATATGGAGGAATTGAAATTCACTCCAAAGTTAAAATCAAGAAAGAGTATAGAATCAATGAGATCTCTAAGACGTGACGACAATGTAGTACGAAGAAATGTTTCAACTGTTAAAAATACAAATCAAAGGAAAATATCAAATTCAACATCAATACGACATTCATTAGGTGATCCACTTCCATTGCCTTACATTCGTAATGAGCAGCCTAATATTAATAACCAGAGAATTAATCAGTTAATGACAGTAGACTCAATAGAGCAAAAGAGAAAAGATATGGAGAATAAATGGGGGCATTTAATAACGAAGAACAGGCATCAAATGGAGGAAAAACTTAAGATAATCAGGAGTTCTTCCAATAATAGTATAGGATTTAGTAGATCAGCATCTCCCTCTGCTAGATATTCAGATTTTACAGATAATGAAATTGAGACAGAAGAAGATATAAATCTGAGCCAATTGCAAGAAGAGATAAAACATAATAGGGATAAATTAGATCATATCATTGATCTATTACATTCCAAAAAAATTGGGAATAAATCTAAGGATAATAAGGGGAAGGAAATTTTGCATGTTGTAGAATATTTGATATGGACAATTTGTATTGTTATTTTAATTTTATGTAATTACTATGTTTATAAATTTTTGTAATATTAGGTTTATTCAATAATATAGATTGATTATATGCCATGAACTCTTGGATTATACTTACTTATATACAGGTGTTTTGTTGTCTTCATCTTAAACAAGTAATCTAAGTTATATTACTTGTTTTCCGTTTTATTTTCATTCATCAAAGTCATTTTTAGGTGGTCTGCCATCTTCACTCCTCATGTATAGGTCAATTGCCGTTGAAAATGCAGCAAAACCTGCGCAACCTATCAGTGCTGCCTGAGGTCCACTCTTGAATGCTAACCCACCACCAGTGATACAACCAGCAAGGACACCATTATAAATATCATTTTTAGCTCTAACAGATTCTACAACACACTCTGTTCCAGAATAAATCATACCCATAAACCCAAAATTTTTGGCACTTGAATATGATCTCTTCCCCATATCAGCAAATTGTAATTTCATCTGTTGTTTAAACGGAAGATCAGCTATGGATTGGACATTTGGTGGTAATGGACCTTTTAAACCAGGTATAGTTACTGGACCTCCTGGAGTAGGAGTATGCAATGGAGTGTCATAGGCCATCGAAGCCATAAAAAGACCAAAAACACCACCCAGAGCAAAACCAGTAACACCACTAATAACAAATTTACCAGGACAAGATGTCATAAAGTCCATCATCATCTTGGCACCTTTTTCACCCTGCTCATCTGGTGTCATTTCACTAAATGACTTGTCTGGAGGTGGTGGAGAAATTTGCTCCAGTCCAAATCCAGTGTAAACCATTGCAACGATAAGATTTCTTTAATCTGACTTATCAACACTCTATTGGATCTCTACTTCTTAAAACAATATCATGTCCTGTACTCATCATTTATATAGTTCTTTTAAAGAATCAAATACATCGAACTTGATGATTTTAACTGATGCTTAAATGGTAATACACGTGACATTCAATATAATCAAAATTAACCAAAGAATAAGGCAATCAATAGTTAATGAAAGTTGCAATGATGTGACATTATGATATTTATCTCATTAAAACTTTGATAGTATATTCAATAATATTAAATGGGTATGTGAATAGTAAATGCATTGTCACAGATGAAGAGCTAAATGTGCTTTGAAAATGAGGATTTTTAGTGGGAAAGATTCGAACACAATACAATATGTTCTTTCTTTTCATGACAATTGTTGATATGAAATGACGAAAACAGATATTATTCATTTGCCTATTTATATCTTATATATTGCCACTTAAAAGATATGGCATTTTGTCATATTTTATTCATCATTTCATAATTAGTATGGAAGTTAAAGATCCAATGATTCCGAATTGAAGATTCCCAAACTCCAATTCATTGGAAACATATATTTCAGTTTTCAAGTTGAAATGTGCAATATTCGAATTTACTTAAAACTTAGATGATGGTGTCTGGTATAATGCCAATTTATGCACCCATTGAGACCAGATTGGGTATACAATGTTCTTAATTTGTAATGTTTTGCTCTAATCACGATCATTATTCCAATCAATGAGCTGTATACTTCAACTATTGAGATTAATAATTATGATACACAATAAATTATAGTACTAAAATAAATAAGTGTAGCTTACAAACATCATTAGTTATTGCCAATTTGAAGATTACTCTTATCGATCATTGAGAATCTCTCTGATTTATAATACTATTCTAGCTCAATCATTTGAATAAATGAAAAAAAAAATACCAGATACAACTGTAATAATTTCTACAGAAGATATTACCTATTTGGCTTTCGACAAGAAACTTTGGCTCTATCTGGGGGGAACTTAAAGATTTATAAGCGTCCATTTTGTTTTCCTATTCTCGGTGTATGTTTTGTCTTTTTTTTTCAACAACTCAACAAGTAATTGCCATCTTAGTATAGTGGTTAGTACACATCGTTGTGGCCGATGAAACCCTGGTTCGATTCTAGGAGATGGCATTTCTTTTTTGCTTAATTTTTAAACTTCCTACAAGAGGTATAGTTTTAAGATAATATGAAATAGTACATTGAGGGAAGTAAACTAGACTATTTATGCCTTATGTACAAAGATTATTCATATTAAATTTATGATATCATTAAAAAAAACTATTTAATTAAAAATATATGCAGATAATAAGAAAAACTCTTACTGGAAACCATCTATAACACATTTTTTCAATAATTACGTATCTCTTTGAAATCAAAAACATGGTAATTTGGACTTTAGCATCATTTGTATCAATATAGTCTACCAGGCATTGGAATTTGACTTCCATTGCATATCTGGTCTTTGCTCTCTATCTGAATGGCAAAAGCGTCTTACAGATAAAGGCATTTCACATTTTGGACAAATTCCTTTGGACTGGCATAAACGTTCAAAGGCTGTTAAAGGTTTTTTCTTTAAAGACATGCCTCTCATCTTTTTATTTCTATCTGAACTTTTTCTGTCACCATAAATTGGTTTACTAAAAGAATACTTTTCATTGCGACCATTCCTTGGTGATGAGCTTGTGGCATTCTGCCTCGCATTATCAGTAAACCGTCTCTCCTCCATATTACCAAATATATTTGATCTAGTGCCTAATTTAATGCTGTTGGACCCAGTTCCTAGAAATGAAGGTTGATATTTATTTTGCTTAAATTCATTTGATGGCGGAGATCTAGGAAAAGTAGAATTATTTGAATTTTCAGCTCTTTTTGATGGTAAACTATTAGATGAAGTATTCTCCAATTTTACAGTTGCTTTAGAGTTCTCTCTACCTGTAATAGAATCCTTTCGAGATATTTCAACTAATTCAGTTTTCTTATCTTGAACATTGAGTTCATGGCTTTGCTTTTCTTTTCTTGATATTTCTTCAACTTCACTAACGCTGTCAATTTTTGTGAAAGACTCAGATGACTGTACGCCATATCTACTTCTGATATTAGTTTCAGTTGTTTTATTACCAATCATAATTGAATCCTCTTTTTCAAGAATAGATGGTTTAGTAGTTTCAGATGAGGGTCCGGCCAGTTTTGTACTTTCTCCAACTGATGATTTTGGATAAAATGGAACGACATTCAAGATTTGGTTCTGAGCATAGGTATCTTGGAAGCCTGTTAAAGTAAATGCACCATTATTATAACCACTAGATGTATTAGCCATGTCATGTATATTACTAAATTCTGTTGAATTCTTCTTTGTTTCGACATTTTTGCCAGGGAAAAATGGTTCAATATTAGCAATACTGTTTTTTGGTTTAGAAATAGTACCCGCACTATTATCTTCCTTTAGAGAAGGATCTATTTCTTCTTTTTGGGCTTTTTCTTTTGACCTGCAATCAAGATTGATTCTACTTGATTGCGCTTCTTCTTCTTTTACCTTCGAAGTCACAGCGGACTCGGTGATACTATTCTTTTCAGGTTGTCTTAACTTGGCATTATTGTTGTCACTGTTCAATATATTTGAAACTGAATCATCGGTGGTACTAAATACAAGACGTTTTGCTTCCTGTTTTATCACGACTTGTTGATCTACATTGGTTACGATTTCATCAATAGTTTTAGCTTCATTCATTTCCTCTAGTTTGGAAGTTGTATTGGTGGCATTTATAGTCTCAGTCATTTTAATTTTCTCTTCTATAACTTTTGCGGGTTTAGTGGTTTGGCCAATATTTTGGGATCTGTTACTGGAAACGGTTCCTTCTTCAAACGCATTTTTCAATTCGAAGACTCTTTTTGATGTACCATATTCTAACTTATTAGTTTGAACCTTATCATCTTCGATAGAAACTCTGCCTTTATTATTGGCACCAAGCTCATTGGATCTTTGATCCTTATTCTTAGTAGAATTCCTTTTCTCTGTTATATTTTTCTTTTCATTTTGCTTATTGGTATAATCAACATTTTCATGTATACTCTTTGATTCTTGGAATTTTTCACTTTTTGCTTTGGAGATAGTTTCTTTTAGATTGTTTGTATCATCAACAGCACCTGAATGTTGCTTCTTTTTTTTATCATTTTTATTATCTACAAATGAATTTTCAACACAGGTCAAATCATCTAATGAGTTTGAAGATAAAGATTGAGGAGTAGAACCTATGATAAGTAAATCAGAACTATCTTTAGAATCATATTGACTTGATGATATCCTTAAGGAATTTTCAAAATTTGAATCAATATAGCTTCGTATGTTATTCAATTTTTCTTTGTCAACATAATCATAAAACTGGTTAATGAAATGTTTTAGGAAAGTCAATAAACCTTCATTAACATCATGATTTTTCAACCAAGTTAAAAACCATCTTGCAGCAGAATCACGAAAATGTAAAGCAGTAAATAAAACCTGTTCTCTAGGGATAACAATACTACGGCAAACTAAATGAACTTGAATAACAGAATAAAAATTTTTAAACTCCAAAAAACTCTCCTTCCCAGAGAAAGTAACATCAGGGATAGCAAATTCACTCGAACTTCTAGCACCCATTTAACATAAAACCTTGAATTAAACCACTCTTGCTATATTAAATCTAAACTTTACCTTAAATTAAGTATGTCGATGAAGAATCTTTTGAAACTGTAATTCTCAAGTCTATCAATAAAACAAATGTAAATCTGAACTCTAGGGATCCCAAAAAACGGTATCCAAACTTAGAAGCTCTTTTATAGATACGAGAACCCACTCTAGATGTAATTACTTTTCCACACCATTGTTCAATCTCATCTTTTTGTCATTGCATGCATATCCATGTAAATTTCATCAAATTCCATTGATATTTCTCACATGCGGGTCCTATGCAAGGAAGGCTTTAAAGTCACTGAAAAATTGATGATGAATAAAAATCAGCAAATGTCCAACAAGATACATGACAGCAATTGAATATTATCTGGAAGATGGATGATGAAGCACGAGTTGGGATATTTCAGATATCTTGAGGTGATTAATATTGTATTGAATTTGGTAATTTTGGTTTAAAGTATGATTTTCATGGTAAAAACAGTTAATCTTATGCGTTCATATTCGTTAAATTATACGAGATTATAAATTATTATTTTTGTCTATATATGATAATATGATAATATGATATATATATATGATATTGATTACAATTCTATATTTTTTTATGAGTTTGTTTAATCAACTTCTTCGACAGTTGGACCTTCAGCTTCTGGAGCTGGTGGGGCACCACCTGGGAAACCACCTGGAGCGGCACCGGCATCTGGCATACCACCAGATTGGTACAATTTGGTCATGATTGGGTTAGTGATTTCTTGTAATTCCTTCAATTGGTCATCGAATTCTTCCTTAGAAGCAGTGGTGTTGCTGTCTAACCAAGCGATAACTTCGTCAGCCTTCTTGGAGATAGTTTCTTTGTCAGCTTCTTCCAATTTGTCACCAGCTTCACCGATGGTGTTCTTCAAAGAGTAAGCAACAGATTCCAATTGGTTCTTGGAAGCGATTCTTTCAGTTTCCTTTTCATCTTCTTCCTTGAACTTTTCAGCTTCAGAGACCATTCTTTCGATATCTTCCTTGGATAATCTACCCTTGTCGTTGGTGATGGTAATTTTGTTAGATTTACCAGTACCCTTTTCGACGGCAGAAACGTTCAAGATACCGTTAGAGTCGACATCGAAAGTAACTTCGATTTGTGGGACACCTCTTGGGGCTGGTGGGATATCGGTCAAGTCGAACTTACCCAACAAGTTGTTGTCCTTAGTCTTGGCTCTTTCACCTTCAAAGACTTGAATCAAGACACCTGGTTGGTTGTCAGCGTAAGTAGAGAAGACTTCGGATTTCTTGGTTGGGATGGTAGTGTTTCTTGGAATCAATTTGGTCATGACACCACCAGCAGTTTCAATACCCAAAGATAATGGAGTGACATCCAACAACAATAAGTCTTGGGTCTTGGAAGAAGTGTCACCAGTCAAGATAGCGGCTTGGACAGCAGCACCGTAAGCGACAGCTTCATCTGGGTTAATGGATCTGTTTGGTTCTTTACCGTTGAAGAAGTCAGTAACCAATTTTTGAACCTTTGGAATTCTAGTGGAACCACCGACCAAAACGATTTCGTGAACTTGAGACTTGTCCAATTTAGCATCAGTCAAAACCTTTTCGACTGGGTCCAAAGTGGATCTGAACATATCAGCACATAATTCTTCGAATCTAGCTCTGGTAATAGAAGTGTAGAAATCGATACCTTCGAACAAGGAGTCAATTTCAATGGAGGTTTGAGCAGAAGAAGACAAAGTTCTCTTAGCTCTTTCAGCAGCAGTTCTCAATCTTCTCAAAGCTCTCAAGTTGGTGGTCAAATCCTTCTTGTTCTTTCTCTTGAATTCTTGAACGAAGTGGTTGACTAATCTGTTGTCGAAATCTTCACCACCCAAGTGAGTGTCACCAGCAGTAGCCTTAACTTCGAAAATACCGTCTTCAATGGATAACAAAGAGACATCGAAAGTACCACCACCTAAATCGAAAATCAAAACGTTTTCTTCAGCACCCTTCTTGTCCAAACCGTAAGCAATAGCAGCGGCAGTTGGTTCGTTAATGATACGTAAAACGTTCAAACCGGAGATAGTACCAGCATCCTTGGTGGCTTGTCTTTGAGAATCGTTGAAGTAAGCTGGAACGGTAACGACAGCGTCCTTAACGTCACCACCCAAATAAGCTTCAGCGGTTTCCTTCATCTTACCCAAAACCATGGAAGAGATTTGTTCTGGAGTGAAAGTTTTGGTTTCACCCTTGTATTCAACTTGGATTTGTGGTTTACCTTCAACATCGACAACCTTGAATGGGAAATGTTTCATGTCACCTTGAACTTCGGCGTCAGTGAAGTTTCTACCAATCAAACGCTTAGCATCGAAAACGGTGTTGGTTGGGTTCATAGCAGCTTGGTTCTTAGCAGCATCACCAATCAATCTTTCAGTGTCAGTGAAGGCGACATAAGAAGGAGTGGTTCTGTTACCTTGATCGTTGGCGATAATTTCGACACGATCGTTAGCGAAGTGAGCAACACAAGAATAGGTAGTACCTAAATCAATACCAACAGCTTTAGACATGATTTCTAAAATTGCACAATGGTCTTGGTACCTTTTTTCACAAACTGAAAAAAAAAAGAATAAGAAACTAAGAAATAAGAAGAGACTGGAAAGAGTTTTAACAATCGAAATAGAATATAATATAATGTATTCCCAACAATCAAACAAAGAAAGTTTTTCCTTTCCTTATCCAAATCGTTAACAAGACAAAAAAAAAGGATCGTGCTCTCTTGGAAACGTAACTACTATTTATATGCCATTGAGAAGGTACCAATACCCAAATAAAACCTTGTTCTTTTGAAACTTTTTCTTGAAAAGAAAATTTTTTTTATCTTTTCTGAAGAAAAATTTCTTTCTATGAGTTTCTATCTCTTTCTATCTGAATTGAAACCCACCACATCACTAACCAACCACCTGCCAACTTAACTACCAGATGAGACCAGGCGAGTATCTTGCTAAGCCAAAACCTTTTGTCATCATCAATCGTGAACCCTCCATGCAGAACCACAACCGCACTTCCTGGACCTTTATTTCTCTCTCTGTCTCTCTCTTTCAAGAGGAACAGCCAGGTGAGAAGCATAAAGGACTTAGTAAAACTAGAAGAACAGCAACTATCAACCTAACCCAAAGCCCAAAACCCAAAGCCCAAAACCCAAAACCTCTTCGAATTGATAAATGACATCACCCAAGAAGGCTAACTAGCTCAGATACAGAGAGAGATGAGATAGATCTGAAAAATTTTCTCTTCTTGGAAATCTTCTTCGAAACCGGTTTATCGAATCTCATAACAACGATGCCATTAAAGAAGATGGAAGTTTCTGGAAGAAGCAAACCTTTGATGATGAAGCTGAAGGTGAAGGTTGGATATAGTCTGCCTTCCAAGTGGGATAGGCTTTTGTTTGCTATGTTGGATCAGTTTGTCATGATAGCGTCGTTTGAGTTGCTCTACATTTTTTGTATCTTGTCTATGGGCACCCGGGCTATTTAGCAATTGGTTTGAGAGGTAGCAGCAATAGGAATAGTTATAGTAATAATAGCAAGTTCAGCAATGTATGTACATTTGTTGTTGTCCTCTTGGTATGGGATAAAGCTATGTACTTTTTTATATATATAAAAGTGATAATAGTAATAGTAATAGTAATAGTAATAGTAATAGTAAATTTTATTATTTTTTTATGAAGCTAGAAGAAAGAGAGGGACAAATTGTGTTGTAGTTTAGCTAATTAATTTTTTTTGGCTTCTTGTACTATTGGTTTTGAGATACTGTATTTTGATAAATTGATTAAAGCTAATTTACCCTTACTGTACCATAATTTGATTTGAGGAGGAATAGATGGATGGCTGAATACACCATCTAATCTTACTCTCCATTGAGCAAAAATTGTCTTCATGTATTTGGAGTTTTCATATCTTATCTTGATAAATAGTGAGTATACGATCAACATGATCAATGATTTTGGATAGAATAAAATCGTTCTCAATATAACAAGAACCAATAATGAAAGTTCAGATGATCCGACCCAATGCATACATTTATCATTATAATCAGTGACAAACTTGTCCATTCTGGCAACTACTTTGCTTGTTTCACTTGTCATTCCAAATACTTGTGGTAGTAAAACATTTTTCATATAGTTGATAGAATGAAACAATGAAAAGATAACATATGGTACTAATGAATATGTAAACCTTGGAGTAACTAGCCAAACTAAAGCCAAACTGAAATATAATACATTCTCATTTTGTAATAAATTGACTAAATTGATAGTAGTTTCATTACTCTTTGGCTTTAAATGGAAATGTTGATAAGTAATAATACCAAATGATTGTAACACACCAATAATTGCCAAACGGTACAGAATCTCATTAGCAGTTAAAATATAAAAAATTGAACATAGAATTACAACAGCATGTCCTGCAAACCAAGAAAATTGTAATGTCTTGGCTAGTTCAACAAATTTCTCTGAAATAGGCTTTCCTACTTTTGGTGCAGTTGACATCGTATTCCAAAAATTATTCTTCCTTAACCAGTTCTTATTACCAATAGTTACTAGGTACCAAACTAAAATAAACAAATATATATATATATGTATGTATATATTAACTTAATATACTCAATTGATTGAAGAGTAGTGTCTTTCTGCTGAGAAACATTCAATTTCAAATCCAAATAATACCTAATAGTATCATATTCATTCTTACTCTCTTTTTTTTTTTTCATAGTTCCCCTTCTTTATATCAGTTTATTTTATTTAGTATGTATAGAAAATATCTTCACGAGATCTCATAACAGTGGAACAAACAAGAATATGTAGAGATACAAGTTGGTTACTAGATTTAAGGAAATGTTTAGTATATTATGGTATATATGAGGTTAATGTACATTAATATTATTTATTTCTTGGTTTTTTCTTTTTCACAATTGAGGTTAAATCGTTAACATTTTGAGCTGAGTCTTCAGAAGTAGGTATATCAAATCCCATTAGTCTTTTCAAAACTAAATTTTTCACTAGATCTTCTTTCAAGGCATTGTTTAGTCCTTTAACTTCTTTCTTTCCCGTCTTCAATTCGTCTAATAGCACTTCGATTTGTGATAATTGATTTTTACATTCTTCGATATTTTTTGTCTTTGCCTGGTCAATGCATTTCTTTAAATAATCCCTTGAAAACTCCAATAGCTCAATACGTTGCGTCCTGGTTATACCACTCTCGTCAGGGTACCATGTTAGAGATTCTACCAATTTGAATATGATGCTGCTGATCTTATCTTGAATTTCAATATTTTGCTCATCATCTAATGATTTATAATTTTCAATTGATGATTCATATAGTTCAATTGATTCTTTGAATTGTTCTAATTCCTGGTAGACATCACCCAATAATTCATTTGTTTGACCGATTTTTTTAATAAGTTTTCTTTCATCTTTACTTGTCTTTCGTAGCAATTCAAAATTTGAACGTGCTACTTGTAATAATTCTAATGTATTATAGAAAATATCACCTTCCAAGTAGTCCTTGAAAGTAGTAAATGGCAAAGGTTCTTGATCGGCTTCTTCCTCTCCCTCCTCTTCTTCTTCTTCACTCATTTCTTCTTCACCACTTACTACTTCTTCCTCTTCTTTGGCAGCTTCTTCTTCTTCTTCTTCTGCTAAATCCTCTTCTTCATTATCAAACTGATATAGGTTCTCATTTAGCTTAGGCTTTTTATTCCCATCATCCTCATCTTCTTCATCACTGCCACCCTCTTCATCAGACTCATCGCTTTCACCTTCTTGATCAACTCCATTATCGTCATAGCCTTGCATTCCATTATCATCACCAAACATTCCACTTCTTTCAACACCAAGCTCATAAAGACAACTAGCTAACAATAGTAGATATTCTGGATCAATCTCCTCATCTTCCTGATCTTCACCTCTCAATGAATCTAAAATTTCAATGTAACATTTAGCAGCATTTTCGAATTTTGAACTTGCAGTATATTTAGCACCCTCAACAATTAATTCCTTAATCTTTGACTCCATTTTGTTTTACTATAATTGGGAACTACAGACCTAACAAAATATAAAATAGGAACTTAAATGTTACCAATTTCTTATACAATCCGTTTAGCTTAACCCTTGAATCGTTTATAAACAAGTTTACTATCATTTAATAATCCCATTCATCACTATTCATATTGCCTTTATATTAAAGAATTGGTTAAATTTTGGCTTTACGCGTCAAAAGTGAAACTTCGCGTTTCCTGTTACCCGGATGTTTGTTTCAATACTCACTGATGTCACTAATTGAAGCACTAATCAAACGGGATACGTATCAGTTCAATCTGGTTCCTTATTTGGCATGAGTAAAGACATTAATTGGAGATCTTGTCTATATTTTAATTAGTTGAGATTTAGTTATAAAATCACCATTCCTTTCAACGCAATTCAATTCAATTCGGTGATTGAAAGACTGGCGTTGATAAAAGTGGAGGATTAATATTTCCAACATTTTCTATGTTTAATAGTGAAACATATCACTTTAAAATAATTCCGTAAGCGTCGTTATGTGGGCAATATAGTGAACCAATTTCTGCCAAAACCATCTTCACGTATTATAGTTTTTTCCTCTCATTTGGTAGTGGAAAGCTAGGCACCGGCATCATAAAATACCTTTTATAGAGTTTGATGTAAATTTTTATTCTAATATTATTCAAATAGGGATATTGGAACTTGAAGAGAGTTCTCTGTTGTAAAGTTCTATTCTTTTATTCTTTTGGTGAAAACTGCGACTTTTTGGAATGAATCCCTAGCCTTCCAAGCAAAACCTAAAAACCATCAACTTTTGTTAAAGGATATGGAACTATAAACAAAAATTACAAATGGGAACCTTTTCAAGAGAACACAGAGTTCATCAATACTATCATATTGTGAGAACTGCAATTGATTTAACGAAAATAAGGATAATCACGAATAATGATCATGAGGCATTCAAGGAACAGTTACATACATATAAACATTATGTTACTAGTGTCGCAATTATCAGATATATCTAAAGTTACTTCAATGCAAAATAATTAAGAACAGATAAATCTATTGTTAAATATATAGTAAATGATAACTTGGTGTGGTGAGATAAACTAAAATTTTTTACTATTCAATAATGTTATTTAAAGTTACTAATTCGTTTAAACATGTATGACAAGTAAACTTTTATAAAAAAATAAAATCTTAATGAATATAATTATCGCCAATTTTCTTTTAATAAGTGAGATGAGGGTATTCATCGTCGGCATATTATCAACAAACAGTAAATGAAAGTAATAAATTTAAATATCATTATTTATTTATGAAAATGTAATTTAAAAGGACATAAGTTATATAAGAAGTGTCTAAAAAACATGTACAAAATGATTTATTCTTAGTTCTTGCCCCATCCCATCTTAATAGCCTCATCGTAGGTTGGGTAATCCAAGTAACCCTTATCGCTCATGGCATAGAAGGTATCTCTGTCGTATTTGTTCAATGGTAAACCTTTCTCGATACGATCAACAATATCTGGATTAGCAATGAAGAAACGACCATAAGCAATCAAAGTTCTATCATCTTTAACCATTTCTTCAACATCTTCTGGGTGCAAAGCAAAGTTACCAGCTCTGATGATTGGACCTTTCCAGATTGAGTAAACAAAATCGTTGGTACCATCCAAGTATACACCTTCACCTTCAGTTAAGAATGGATCAGTGACACGAGGTTCAACTATATGAATGTAAGCTAATCTCTTACCTTCTCTAGCTCTCTTTTCCAATTCACCAATGACGTAGGCGTATTGTGCAAGTAAAGTTGGCTCTGCTGCTCCTGACATAGTACCAAATTTACCATATGGAGAAAATCTAATACCAACCTTTTCATGACCTACAGCTTCAACAATAGCATCAACAACTTCTAGAACAAATCTAGCTCTATTTTCAATAGAACCACCGTATTCATCGGTTCTCTTGTTAGAGATTGGGTCTAAGAATTGGTTCAACAAGTAACCGTTAGCACTGTGAATTTCAACACCATCAGCACCGACACCAATGACATTCTTAGCAGCTTGAACGTATTCCTTAATGTATTGCTTGATTTCATCTTTAGTCAAACCGTGTTGAGGGTTGTTAGATTTCTTAGCCAAAGCTTCTTGTTCAGCAGACATGTAAACATCATCGGAGGCAGAGTCGTATCTCAAACCATCTCTAGCCAAAGTGTCAGCATAAGATTGTCTACCTAAAACCCACAATTGAGGCCAGATAAAGGACTTGTTTTCATGGACCTTAGCAAAAATCTTCTTCCATTCGGCTAATTGTTCTTCAGACCAAACACCTGGTGCATTATCGTAACCACCAGATTGTGCGGATGGGAAAACACCTTCAGTGATCAACATGGTACCTTCTCTCTTAGAACGTTGGTTATAGTATTCAACAGCCCAGTCTTTGTTTGGAACATTACCAGGGTGATGAGCTCTCATTCTGGTTAATGGAGGCAAGACAGCTCTGTGTTTCAATTCAGTGTTACCAATCTTGATTGGCTTGAACATGTTAGTGTCTTTCAAAGCAATTGGCTTAAAATCTTGAACAAAAGGCATTTTTAATGGATATTTTTTTAATTAGTATTTGTTTGTAATGATATCAATAGATACAGTATTCGTAACTTTTGAATCTTGGTTTCTTATATATTACAATATCATTAATAAAACCATAATAAAAGAGATAGATGGAATTTTGTAACTTGATGATATCTAGTCCCTTATATATAAATCAGAAACCAGCAACTCATGTCAAAAGTACTTGCTCAATCATTAATCAGCCATCAATAATTGAAAATGAATATTAACCGCTGGCAAATTGGGGCTGTTATACGTATCTTTTACTTGGCTGACAAATTTCTCGGAAGCATCAGACGGAAGCGGAACGATTACAAATAAAACTAAACGGAACTTCGAAACGGAACCGACTCCGCAAGAATGTTATTAAGAAACGATCGTAGAATAGTGCTATATAGTTGAAAAAGAAATTCGGAAATGCCAACGAGGACGATGGTAATAAACTGAAAGATTATTAATTATGGAGGTTTAGGAACTCACAACTGCTAGTGTAATTGCTTTAGTTTGATTGATGGTAAGTTATTATTCTTCAGCCTTAGAGGAGTGAAATTATAGTTCTGATTGTAATCATATTGACGGATGGATGTACCATAGTTGACGGGTCGCAGGTAAGTAAGCAAAATAGTTAATAAATATATTTAGGGAACCACGACATAAAGAGAATAAAGATATTTTCAGGTGTCTTTGTTGATATACAAAAACGTATTCTTAGATTTAGTATGAATTAGTTGATTTCGTTTACCAAAATATCTTTGAAAACAATGAAAAGGCTTGGAAAATAACAATTTTTTATTATCCGACCTGTGTCATATCAGCTATTGAAAAGAAGTCATAACTTATCGGAAATATTTATCTAAGACAATGTTAAATCTTTTTCCATATTATAAAGCCTTTTTTCTTTGAATATAGCTATAAAATATTTCGTCAGAGAGCCAAAATTGCTAGATCACTATCGTTAATGCTAATCTAATTTGCTCTTTTATTAATCAATGTTAAGAATACGAAACGCAGCCAAATGTAGCAAATAAGAAAGTACACTTTACTTGTACTTTTTGAACTTCGAATGGAATTCTCAATTAATAGATGAGCAAGACTATAAAAATTATTCATGGTCCTATTTAGACTGTCTAGAATTTTGGAAGTACATAGCATTTAAAATGACTTTTAAATAGACCAGATATATTCTTTTATTAAGTTAATTCGATGATCCTGTCCAGATATGCTCGATATATTGGTTTTTTTAGTTATGATTCTGAACAGTAATTATGTGAAGAACGGCTGAAATAAGCATAATTTTCGATATATAAAGCTAACTGCAATATTTTAGTGAACTAAGTCTAATTGACATAAAGGGCTGTTCACAATCACACATCACATTATCCAAGACTAAAATTAATTATAATTATAATTATAATTATCAAAAATGGAAATCTGGCCTCAATTAATATACCAATTATTTCTATGACATTTAATGTCTTTTGTACTAGTGGTAATCAACGTCCTGCTATCCCATGTGTGATATCAGCAATCAGTGAGACACTATAATTACCAATACTGAGTATGGTATTGTGGCGGCTTACACACTACATATCCCCATATTAGGATGAGTGATTATTAGTCCAAATCTGGGCCCCAACAAGGTCCATTTGCCATCTGTGTGATAATTTGTGAGCCATTTGAAATCATCGGCATTTATACTACTTGTACCTCTTTCTTTTTAAGAATTTAAAGTTGTCGTATAAACGTATATTTTATCGATTTTCCTCTGTAAAATGTATATATGAAATTTCAATATCAACAATTAGAAGACTCCGTGGCCAAGCTGGTTAAGGCGTGCGACTGTTAATCGCAAGATCGAGAGTTCAATCCTCTCCGGGGTCGGTTACTTTTTTAATTTATTTTTATTTTTTTATGATCATGCACATAACAAACACTATGTAAACTTCCTTCCTGTCCTCAAATTTCGAAAGAAGGTTAAAGTAGAGATTTGATGGACAATCCCCCGGTAAAGGAGCAAATGTTTGATCGAATACTGACAAGTAACTACAAATATATGTTGATCATTATTATATTGAACAAATAAACCTATATTTATTGTTGCTTTTATTTAATTTACACTTTAAACCCCCCATAAATTCCAATATTCCATTTTAAACCAGAATTCATCAAATGGGTTTTTTTTAAAAAAATTGAGAAGGGTTGGGATTTAAAACCAATTTTTTCAAAAAGTTTATAAATTTTTATAGGAAAAAAAAGGAGTTCTTGCCGCTCCTTTTATTCATCAAGTTTTTCGAATTTTCCTCAATTATTTTCCCATAATAATCTTTCCGGGATATTCACTTGCTTGCCATTTTTCGAATCTTTATATTTTTTATTAATTCGGATCGCAGATATGCATTCCTCTTGTATAACCATTTTAAATAATTGATAGTTTTCAAATATATAATCATCTCTGATCTACTTTCTTTCTCTGTTAGATCAGGCACTACATCTACTAAATCATCATAAATTGATCTAACTAACTCTCTTCTCTTCTTTTCAGATAACACATGGTTGATTTTGATCTGAGATTCAGATAGCTTACTCATCCTTTTGCCCCTAGGCTTCCGTACTTTCTTAATATCCAAACTGTCCGGCACATTATCGTTTGAGCTTTCTAATGAATGCACATTCATTTCATTATGATTACCTCCGTTAGTCATCTTTCACTATCTTTGTTGCTAACAAGCTCATTCAACTGAACAATTAACCCTGACAATGATCAACACTTAACTAAAGGGCTACGTATCCAAACAGAAGAATATACAGATACACACATATATATATAAAGTCAAATAGAGCTAGTCTAGATGGCAAGTCGTACATCATTAAATTTCAAGATGCTCTTTAATGTGTAGTTATTTGACGTTAGTGGGTAATCTCGCCACCAATTTGACTGCAAGTGAAAAATACCTAAAGGACATCATCATGTGACTGCTTTGGAATATATGAAAGTTAAACAAGTGGTGATGGGTGGTAATAGGATGTCATTAAAGGTTATTTCTTAAAGTTGATGGTGTGGTGATTAACACCGTTTATACAAGGAAAAGAGAGTGTTGTATTAGTTAAATATTTAGAGGATTATGCTTTTATACAGATTTAAATAATTACAAAGATAATGTTTCGTAGAGTGGTGTTGTGGTAGCTTGGTGAACGACCAATTAAAAGAACAATAATAATTTTTTTGGGTTACCTATTTCATTGAAACTAAAAAAAACTGAAATAACTTTCAATGCTGACTGTCAAATTTTTCAATGTTGACTTTAGTCAGTCTCATGAGAATGGTATAGGAAATAAAGCTATAGATGAGTTAAAATGAAAATGTCAGTCAGCAGCCATATGATTTTTTCAAAATTTATTCGGCTGTCCCTCCCATTGTAATACCGGGTCATGTGACACAGTTATCCATTCGAACCCTGGAAGAGGCATAGTTTTCCGGAATAAGATTCAAAGTCACAGGGTATCAACAACAACTACATACAGGCTTTCAAAATCCAAACTATCTTGTAACATAGTTACCAACTATGGGGGAGAAAGAAGGGACCACCGTTGGATTAATGAAGCATCTCTTGGTCAAGGTATGTGATTGTAGTGTTAAGCATATGTTGATGTTGAAATCTACTAGAGAAACATTTCCTATATATATGTGTTGGCTATCATGTTCTCAGACTTCTCTTTAAATAACTATTGAAATTTTAGCTCTACTATTGAACCAACAAATCTAAATGCTTTACAGTTCAAGATTCCTGGAAATTGACATTCCAGATTCATTTTGGAAGATTCAAAAGTTGCCCTCGGCAACAAGAGCAATCACCTCTATATATCTGGTGTTGTCTATTTTCCTTTTATTTATTAGATACCAATCATACAGTCAGCTTGATGAGGTCACTAGAGGAAACACAAGTTTCGCTGAAATTACCTTCCCAATACTACAAATGGTTCCTGATAAAATGAAATATTATCCATTTTCAATAGTGTTATCCAATTTTATAGACACAGAACTCTGGAAATTTATAATCAATCTATTGAATTTGTCTATAGGTGGTGCTTACATTGAGCGTAATTGGGGTTCTTCGAGGGAAATATTTAAGTTTACCATTCTCTTAGGTACTATTACCAATGTAGTTGTTGTATTATTCACATTTGCAATGTCATTTATATTTGATGGAATTTCATTGAGTAAGCCAATTGACGGAAATTACACAATCTTAATAGGGTTCCCAATTATCTATAAACAATTATTGCCAGAAACAACGATATTTGAAATTAAGAACATACCGTTGATTTCAAAAAATTTTAGGTTCAAATTACTACCAATTTTTGTTATCTGCGTGGTTACATTAGTCCAATTAATTTGGTTACACCATTTTGCTCAATTGATAAGTATTTGGCTATCATTTGTATCTTGCTGGGTTTATTTAAGATTCTATCAAACTTTAAGTTTAGCTGGTGACAATTCTAATGCAGAAGTTGCGTTTGCTGGTGACACTTCAGACACTTTCCAATTTATCTACTTGTTCCCTGACGTTGTCAAGCCTTTGCTGAGACCAATATTTGACTTGATATATGATATTGTTTGTGTTAAATTGAGATTAATACGTCCTTTAGAACTATCTGATATTGAAAAAGGTAATTCCATAGCTGAGCAAAGAGGTGCTAAACCACTGGAAGGATCTGCTACAAGTAAAGATGAAGAAAGACGTAGACAAAAGGCCCTTGAAGTGTTGCAAGAAAGAATGAGTTGATATAAGTAATAATTTTGTAATAATCAATAGATAATAAAGAAGACAAATATAATAAAAGGAGGAATATAGTAATAATATATTTGATTTAAGGAGTCCTTAACTTATTTTTAGTGTTCTATTTTTTCCTACATAGACGACAAGACCAACAATGTCTGATGATATACACTTGAAAGATTCTCTTTTGTCTTGAATAAGTTATTTTAAAAATTAAAGATTTCAGAACTATCTTAGCCAAATCATATATTAAGTTCATATTGCATTTCTGATATTATTTAGGTACTTAATTCCGGTTTAATACTACTTCAAGTAAATTAAAGTTGCCTCTTATATCAAAAAGGGTAGGCAGAGCACTTGCTTGTGAAGAATTCACATTACAAAAAGTTGGGGTCGAATGAAAATCAGTATCAAAAGGATGGCTGGACATCTGATTACCAATGGCCCAGATGACATTAAAAGTTTTATTGAAATATTTGTCATATAAATAGAGGCCAAGTATTCACATTTAATATTTGAAATAATTGGATACTTTGTATAAGGTATTTAATTATCTAAAAAGGATATGGGGGAAAAATTCACACATATCAAGACTACATAACTAATACACGAAATTATAACGAACTCTCCAGACAAGATACAGAACCTGCAGTGAAAAAAAACATTAGAAATAGAATAAATAAGAGGTCTTCAAAATAACGACGACGAGGGGAGCGGTAACACTGTTAGGTTCCATTATTGGGCCTTTCAGCAAATAATATGATCGGCCTAGTAACTATTTCGAATGCAAATCCTAAGTTAGGAATCGACAGTCATTAATTCCATAAGTCATATTATATTTAAGAGATACCCAAGTTACTGGTAAATGTTTTATGAGATCCATCATTCCCCCAAATCAGTAAATCAATTTATAATTGTGGCTCAAATATAATTATCTGGTTTCTCACTTAGATTCTTCAATTCCACTTCATCCTGAAGACTACTTACTATATGGTGAACATAGTTTATCAGCTGATCTTCCAAAAGTAATCTTGGGTAAGGGTTTAGTAAATATATCAGCTAAGTTATGTTCTGATTTAGTGTAATGTGGGATACATTGACCAGAATGTGTGATTTCTTTTAGGAATTTCTTACGGAATCCAATATGTTTAGAAGTTCCATGTTCTTCAGATCCACAAGCGGTAGCAATAACGCTTTTGTTATCCTCATAAACAACGATAGTGTTCACAGAGTAATTCATATCTTCTAATAACCTTCTTATCCATATTCCCTCACGATACGCTTCCACTATTCCAAATAGTTCAGCCTCAAAAGTAGATGTGGATGAAGACTTTTGTTTCCTAGAACACCATGAGATTGGTGTCTTGTTCCAAGTGAACACATATCCATATTGGCTTAGTCTTTGATTCATGGTACCGTACGAGTAACCAAGAACTTCTGCTTTATTCCATTCACATTTGTTAAATGTTAAAGATTTGTTGAGAGTTCCTTTTATATAACGGAGGACTCTCTTTAGGATCCTTTGATCATTAATCGTTGGTTTAGATGCTTTTGCACCTAATTTTGAAATACCATAACACATCTCTGGTCGAGTATACGAGCTTGCCCATGGCAGAGCGCCAATAGTTGACCAGTAATTTTCATGTTCCTTTTCAGAACGTGCTTCGAAATGGTCTTCATCCTTAGGAATGGGTATCTTTACCATGAAGATGGGTAGATATTTGCATTCTTCTAAATTTTTTCCCCTTAAGATGTCTTAGATAACTTTCCTGGTTTGATTTTATCAATTCATCACTTATTTCAAATACCATGTCCAAAGACTTCTTTATTTCCCGCAAACAGTTAATTTCCCATTGAGATTCCATATTTGATATCAGTTTATCTCTTAATGAGAGATTGTTAGTAGCAATTAAGAAGTCATCAACATATGATAGGCAAATAATGATGTCTTTTCCAATTGTCTTGTGGTATAAGTTTTCATCTGCAGAGTTAGGGGTAAATCCCTGCTTCGTCATAAAGTTCCTGACTAGTTTAATCCATTCTATATTGGATCGTTTTAGTCCATAGACAGTTTTCTTTAGTTTCCACAATGTCCCTTCTCTCTGTCCTATAATATTTAGGCGTAAGGGTTCTGGTTTAACTATAATATTTTTGTCTATGTTACAATTTAGGAAAGCAGTGGATACATCATATTGAAGGTTGTTTAGATTTAGGGTGTATGTGAGGGCTATAAAAATCCTCAATGTTTCCAGTATTGATACAGAGGAAGATATGTCCAGTGGATCGAAATCTTCACCTGCTACCTGTCTAAAACCTTGGCATACGAACCTCGCTTTGTACTTGACAATATTGGCAGATTAATCAGTTTTAGTAGATAGTAGGGTCCTTATTGGGATTACTTTGACACCTTTGGGTCCATCATATATTTCATAAACACCTTTCTTTATGAACGATTCATGTTCTGAATGGATATCTTTAATGTGGTCTTCTTTATTGTCACCATTTATTAGTGATCTGATTTCTACAGCAGGATTTGCCAATAGTCCAATGACTTTGTCGGATTTCCTTTTGTTTTCAATAGTTTTACTTTCGACTACATAGTCCATTATCCTAGCAGATGGTTTTAAAATCCTTCCTCTTGATGATTTCTTTATACCTGGTTGGATGACTGTCACTTCATTGTTCTTAAGCATGTCTTCTAATTCATCTCTTTCTTCATTGCTTTGGTTTTTATCTTCTCTGATTGGGTTTTTCTTTTTCAGAGTTCTTTTGGTTGGTTTTGTAAAGCTTTTGGTGGATACTTTCTTTAGTTTCGTTTTGATGGGTATGTCATCAGATCCATTTGCTGTTGTTGGTTCAACTTTATTGGTTTGATTTAAGTTATTTTTTTCTTTCCCCACAACCAAAATCGGTTGATGCATGTTGTCAAGACCATCAGGTGTAAATGATTGGTTGTTACTTTTGGGTTCAGATATATCTATAGGTAAGTTATCATCAATGTGTGAATTCTCTATTGTTAGATCATGAGTCGAAGCAGATGTTTGTTGCTCAGGAGATGACTCATGGAGTACCGGGTTACTCTCAGATTCTGGGTAATCAGGTTGACCGGAGACAATGGAAGCATGCTCTACCTCTAATAATAATTGACGGATATAATGGTAGGAACCTAGTGGTGTAATATCATTTGCTAAGTACGGTGAGAAATTTAGGTCTCCTTTGTCCATAACATAATAAGTATTATAATCAGGGCCTCTATTTAGAATAACCACCGACTTCATTGGTAATGGTGTAGTAGATTTATTATAAGTTCCCATAGGTAATTTGAGTATCCCATCGGATCCAAATTTTAAGAGAAAATTGAGGTTGGATTTTTGTCCAAATAGGACTTCATTGGGTGATTTATTCTTACTCTTAGGAGGGATGATGTTAATCAGTGTTGCTGCATGTTGGAGAGCGAAATCATAGAGAACACGTGACTGAGTAGCATTTGTAGGAAGAACTAAACTATTAGCTTTAGTCTTTATTAAGTGGTTAGTTTTCTCTACCAAGCCATTCATTTCTGGGGACTAGGATGGTATTTCGCTAGCCGCGATGTCATATTTATTTAACGATATCGTCCAGTTCCTATTGTGGAATTCAGTACCTTGGTCACTGGGAATCTAACAGATCGGTTTGTTAGGAAATTTGGATCTTGGTCTCTTAACGAGTTTCTCAATAACGCCTCTGGTGGTTGAATCAAGTCTGTTTAGTAGCCTGAACAGCCATATGTAACCAGCGAAATAATCTCTTATGTTGAAGAAGTATAGCTCGATATTTCGAATAATTATTGGTCCAAATAAATCCATATGTAAGGGTTCAAAGATCCTTGTTGCGGATGTAGAGAATGCGTATTGTGCAATGACCTCAATGTTTTAGCGACTGCGCATTCTTGACATGTCTCTAGCCTATTAAGGTCCTTTGTAGTAGTCTGCAGTAGTCTGCAGTAGTTTAAAGTTCTGGAATTACTCCAGCCTTGATTAGTTTTTATTGGATAAATAATTAGGGATGGCATATAACTACACGATAATCAATTATGTATTACAGAAGAGAGTTCAACTCCTTCTTCATTGCAGCATTTTCCAATATTGGTTCAAAATTTACATTTGCGATAAATTTGCCTGCATTTGCTTGAAAAGATGCTTGTGTGAAAAATTTAGTGTAATTAAATTCTTTGGATGGATAGATCTTTGCAAATAAATTAATGATTAGAATGTATTTATTGTAAGTGAATAATTGTCCCTCAATTCTATTTTCAAACAGTTATTTGTTTAGTTCATCATCTTCCAGTATAGAGAGTTTACTTGTATTGTAGTAGATTTGACAACATATTCTAATTCATGGAGTACTCAGTCATTAATTTTATGATTCAGATTAGATGTAAGAGATACCTAAGTTACCCGGTAAATGATTCACGAGATTCGTCAAGTAGACTTTTGTAATAGTATAATATATATAAAATATAAGTTTAATGAATATCTGTTAGAGACTTGTATGTCCTATATATGTAAATAGTCACTTATACTGAAGAAATAAATCTACAATTCTTATCCATAAACAGTAGTGAATTGGCTTTCAATGGAACTTCTGTTGCTTTTCATGAAATGACGGGTATTCTCTTCACTCGCGATGGCATCGCCTTTAACCTTTCTCCGATATTAGACGTATCCACAGCGTTCCTTGGCTCCTCATTCCTTGGCTCCGCATTTCTAACGCCTAATAATATCTCAATCCACCCCTGAATCGAGACTTATAATGGCTTATTCCAATTTGATTTCGGATATACCCGGCCTTACATGACAGAGAAGCACCTTATCCATTCTTTCTGCTGTTGATCCGCTTGGCTCTACTCGTCCTTTCATGGTTGATGCCCCTGCTTTCACAACCATTCTTGCGTGGACATTACAGCATTCCACCTCACCAAACAGACTCCGAAGTTTTCTACCACTAAAGACCGCCGACAATTTATCACCGTCGCTTCGCGCTTCTTTCTCCACAACGGTACTCTTTACCGTTTTTCTCAGGGCCTCCCACGACTCGTCGTAACGAACCCGTACCTTATTGCCCTTATTCTCCACTTCCACCATGAAAGTACCCACACCAACCGCACATTCCATCATATCTCAACATTCTACTACATTCCCCATTTACAGCGGTTATTCCAATATCACACCTCCACCTGCCCAACTTGCCAGCGCTTCACTCAATACGGTAAACGTTTACCGCCTCTTTCCATCCTTCTTCCTGAAGGCCCCTTCTACAACGTCGCACTCGACATAGTTTACATGCCTGAATGTGACGGCTACCGCTATCTTCTTCTAGCGCGATGCACCTTCACAAGCTGGCTTGAGGCTCTACCTCGTCCAACCATTAGCGGCGCCGTGATCGCTGCCTTCATTGAGTTTAACTTTCACAGCCGTTATGGTTTTATTCCCCACATCACCACCGATGGTGGCTCCGAATTCAAGAACGACATCATGTCGGCTCTTACCACACATCTCCACATTACACACCGTACAACTGCAGCCTACCACCCCCAGTCAAATGGATTCATTGAAAGCCAACATAAAAGCTTTGTGCACGTCCTCCAACGTCTTCCAGGTCCCTGGTTCAACAACACATCCAATGCGTTGCTGGCGGATCGCTGGACTGTTAAACGCAGCACTGGCTATACTCCAGGTTACCTTGTTTTTGGTTACCATGGTTTTTCATCTCTCGATTCCCTTCTTTACTCTTTCTCGACCTTCGATTTCTTCACGACAGTATCTTCTTATTCTCTTCTATACTATCGTGCTCAACAGTTTTTATTCAGAGAAGCTGCAAGCTCCCAGGCACTGGCTCATCTTTCTAGACATCGTCTTAAAATGAAAGAATACTACGATCTAGTCCACCACACTACTGATCATTCCTTTGCTGTTGGCGACATCGTTCTTGTCGAAGATCAACTTCGCAAGCGCAACATCGGTCGCTCCCGCAAAGCTATTAGTATTTGGTGTGGTCCCTATCGTATATCCAAAGTTCTCAAGCATATATATCAGCTTGAAGAACTTTATGGAACTCGTATCCATCGACATTTTCCTCCTGAGTTCCTCAAAATCTTTCAGAGCCGCCCTGGTTTCCCACCTATTCTTCATTCCGGAGGGGAGGATTCTGTTGGCACTTCCAGCCTATTTTATCTAGACGAATGAAATTGTCAAGTAGTAAGCTTCAGTTTTGATGTCGTTGGTGTCAACAGTTGCCAGTAATGGTTACTTTGCATGTAATAGTGTAGTTATGGATGAGCGTTTCGTAGATCGAGCTGTATCAGGTGAGATTCTTAGCGTAGCGACTTTGGAAAGTGGATCATAGCGCCAATTATAATAGCAGGTAGATTCTTCATCACAGTTGTCTTGGATAAACGGCAATGATTATCCGTAAGGACATCAATGAGACGTGGAATGACTACATGTTTGGAAACATCATCGTTGTCACTATCAGCGTAGTTTGAATCATGTGCTAGACAGATGTAACGAAAATGTTGGTGATAATTGGAGGGGATGCAGTTTGGACGTAGAATCCTTTACATAAAGGAGAAGTGAATTGGTGAACACTTAAAGCTGAATGTAATGAGTTATATGGGAACTACAGGCACAAAGTGTCTCGGTTGAGAAAGTATTGATAAGAAATGGCTTCGTATAGCTGGTATGGTCCAAAGTTTGGCGAAATCACCACTCCATTGGACCTTTTAGCTTGTGATATGACCAGTCTAGTAGACTTGTGTAAAAATATAAAACCTGTCCATCTATCAAATACTTGTTAGAGACTTGTGAGACTGGTTAATGTAATTGGTATTGACATATATATATATATTAAATCAATCTGGTTTCTCTTGATCAGAATCCATCTGGGTAATGTACTCGTAGGTTCTTCTGTGACAGGAATCTGAATGATATATAGGTAGTTGCATGACCGTTTTACGGAATTCTTGGAGGAATGAAGATGTGTTGTTATCATGTCTGTCATTGGGTGCATGATGAGTATGAGTATAATCGTGCACGGGGCTGTATTTTATATTTACACTCAAACATTCTTCTTATATTTTCAATATGACGTCATTTTGATAGAGAAATATTAGCACACTTAAAACACAAATAATACTATGAATGTACAGATAGAAACGAAAAACCACATACATAAACATATCTACATATGCTCTAAAGGATCAATAAAAGGACCAGGAGAAACTCCTTTAATTAATCCAAACTCCTATCTAGCAAGATTGCTATATACATTTTACATAAGGTTTCTTGTCTAAAGAGACGAGAACGAATTACCTCAAATGTTTTACACTAATGATTATTCTAAATATATGTTGCTCAATTCGGTTAGTTATTATAAATTAAGTAGTTTTATTATTATTCTTATTATTACTTTTTATTTTCTTCTTTTTTATATACCGTAACTCCAAGGTTTACCTTAACTGCATATCCTAAGTTGGGGGATATTAGCGTCATCAATTTATCATTCAAGTTCATTTAAATGATCCTAAGTTACCCGGTAAAGAATTTACACGATTTTAGATCACAAACCTTATAATTATATACGATAAATGTCATACAATCCGGGTAAGGTTTTAGATTAACTATATTAATAGATGAAACTTTTCAGAAAAACAAACAGATAAACAAGCTTCTATGGCCAAGTTGGTAAGGCGCCACACTAGTAATGTGGAGATCATCAGTTCGACTCTGGTTGGAAGCATTCTTTTTTACTACTTCTACCTATAAGAAGGTAGAGTATGTCATTCAATATAGGCAAGAACTTAAACTTAGTCTTGGTAAGAGATAACTCTTAAGAATAACCTTCAATCTCATAATGATTTTTTATTCATAAATTTCACATATGCCATCAGAGAACAACTATTTTAAATGAATTCGTTGTGTAAGGAACTGAAAATTGTTTTTAGATAACGTAATTTTATAATTTTCATTTATATTATTATTATTATTATTATTATTTAGAATAGTATATATATTTAAAAAGGGGGTATTAAAATTACAATTGTTTAGAGTTCATAAAATCAGGATCTTGTTTTGATTTATTATTAATATGATCTATTTCATTCCAGTGGGAAAAAGTATTATTGTCTTTATATGATTATTGATATTGTCTATGATTCCGAGCTCTCTGTGTCCATAAAGCGCTCCATATCTTCTTCTATTTTTTCTTCATCAGGGTTCACAATTCTCAGTGGAGGTCTATCATCCTTCATATCTGGCAATGAGGTGGTACTAAACCTTTGGTTACCATTATAAATTTGTGGGTCTTCCTCAAAAACAGTAGAAGGATAATGAGGTCTATGCAGTAAATTTGGACCACTATCGACACTTCCACTATTAAAGCTGTCATCATTAATGTTATTTGATGATGATGAATTTGGCAAACCGATGAATTTACTACTTGAATCTGAATCATTCGATAGATGTGTATTATTTCTTGATGGTTTACGCCATTTAGAAGAGACAACTCTCTCTGGAGCTACTACTGGATTTGCATCCACATCACCAAATGAGTAAGGTTGATGTTGCTTGGTCTGTTCTAAGTCGACATTATCATGCTCTCTTCTTCTTCTCCAGTAAAAGAATATAATGATCAATAGAATTATAATTGTACCTGCAACTACACCTACCACTATACCTGCAATAGCACCTCCTGATAAGTTTGAACTTTTCCCCGAAGAAGTACCTTTACCATTTGTAGAAATATCGTCTGGACCAGATGTTGCAACTGAAGACGAAGTAGTCAAAACTGCAGTTCTTGTAACAAAGACGGTTTGTTGAACATTATCTGAGCCAGTAACGACTGATGTTGTAACCATCTGTGTAGTGTAACGAATCGACGTGAAAATAGTTGAGAGTGCAGTGGATGAAGATGATTTCGAAGAGGATGATCTTGAAGAGGTTGATCTTGAATAGGAAGATCTTGAGGAAGAAGTAACGGTTGCACTAGAAGCAGACTTGGTCGATTTCGAGGTAGTAGTTTCTTCCAATTCTGTTGATTCAGCATAAGATGGATCACTAGTAGACAGTATTATAGATGTCGTTGACGATTGCGCAGTCAATATGCCTATACTAGAATCCATTGAATCCAGATTACTTGGGAATGGTGAATAAATTGATGAAGAAGTCGACCTGGAAGAGGTGGTGGTTGTCGAAGATGAAGAACTTGAACTGATTGCAACAGAAGAACCTCCATCTAGAGAGGGGTCTACATAAACATCCATATAATTTTGACCACCGCATGTCTGGAATGGCCAACCATTACAACTGACAGTACATTGGGAAGAATCTGATGATAGAGAGTCTAGAATTGAAGTGGAGTCACCACAAAAACACTCACCACCATTTAGAAGAGCCACCAAAGGGAAACCAGAACATTGTTGCTGACAATACGATACTGATTGATATTCATAAGTTCCCTTTGAAGTCAAACCGGAAGATTCCAAACTGGTAGAAGAATAACAACCCTTATATGAGTATGCAGCTGATACTAATGATAAAAACCATAGATGTATAACCAGAGGTACCAACATTGCTGATTTAAAGGCTATAATCAGCTAATTACAGTATTGTATGTATATGTGTAAATTAACAGGATGCCACTAAAAATAAAACAGAAAACAAAAATAGGAAGAGGAGAAGGTAGATGGAATAGAAACAAACTAACGAACTATTTATTTAATTTTTTTTATTTAAAAAAATATGATATTATTGTGTGTACCACAGCATTAACAACCTCACTTAACTTGCAATAAACTTATATGTGAATATAATATGTATATATTGAATTTGGTCAAACTCAACCAGCTGAAGTTGACAAATAAATAGGTAAATATACGAGAAAGTCCCTGGTGAACTGAAATAAAGACTATATTACTCCAAAACACTTTATGCTCTTTAAATTTATATATATTTGCTAATTCTATATATATATAGTGGAATATTCAATTAATTGTAACTTAGTCGAATCAAAACTCCCAGAATACTCAATGCAATCGAATGAAACAAATCTAAGAATATTTATTATTTAAAACTCGAAATCGAAAACAAAATAATAGATTCGAATCGAAACAAACACCAAAAATTTTCTTGTTCTAAGTATCTCTGTTCAACAAACACAACCGTAATGATAAACAAACAAACAAACTTAAAAAGGACTCCCTTCTAACCATTTTTGCATCCTCAAACAAACGACTGGACAAACTCCATCACCATGTTAAAAATTGTATCATGTTAAAATTTACATCAAAGAGAACAACAGCGAAAAAGAAATAAAAAGAAAAAACGTAGTGTCTTTCTCAGAAGTCGAGGCAGAGACCGAGTTTTACGAATTGCGAAAGAGAAGGAAAAAGATTGTGGCCGAAACAAATCCGCAGTGCCGGGGTAGGCAAGGCCGGGCATTATCCGGACAAGGAAAAAATAAAATTTTGGAAGCCAGATATGTAAGTCGCTACACACGAAAGTCATGTGATTGAGAGAATGGTGGATGAGGTTCAAGACCTGGGTTACGTGGGGTTTATAACGTCATTTTGGTTTATGACGTATGACATCCAATATATTTAAACAGATTAAGTGTTAGTTTTCTCCCTCTTAGGATGAAGAATAACATACAAATAATTAATTTTAACTATTAGACGTGCTTTGATATATTTTTGATTATAGTATCATTTTCAGTTAAGATCTCTCATCATCTGAATGATTTGATTATTTACGTTTCCATTAATGCACATCGTATAAACGTATAATCTGGACTTGCATGTCAGCTGATGTACAGGTAAGAACTGCATCGATTACCCGCCTTCCAGTATAGCCAAGATCACCTAAAAAGAGACAGCCTCCCCCTCCCATCAGGAAAAAGGACTACAAGGGTGACCAAACCTCTTGCTCATTTATTGACCATCCATTTCACCAAGTTATTAATTAGAAAAGTCAACTATGAGTATGAATTGCTTCAAATTCTGCTTTACCGTGCACAGCTCTAACTACGGTAGTGAGGTTTCATAGCTAAAGGAATTGGCTGAAAAGGCTGCGGTGTGACTTATGGTGATGATGAGATAACCAAACCATTCAAAGCCAGAAACTCAAGCAACTGTTTTATGATCGTTTCCAACGCGAAATAAGTTCTGGGGAGTTTACTTTTCACTTACTGTATGATTTGATTCGGTTTAGCCTGGATTCGGTGTAGCTGAGAATTGTGATTTCGAAGTGAAAAAATTATTCGCGATGAGGTAACTTTTGGAATAGCTAGAATTATAATGATGATAACGCTAATGATAACAATGGTGGTAGTGTAGTTCAATTTTTACTTATTTAGTGCTTAAATTATTTTAGATGTTCTCTTATTCATGTTCTCATTCTTATGGTGCTTCTAATGAGGTCGAGAGAAACTGAAGCATAGTACAAAGGACATATATCTAATATATAGTGTGGTTTATAATGTCAAAGTCTAATTCTAGTGGTAAAGTTAGTGGGAATTCTTTAAAAGCTTTAGACAAGAAAATTGCCAAGAGAAGACAAGTTTACAGACCTATTCTAGACAATCCTTATACTAATGAAGGGAAACTATGGCCTATCGTAGAGGATCAACATATTGTATGGGAATTATTGCAATCTACTATTCTTTCTAAATGTAAAAATTTAACAATTGATGATGAATGGCCATGGGATATATCCTATTCATTTAATGATATAGTTTCAATCTTAAGTGGAACCGATGAAAGTAATAGCCCTGTTCTATTATTTGTTTGTAATAAAGATGCTGGAGTTCCCTCTGTCCTATTACAGCAAGTACCCTTATTATGCTATACTTCAAAGGTCAAAGTTACACTAGTCCAATTACCAAGAAATTCTTTACAGGTTATATTGGATTCCTTGCCAATCGATAATTTCGATGGCATGTTATTACTTAAATGTAACTCAAAAATTAATTCAAATTTCACAGATTTGATTCTTTCAAAAGTAGCGCCTTTGAACTTCCCATGGTTAGACAATTTGAAATATGAACCTTCAAATATAAAATATTTAAATACTTCGATGCCTATCGTTTCAAAAAATGATAACAAGAACAAGAACAAGAAGAAGAAAGACGAAAAGACGTCAAACAAAAGTAATTGAAATATTTTGATTCAATTATTTTGTTATTTTTAAAGGTAAAGTACCTTCCTTATTTAGCATTACACTCATAGCATATTCATCTCAAATTTATGTTTTTATATAAAAATAAATTAAATAACAATGATATTTAATAAACATATGGAATAATCTTATATGGAACTTTCTTCTCATACTCTTCCCAGCTCTTCTGGTATTTTTCTCTACATTTATGTTCATCCCTTTGTTGACGGTGTAACAACAATGTTAAGAAATATAATGAATAATAGTATGTCAATGGTGTTTGCATCCATGTTGTTAAACACCAACTTACTGAAATAATCCAATCACCGAAATAATTCATATGTTGAGACTTTGCCCACCAACCATCACATAGTAGTTTGGTTCCACGTTTGGTTTGAATACTATCTAAATGTGGCAACTTACCTTGTCTGAAATCGGACTTTTGTTTATTGGCTGAATGGAATATCCAGTAACCTAGCGCCATCATAAATACAATAAACCCAAATCTATATTTACCCAATTCAATTGGAGATACACTCAAGTAACGAGCTTGTAAAGAGTAAGTAAATGGAACCAAAGTTAAATCACCAAATGCTAACATGAAACCAAATCCATCAGTAGTGATATCCATCATTGTCAAGACACCTTCTTCGTTTAAAACACCGTCAAAAATATAAAAGGCCTGTAACAAGTTTACTAATAGTAAAGCATCATTGATTCTACCATGCTCCAAGTAGAAATGATGTAACATGAAAGATTAATTTCTAACCATAGCAACATAACTGGTCTCAATTCAGAAAAATCTTTAAATCAACTGGGCCAATTCTAGGAATTTATTCTCTACCAATAACCAGTTCATAGATTGGATTACCAGAATTTCCCCCTAGGGTTAAAATTTTTTCATTATTGCCTTTTACCATTCTTTTTTAACAATGGAATAAAACTTGCAATATAACAGTAGGTTGACAAAGCAACGGAAAATAAAATTGTAATAATACAAATATCAACATGATTTTCGTATAGGAATTGTAATTCTGGCATTTCCCCATCGGTCAAAGCCCATCTAAAAGCTAGTACAAGAACAAAAGCGGTTGAAACAGCAATACCATTGATTTTATAAGGCAATTTTGTACCGTCCCTTAATTCTACACCATGCATATTTCTACCTGGTAAGATTGTGTCAAAAACAGCCAAAACAATATACCAAGTAATATAATAAGTCCATAAATCAGATCTTGTCAAATAATATTTCAATGGTTTAATACCATTCCATAATTCTACAATATCAAAATTTGAAAACAATCCAACAATATAATAATCAGGTCTAATCATCTGATTTAAAATAATTGTGAAAATTGGTAAACCAAATGCAATTGCTAACGCACCAACATACCCCCCAAATTCGAACTCTTTGGTTCTTGGATTTAAACTTGATCCCATGATTAAATGAATAAATTGAAACAACCTTATATCTGCTATACTTTGTTAACAGTTAACAACTTAATCGACCTTAACTTAACTAACGAACAATTGAGAAATTGCAAAATGTTTTAATTAATTTGATAAGAACTCGAAATTAACCTAATGTAAATAATTGATTAAAATTAACACTTTCATCCAATACCTCACCTACCATAACTAATAAATCAAAACTAAGTATTTACCTTGCCCATCGAATAGAACTAATTTACCATAACCATAATATATATGTAACATGCTGATAACTAAGCCGGGAAATTGTCAAATTGAATAAATTTTCATCGTTTAAGGAACCAGCTGAACCTCAACGAGCTGGAAAAAAAAACCCAACTGCAGTTATAGAGGTCGGCAACAGACAGGTTAAGCAACTGTGAATAGGTAGTTTATCGAAGGAGATGAGGGCAATGTGATGAAGAATGAATTTGATGTCAATGAACGGTTATTGGAACGACATGCTTTAATTCTGTCTGTGCTCTAATTTGTCTGAAATGTTTCACTGAGAGTAGCAGTTAGGATAATCATAATCATAATCTTAATCATAATAATGCTAGACAAGACAACAAATATATTACTATTTTCAATAATGATATAAATTAATTATTAAAAATATTTTTAACTTATGGGGATAAATGTAGTTGGAAGAGTGATAATGTGGGGAAAAGAGATAATGGTTTCGGTATGGGAGGAAGACTCAACAGTAGCTAGAGGATGAACTGATCTCTTTTTTGAAGCATTCCAAGATTGCAAAATTTACAAAGAGTAATATTTTGTTTATAATTTCAGGTACTGGATAATCATCTATACATATTCCGAAAGTTGGCATTGAATATATTGAAGATGGTTCATTATTAATGTTTTGATCTTGCGATATAATACTATTCCCGAATATTAATATACCATTTGTAGAATCTAGCCAAATGCCATAACCTATTAAGTTTAAAAACTTTTTATCATTTATATGAGTATCACTTAGATTTTTTAAAGACATTGTAAAATTATCTATTGAGAATGAATTCGATTGTTTAAATATGAAATGATTATCCCAGAATCGCTTCTTCAATTTACTATGTAATATTCTAATTGAAGCTCTACAACAAACATTATCTTCTCTTATCAATCTTATCCATTGTAACCATTTTATTGTTAAATCTCTGAATATTATATCAACATACGATTCTATTATTTTGTATAAATTAACATAGAGATCAACAATTTGACCAACTTTGAACTTATCCAGGACAGTGGTAAAGCATTTTAAATGCGCATTAATCAGTTTATAAGTATGCAAAGATTGGGTTGTCTTATTGAAAAGTATTACCTTTGGAAATATTGTAAGATGTAAATAGGGTTCTTCATCGATAACTGTACTCATTGTTGCTTCTGTGGCTGCGACCACTGAATGACTTGTTCCTGCAGTGGTGCTCAAAATAGTAATACCTTCCAAGCCAGATTCATTTATGGAACTAAGATGTCTATTATTTTTGACATCCGAATCCCAAGAATGTGAAGGATCTTCTAAAATTTGAAAATATCTTTGTAGATCAAATTCCGAATTGTTCTTCTTCAAATAACAATCCTTAAAAAATTGAAAAGACTGTAATGGTATATCTTTACAATCATTTGACAAAATGGCTTTATCCATTGAATATAGCACAAAGCAGTAATTCAAATTTGAAGGTAGTTTTAGACCTGAACTCTTCTGTATGAATTCAATTGGAGGTAATTTGAACATAATTGTACTGTCAATATTACCAGAAATATTATTAACTCCAAAATTATCATCAATATCTGTTCCTGTAGATATCAGCAATGGAGCTCTTGACTGAGGGATGATCTTAATTTGATCCAATTTTTTCTTTTCCTGAGATGGAACCTTAGTCATAACTCGATTTATAACTACTTTTGATGTACCTGAATACCTGCTACTTATTAAAAATCAATCCAATTCAAACAACAAAAACCAAAGATCTTTTGTTTACCAGACCACTTTCCCCTCATAAAAGAAGGATACGATTGGCACGGATACGTCCACGAACACAGACCACACTCACACTAAACTAGCCGCCAAATTCCTGACCAATCTTAGACACTTGAAATCTACGTTCAAATATGAACAAGTGAAAGAAAGATCAAATCAAATATATCTTTAAATCTATCGCTTCTTTTATACCTGTCTCCCCTAAATTATCTGCCGCTGACAATCGATGATCGTGATAGATGATAAGATAAGTCATGTGACATGAAGGAGGGTAATTGCCAAATATGCTTAAGGATGGTTAAGGCTGGACATGTCAAAGATAGGTATTAAGATGATATTTATCTACATACATACCGGGAAAGCTTTACAATTATATTAAATATACATAGAATTATCTACAGAAACTGCATTTTACAAGTTGTTCTAGCCATATGGATACTTTCAACTTGCAATGATCTATTTTTACACCTTACAATCAATTAATGACATTTTGTCTATGAGAAATAGGGCACCAACACTACATAAATGACTATTACAATTGATAATAGTATACTGTAATATTATATCAATATGTTATAAATATGGCCCTTTGCGATTTGGTTATCTTGTACTTTTACTTTTGGATGGATGCGTCAATCTTAACAGTGGTTTTTTCTTTCACGTGACTTAAGATATACAAATGAATTTTATTGAATTTATTTCGAATTTAGCCAGTTCAATATAAAACGAACACCTTCATGGTCAAACCTTTAATAAAATACAGTGATTAATCAACTCACCAATTCTGGGCTATCAATTGTGGAAATCTATGCGATTAGAGCTATATACTGCTTGTACTATATCAACCATTTAAAAAGAGGTAAGAATGAATGAAGCTTATATAGATAGATTGACAAAGATTAAAGAATCTTTGTTAGATGAATTACAGCGTTTATCAAGAGATTCTAAAGAGTTGGAAGAAGAACATGATCTGTCTGTCCAGACAGACCATGTTGCTGCTATTATTGTCGATTTTGAAGATTTACTATCGTGTTCAATTGTCAATATAAATCAATTTTATAAAGGTTTCCGTGTGGAATGGATCAAAAGTTTAGATATAAACCAATGTGATACTTTACGTATTATGGAACTAGAAGAATCAGTACAAAATAAAGATTTAATTTTAGCTGAATACGATTTACTTCTGGGATTAGTGGATTGGTTTTCTGAATTCAAAAATAACTTGAATATAATAATTAAACAACGTCATATAAAAAATATACAACAAATTGATAGCAAAAGGGATAGAGCTATAGAATTACATTTAATCAGTGAAACTAGTGGTTCTGAAACCCAGGATGAAGGTACTGAAGATGGAGGTTCAAGAAAAAAGAGAAGCTGGTCATTCACAGATAAAGGAGCCACAAGTAAAGATAAATTATTAAAGAGCACAAAGAAACTAACAGGAAGTCTGATCAGGGGTAACCAAATACTACAATCTAGTATCCTACAGAGTGATTTAAATCTTGATGAATTAAAATTACAAACTGATATGCTAACCCAAATGAATAATAAATATAGTCAATTTGAAACTATTTTTAACAAAACTTCACAATTAGTGAAGAGCTTAGAAAGAGCTTCGAAACAAGAAAAAAGGGACGTATATTTCTCGTTAGGATTTCTTGTGGTTTGCATCTCTTGGGTTCTATGGAGGAGAATATTTAAATTACCTGTTAAATTAGGTATATGGCTGCTGTTCAACTTTTTCAAATCAATCTTAGTAAGCATCGGATTAGTACAAAAACTCACAAATGCAAGCACCACAACTACAACAGAAATAAGCATAGCTACAAATACATTGACAAGCACAACAATCCAGACAGCAATAAAATCAGTTGAAAATGCTGTCGATGAAGCTATGCAAAGAATAATGTCACATGATGAACTTTAAAATTATAAAAGTAATTAGTATAAATAACGTGTTGTAGTTACACCAATATATAAGTACATCCCACATCAACCATGATTTATAAACAATCCAGTAAAGAAATAAAATTCAAATTGATTAAGTTTGAATCAATGGTTTAACTTCTCTTATCTTGTTGCTAGGTATGCTTTAAACCTTAATCTCCATTACATTTGACATCAACCGTTGTAAATGACCTCATCTCGAAAAATTTTTGTTAAGCGATGAGATGAGCTTTTAACCATTGCACCAACTATAACAAACTGAATAGAACTAGATATAATAAAGATTAAGATTTTGAATTACATATTTATTGTACTTTTTTCTGCGATAAGAGTCCACTTAACTATAATCAAGTGGCTTTAACCAATAAATTCAAACGAAATGGCACCTGTGACTAGTAAACAAAATAAGAACAAAAAACGTGCTAATAGAATTGAAGATTCTTCAGAATCAATTTCTAAGAAAGCTAAGATATCTATCGAATCTTCTGATGAAGAAGATCAATTAGATCAAGTATCTTCTTCTGGTAGTGACGATGATTTGGACGAGATCATGTCTTCTGATGATGACGAAGTTGAGAAAGACGATGTCGAAGAAGACGATGACGAAGAAGAAGAAGAAGAAGAAGGTGATGAGGACAAGCCATCCAAAGAAGCTGGTTCCTCTGAATCATCAAACAATCACGGTGAACAAAGAAAGTTGTTGAAAGAAAGAAAAATGCAAAGAAAGGCAGGTGCTGAAGTTCAACATATTAAATCTTTATGGGAAAGATTGCGTGTTAAGAACCCACCTGTTCCAAAAGAAGTTAGAGAAAAATTATCTAATGAAATTTGGAGTTTATCTGAAGATTGTATCAGTGATTTAGTCTTAAAACATGATGCTTCGCGTGTTGTCCAAACTTTAGTCAAATACTCTTCTAAAAGTCGTCGTGACCAAATAGTCGAAGCTTTAAAAGGTAAGTTTTACCATCTATCCACTTCTGCTTATGGTAAATATTTGTTAGTTAAATTATTGCATTATGGCTCTAGAAATTCAAGACAATTGATCATTGATGAATTACATGGCTCCTTGAGAAAGTTAATGAGACATCGTGAAGGTGCTTATGTTGTAGAAGATTTATTTGTTCTATATTCTACTCATGAGCAAAGACAACAAATGATTAGAGAATTCTGGGGTTCAGAATATGCTGTTTTCAGAGAATCACACAATGGTTTGAGTATCGAAGCAGTTTGTGAAAGTAGTGTTGAAAAAAGAAACATCATTGCTAGGAACTTGATTGGTACTATCACTGCATCTGTTGAAAAGGGTTCAGCTGGTTTCCAAATCCTACATTCTGCCATGAAAGAATATGTCAAAATCGCCAACGAAAAAGAAATTTCTGAATTCATTGAATTAATCCATGAACAATTTGCCGAATTAGTACACACCCCAGAAGGTGCTGATGTTGCTTGTACTTTAATTGCAAAGGCAAATGCTAAGGAAAGAAAACAAATTTTGAAAACTTTGAAAAACCACGTAGAAAGCTTGATTAAAAATGAATACGGTAATCTAGTATTTACAACTGCATTGTTATGCATCGATGATACTGTTCTGGTATTCAAAACCTTCGGCTCTGCTGCTAAGGAACATTTCACAGAATTTATCGTCGATAAGTATGGTAGAAGACCGTGGTTATACATTTTATTAGGTTTAAGCGGTAAATATTTCTCTCCAATTGTTAAGAAAGATTTAGATAGATATATCAAGATGTCAGAAGCCACTTCCAAAAAGCCTGCATTACAAAGAAGACATGAATTATTGAAGAAATTTGCCCCAATTTATTTGAGTGAAATTTCTAAAAATTACTCTGACATTTTAGCAGAAAACCTTGGTAGTCAATTTGTTTCAGAAGTTTTATTAAGTGATGAACTATTTGAACAATTGAGTGAACAAGATGTTCCTAACTTTGAAAATGTCATTAATAGTATAATAACCGCATTTAAAGGTGATATCAGTGAAGAAGACCATCCAGTGCACAGACCATTTTCTGGTAGATTACTAAAAGGTTTGATCCAAGGTGGTCATTGGAACAACAAAGAAAAGAAAATTGTAAAACTTGAAAAAGTTCAAGGGTTAGGTGCTGTTTTTGCAGAAAGATTTTATGATGATATTATAGATTCAACTAATTTACTTGAATGGTGTAATAATCAAGACAGTTCTTTCATTATCGTGGCATTATATGAAACCTTAAAAGGAACCCCAGAAGGTAAACAATTTGTAAAAGACTTATCCAAAGTTAAGAAGGATATCGATACTTCAAATGAAAACAATAAGGGTGCTAACCTATTGTTAAAATTATTGAATTAATATCATCTACCTTGAATAAAACATTTACTTATAAATATAATTAAATCAGAAACTCATTTTGTATACTAAATAATCGATAAATTATAATTCGAAGACATATATTTGACCCTCTTCTCTCACTCATTAAACCATTTTACCTCTAAGATTGTACTCTTGATGTTAAAATTATCATGCTGTTGCAATATGCCAACATTTTCTAAAAGATGCGGTCCTCGAAAGCGACAAGGAAGGGAATAAGTTCAGTGTAGTACAATATACTGAAATAGGGTCAATATATTAGTATATTGAGTAATGAAATAAAATCTCTTAACAATTAACATCCAGACTTTCGTACCTTTCTTGAATAGAAATATAAGGCAGTTAAATTAAATAGTTTTTATTTAGCTATAGATATATGTATTGTAATACAGGTGAGAATTAAGTCAAATGCATGTCTGATATTCTTACATGATTCTGGGTCATTTTCATCAACGTGGAGATCCTCTCTATTTATGTCTTGAATAGGAGAGGATGCATTACTTCGTTTATCATTCTCTTGTATAAGAGAACCAAGTTTTCAGTACCTTTATAATATACCATGGTTTTTAAAAAGTTGTAATGAATAATTAGCAAAAATTGATTAATAATTACTATAAAAAGCTGGCTAGGTTTCACCTTTTTCATGCTATCTTCAATTGACTTGCCATCTTAATTAGTGACACAGTTAAAAAACTTGGCCTTCTTTTGGTTCTCGGATCTTATCAATGATTACTCATAATATTTGTCTCTTTATGAACTCAATGATTACAAAATGTACCTCATTGCCAGCATAACATTTCTTATATGAACTTAACCAGCGTCTGATTCATTCATTAGTGACGTATGTGATTGTTACCCGGTACGTCAATGCCCGAAACCTAATATCTTCGAGATAGTCATCTTAAATGAAGAAACAGCCATGTTTAAACTATTTTAAAAGCTTCTACATGATTAAAGATGAGATGCAGATGAGCTGAACTGAGGTCGAGACTAGAGTCAGTCAGAGGGTGTGCTATTTGAATACCAAAATTTGTATATTTTAAGTTTCAATTCACAAGATCTCGGATTCATTTTGATAGATTTATAGTTCCCCTGTTGGTTATGGATCAGGATCACATTGATAGGGCTAATGAAGATATTCCACAAGATATAGAGCCAGTGGAGATCAATGAGGATGTAGAAGTTACCGGAAATGAAGATGGAGAGGAACCCAAGAAAGAGGATACGATTCAAGAAAAAATGAAAGATATTTTTAGTATTGAAAATGGACCTTTTAATATACATCAGCTAATCCACAGTCTGCCCGCTGAGCTAGATTATACAGCATTTGATGCTTATAATCAAAATCTATATCTGGGTTCTACAACTGGCGATCTATTGCATTATTTTGAATTGGAACAAAATAATTATATGCTGGTTTCTCAAACCAAATTTAATTCTGATTTTAATTATCCAATTGATAAATTTCAATTGTTACCTAAAATTGAGAGAGCTTTTATACTATCTAATAATACATTGACCCTATTTCTGCTACCCGAGTTTGCTCCTTCCCCAAATGTCAGCAGCATCCCTAATGTGTCAGATATAAACCTTCGTAGTTATTCGGTTCGATCAAAAACTTATAAAATATACATTTACCTTGATGATAGGATCGAAGAATTAAAGGTATCACAATCGACTATTACACGGGTAAGGAAATATGATTTTAAAATGATAAACAAAGCGATTTCTCTCGACAATATCATCATGTCTTCGAAGTTAAACAATTACGAATTAATCAATGCAAAAAGTTCCGAAGTTATCCCATTGTTTAGAGTCAGTGAAAGTGAGGAACCATTTGAACCTATAATTACCAATTTTGGCACCGAAGACTTTATTGTTGTGTCTGGAGGTATCTCAAAGGAATCGAATTCAATGGTTTTTGCCATTAATTCAAAAGGTGAAATTACCAATGGTACAACGATTTTAGATAAGTATCCGAATAATATCATAGCATCCTATCCTTATGTTGTAACTCAACTCTCTGATTCTGAAATTCAAATATATAAGTTATCACTGGGTGAATCAATAAAGCTTCAAGATATTAAGTTCAATCATAAAGAGCCTAAACTCAATATAGCTAATACGATCAAAGAATTTAGTAATTTTAACACTAGTGAATCCAATAAGGTTAAAGAATCCGTGGTGAACGTGTTAAGTTTAGTTCCATTAGTAGGCGAAAATGATGAATTAAGATTAAGTGCAGAGAAAAGATTTGTAGAACAGAATTTTACTCTAAGAACCTCGTTAACAATGTATGGCAATTGTGGGATATATTTGTTAGCAAAAAATCCGGATATATTAGAATTTGATAAATTCGATGAAGTTGAAATACCTAGAATTAAAGCATACTTAAGAGAGACCCGAAAACATGAATATTCAAAATACGAACAACTTGAAAGAAACTACCTAATAACTTTAAGATTGTTACTAATAATGCTACACTGTGAAAAGATAACAGATAATGAAATTAACAAGTGGTTTAATTCATCTGAGAAGGTGGATTTAAGGATTTTGTTTTACCTTTTTGATTTAAAGATATTCGGAAACGTATGGGTAAATACTGGTCTATTGAAGTTTGTACACAATTTAAAAGCTTTAAAACTCACTCATAAGTGTGACAATTTAAAATTAATGTTGGCTTTGTTAAATAAATCTCTTGGCGAAGGAAACCATGGGGATAGAATAAATGATTACTCGAACATACGAAAGACAATAGATGTCAATTTATTTGAATACATGATAAAAGATGAGGATCCAATAAACGTAGAGATGTTTCCTAAAGTAAGTCTAGAGGAAATTCTGAAAATTACTGAACAGGAGCATGAAAATAATTACGAACTTCTCGAGCTTCTATATGCAAAGTTAAAAAAATATACACATTCAATACTATTAATTAAAAAGACTGGAAATTCTGACGATCTTTTGAGTTTTCTTTCTAATAATCTCGACAATCTTCCTACCGAGTATAAATCAATTTCCATGATTAATGACATTTTGTACATACTAGAATCACCTGAGGTTTCTGAGCCTACTCTACGAAGAGTCTTAAAATTAATGTCATCTGCAAGACTTGACCCAAGAGAATTGATTCCTAAATTAGATCATAATATTGAGGGAAAGATCAAACTAATAGAGTTCCTTGGTCCAGAAAATTCAAATGACAAGAAAATACTAATTTCCTATTACTTATCTAAGCTGCAGAGTACAATAACCGCGAATAATATTTGGGAGCTTATGGGAACTTTTACCTCAGAATATACAAAGGATTTGAATTACTACAAAAGTAGCATAGTTGATTATCTTTTAATCAAACTTAAGCATGAACAGTGCTGTGAAGAAATGTTATCTACATTGGGTAACATTAAGAATCTCTGTCACGACGGTGATTCGGACGCTGCATTGTTATCATTGGTATTGGAAAATCTCCAGACGTTTGATATAGGAAACCTACTATCATTATTAGTATTGTTGCCTGAATTTAAAACTAAATTTAATGAACTTCTGACGAAAGAAAAGATATTTGATTTATTTATGTCGTACAACGATTTTGTTAGCATAGAAACATATTTGACGGCGAAAAACATATCTGAGGTACTTGAACATTACCTTTCTCTATCAAAGGGAATAGAACCCATTACATTAGTAGTCACGTTACTTAAAAGAAATAGAAGTTTACTTAATGACCGTGAAGTTTTAAAAAAAGTATTGAAGGTGATACCAGAAGATTATCCATTTGGGCCCTTGACTAGTTTCCTATTCCCAATATTTAAAGATATCGAAGACAATAAGAGAAGTTTAGAACTTGAGAAAGCGCTGTTAAAAAGTGAAATTTCACTTTACACTGAGCTTTTGTCGAATTTCGATGACGTAAATTGAATATTTTTGCATTTACATATTATATATACATTAGCATTTCATAATCTATAAACTTTTGAAGAATTACTACTATTAACCTATAAGATTTCACAAGGGATATTTTTTGAATCCAATAACAGTTGTAGAGTTGCAATTTCATCTTGATAAGAGTTCATTTTCAAAGATTTCTTTAAAATGACTTTTTCAACTAGATCTGTCGGTATATCAACAGCAGATAGATAGACGCTATTAATCGATTTAAATAATTTTAAATTTTCCAACAAGGAATCATTTAACTTCAAAAAAATATGAACGTTACTTGAATACCTCATCCCACTTACCACTTCTGAATCTTCTCCTATGACACCAGGAGATAAATGGACATGATTTCTATTCATTTTTTTGATCTGTCCTGATTTGAATATCAAAATTGCATTTTGAAGGTTTGTACCGTGAACCAGCCTTTTTGGTAATTGATCCAAAGAGAGTACTGGTTCCAAGACCTCATCACTTGGTTTTACAGTCTTTAAAGAGTGTCCTTGAGTTGCACATATATGTTCTTGGTCGTCTACTATCTTGAGATGGAATCTTTTTTTATCGTTGTTCTCGACAATTCTGTGAAGGTCCTCTAAAGTACATTTATGGGTTTTCAGTCTATTATGCGAGAGGATATCTTTCACTAGGATGTATCCATTACTGTTGATTGATAGTTTTTCCTTTTGGGCACCATGTCTCAACAGATAGGATAGAGCTTTTGAAATTTGGACGTCTCTCTTTTTCAGTAGTTCAGATTGATCTAGAGACATGCTTGTAAGGTACTAGTATACAGAGCGAGAGAGAGAGAGGGAGGGAGAGAGAATATCTACTGACGATGAATAGATCTGTTTGACGTATGTGAAGGAAACCAAATATCCTTTGTACTTCCCAACGCAACTATATAACGAGTACACCTAGATAAATATCCTACGACATCATTCACATAGTGTGTGAGATGGATGATTGAAAAATTTCACATAATTTTTTATTTTTATTATTATTCAATATTTACATGATTACATAACTTTAAAGGAATGGAGCTATCTAAGGGTTCAAGATTTGGAGGCAGCGCCACTTCCACCACAGCAGCCTACACCTCCGTTTGCCTTCAATGTAGTCTTTGCATTTTTAACAGTATCGTTATCACCCAATTCGGTATCCTTATGGATATTCAAGCGATATACATCTTTACCATCTGAAGTAGTTGTAGATTCTTTAATTTTTTTACCTTGGACTAGATTTCTTCTCAAGAAGAGAGCCACGTCTTCCATGAGGGAGATCTGTTGATCCTTTGACAGTTCAGGATTCGGTTTCTCCATACCTTGTCTCATCTTTAGTCTTGCAGCGTTGAGCATAGTGGTATCACCTTGGAAGGCAATACGCGCTGCCCTTAGACCGTGTCTGTAGGCACCCAAAGCTCTCTGAGAAGTACTCATGTTTGTATGGTTGAGTATAATATATATATAAATATAATGGGGATGGGGAGGGGGGAGGAGGGAGAAGGGAACAGTGTCTGTAGAAGTGTTCTATCTTGTTGCAAATCGTATGCTTTCCAAGGTTGAAGCATCTAAATAACCTTAATTTTTCATGGATACTATAGATATACAAGTTCCTTTCCTGCTACACCGTAAAGTTTTCAGTTTTAGCCCAATTCCCACCACACGAAGAAAGAGAACTAGTCACGTGCGGACACCAGCTATCACACCAAACGAAACCACACGTGACAAACCAAATCACATGACCACAAAGCAATCAATCACTTATAACGGGATAAATATACACATTGTCTTTCTCTTTGCCTTTTCCCTTTCTCCTTCCCCTCGTCATCTTTCCCACCCCCTTCACTTCCTGTATCACACAGTTGCGTCTGTTGCTGTTGCTGCTGCTGCTGCTGTTGCGGTCGAAAATGGTTTAACAATCCAAAAAATAAATGATTTAGTTTAGTTTACAGAGAGAGGACTTTTTACTTTACAATGAATGAATGAATGAGAGAAGATGAATTTAGTTTAACTTTAATTCAACTCAATCCAGTTCAATTCAGTTCAATTCAGGTCAAGTCAAGTCCATTCTGGTCAATCCGTCTCAATTCATCTCAATTAAACTTTGGTTCTGCTTTAGATAAAGTAATCCGATAACAGACAAGTTCATATTCTAATACTTTTCATTTCAATTGTATTGCACTGTATTGTATTGAATTCTCTTCTGTCCTATCATTCTATATTTTTTTTAGCAATACCTCTCTGGTACTTTTGGATGATAGCATAAACCAACTAGCATATCTCACAGCTTCTTTTACTTTTTTTTTTCTTTTAGCCTGTTAATTCGTTGTTGCTAGACTTGATCTCTAAGGGTAACATCCCTCATTTAAAACACTATTTCATCGATTTTGATCCTTTGTGTTTGATTCTGGTTGTGTTTTAATACCTTTAACTGTGCTCGTCTCATCCCTTTTACTACAAAGAAACCGCACTTTTCATCCTACATTGTTCTGTCTGCCCCATCTCAAGATATAGTGACTGCTTTAATTTCAACTTTAATTTTTTATTTTTGTTCGTCATATTTAAGAAAGATTTCATATTCACACCAAAACAGTTCTTCCAATCTATTGTTGTGTTCTTTTTTTTTTTTAATTTTTATCAACTTCCCCCCTCACTTCCCCTCTCTTTATTTGTTTTATCAATCAAGAGTTTCTGAGATATTTTTCAAAATCAACTGAAGAAACTACTTTTGCAATTATACAAAACGAAAATATCAATACTAGATACACAACTTCACCTCAAGGGAGATATCACCTACCTATCCACTTATCAAAGAGATATTATATTGAAATAAAAAAAACAACATTAAAGTAAAAATACAATCCAATACAACAAAATAAAAAAGAATAAAAAATATTTAACCCATTATTTATCCTTTTATCTTTTTCGTTGTTGTTCAAATATATATACATACACAAGATAACATAAGCAAAAATGACTTTTGCAGAAGAAGAACTTAATTCAATGTCGAGACCCCTGCTTCCGACAGATGAGGAGCATCTGAATGAGCAGCTCTCAAGACAACAATCATACCAACAGGCTTCGGGCCTGCTCAACACAAAGAGAATAAACCCTCTCTCATCACCAATGAGAAGCACCTCAAATCTTAATATAGCTGCCTCATTACAGCAGAGAGGCCTCGACCAAAGGGAAAAAGCTTTGACAGATACTGACAACTTCATCCAGATGTACAGCAAACAGGCTCGTGGTAACCGCATCTCCGATGATAAGATCAATGAACAGGATTCCCTAGACGAATCCTTGGATGAAGTTTTGGAAGATGAAGAAGAAGTCATAACTTTGGATAGTCTGGATTTAGGTTACAATGGGTTAAATTCAAGCGAAACTCCAGAACCTCTACATATACATCGCCAAAGGCCATCCGAACAACAACAACAATCTTCCAGATACGCAACTCAGTCTGACGGCATTTCCGTAACTACAGCAATGAAACAACGTCAAGAGAGCTGGGCTGAAAGAGGCGCCGCCAAAGTTGTACGAGAAGTAACTAATCCAGAAACAGGCAGTAAATCAAAACAAGTGATATTGAAGGGTATAAAAGATTTCAAATTTGGTGAAGTCCTTGGTGACGGTTCATATTCAACTGTTATGTTGGCTACATCGATAGAAACTAAAAAAAAATACGCCGTAAAAGTATTAAGCAAAGAGTATTTAATCAAACAGAAAAAGGTCAAGTACGTTAATATAGAAAAGAATGCTTTACAAAAATTAAACAACTCAAGAGGTATCGTAAGACTTTTTTTCACTTTCCAAGATGAAGCCAGCTTATATTTCTTATTAGAGTACGCTCCAAATGGTGATTTCCTATCTTTAATAAAAAAATTTGGTTCCATGAATGAAGATTGTGCCTCATATTATTCGGCCCAAATTATCGATGCTATTCATTTCGTACATTCAAGAGGTATTATTCACAGAGATATAAAACCTGAAAATATTCTTTTGGATTCTGAAATGAAGGTTAAATTAACTGATTTTGGTACTGCAAAAATATTGGAGCCTAAATCAAGTTCATCATCGTCAAAACATGAAACATACGATTTATTAACGCGGTCAAAATCGTTTGTTGGTACAGCTGAGTATGTGTCACCTGAATTACTAAATGATTCTTACGCAGATAGTCGTTGTGATATTTGGGCTTTTGGTTGTATCGTTTTTCAAATGATAGCAGGCAAACCTCCTTTTAAAGCAACTAATGAATATTTGACTTTCCAAAAAGTTATGAAGGTTCAATACGCATTCACAGCTGGATTTCCTTTGGTAATTAGAGATTTAGTGAAAAGAATTCTTATAAAGGCACCTGAACAAAGGTTGACGATTTCACAAATTAAAAAACATCACTTTTTATCAGATAGAAATTTCTCAGATGGTTCTGTATGGAATTTAGCTGCTCCTGAATTACAACCTTATCGTGTTAGTGCAAAATCAATGCAACCTGTTCCTGCGTTAAGGGACAACACAGGTGCAAACCCAAAGCGTCCATTATTAGCATTGCAAAAAAGACCAAATTCTCGTGGCGCCAGCCCTTCTACACCTGTTCCTCCAAAAAGTCCTTCTCCAGTTAGTCATTCTACAGAAAAACCAGCCCAGAAAAAAGTTATGGATGAAAGAACAGCACATATTTTAGAAACTGCAAGAAAGGAAATAAGCAATAGAAAAGCAAACTCTTCGAGAACACCTAGTGGAGCCGCGTATGCTGCATCTGCTGCATTAACAAAGAAAGCCGTTACGTCTACTCCACCAAATGGATCAAGAATTAGTTCGGCGTCTTCTGCTTCTAATAATTCCATGAAGAATGCAAATGCATCTGAACCTGTATTAGTTACAAATAGCCCACTTTCTCCTACGATTCCTCGTTCTTCATCCTTAAGATCTATCTCTTCATTATCATCTCATTCTGCTCATGGAAAAGCTAAACAAAGCGAAAAGCCTGCTCATCCTCATAAACTAGATAGCGAATGGTCGTGGCTTTTAGAAAGTAATGATGACCATGTAGTCAAATTTGGAGAAATGATTTTGTCTGTAATGGATACTGCAGTTTTGGAAAAGAAGGTGCACAAAGTTTCAGGTCATATAATAAATCCAAATACATTTGGAGCCCAACGCACCACTCTTTTGTCGCAGGTCGCAAGAAACGGGGGTGGAATTACAGGGTTGAGGTCTGATCCAAATTATGCGATATTAAAAGAAGAAAATTATTATCAGGAAAACCCTATCGACTATGAAAATATTACAAAAGAGTACAAGTATCCTATGACACATAATGCTGCCTTTGCAACAGATGTAGATCCTAATTCTGTCGTATCACATCCAGCTCCTCTAACACCAACAGCATCAAATAATAGTGACGACAGTAGTTTTGGGAAATTCAGGAAATTATTCCATCACAAACCGGATGCTGTAGGGGAAACTGTTTTATGGGATAATGCTTACAAGAGAATGTTTGTTTTAACGACGCATGGTCATTTATTTATTTTAACGAAAAGAAATACACCGAATACAACTGACAATTCTTACTATGATATTTGTTATAAAATCTTTTTATATCAGACTAGCACAAAAGTTAAAGAATTGGTTATCCCTAGTCAAACCGATCCAAATCATAACTCATGTTATGGTGCCGTAGAAACACCATATAAATCATTTGTGTTCAAATATAGAGATCAAGATTCAAAGTCCTGGTTTAATGCATTTAAGAAAAGTATAAAAATTAATCATGAAAGACATGTTGGAAAAGCAAAAAGGGAAGATAATGATGGTATAAGTAATGCAGCAAAAGCAGCTAATATTGCAAGTCCAGTATTACCAAGAGAAAGAACTCCGAAAGCGCTACCCGTATCTCAGCAAAGTCCTGTGTTACATCAGTCACATTTTATTAAGGAAAATAAAACTTCATCTGCACCAATAGTTACCAGTCCAACAGGGAGATCAAGCAGACTTTTTGACTCATTTGTTAGTTCAAGGGATAAGTCAAAGAAATCAGCTGTTCCAGTACCTACATCTAGTAAGTTAACGAATGGCTTACCTTCAAATGTAGAACATACACCTGCTGGTTTAGGATTGACAAGTCTGCAAAGCAAGTTCATATCTTCCTCAGAACCCAGCACAGGACATATAAAAAATAGTAAAGGTTTATTAAAAAAGACTGTAAATGCAAGTAATTCTAGATTTTTGGCTAGAAGTGAAAGGTCATTAAGAAATAAATAGTTGTTAACTATATTTCATAGAATATCGATTTATTTATATGTATATTTTTTATTGTAACAAATTAATACCCTTTTAAATTTTATTGAAGATTTATATTTTTAATTGCTGTTTCTTTTAATATTTATCAATTACATATCAATTACTTTTTTAGATAAGATCATTCCTCTTCAGAACTTTCCTCGTCATCTTCCATTTCTTCTACTTCGATTTTGAAACCGATATCCTCAAAATATTCTTTAATACCTTCTAATTTGCTTGGATGACAACTAATAAATAGATTAGAAAATTGAGGTGTAAATAGTTTAACAAAGTATTCCTTTGTTATCTTTTGAAGATCCTTGGCATTAACTTCTGAAAGTTTCTCTAAATAATAATCTTTGTAATCAGCGCCTCTCTTTTTCAAAAATTGGTTAACATATTTAGTTAATGCTGAAGAATAGTATCCGTTTTCCCTTGAAGCCAACCTATTTATAATGCTACTCATAGAACCATTAATTAATTGTGATTCAAATTCTGTTTCACCATTGGCAAAGCCGTTAATAATCTCCTTACCAGTCTCATAACACTTTATGATATCAGATCCCCTGTAAATAGTGAATGACCATGAATTGATCTCTGTTTCTTCAACCATGTTTGCACCATATGCCAAACCTGAACCACGAATACCCTTCCAGAATGGCCCTTCAACACATTGGAAGTACTCGGAAGCTAATGACACGATTGGATAATCTTGATGGAAATAATTCAAATCGAATGGAATCTTTGTCATTAATGTCAAATATGTTGATTCAGATGGCGGCGTAGTAATAATCCGAGCAATTCCCTTTGGATGAGTACATATAGACGATAAGGTATCCAATGATTTTGGTACTGATGGGATTACAATATTCGAATTCATTGAATCCTTTTGGTAAATAGAGGCCAATTCCTTCCATGGTTCGTAGAAATGATCAGATATCTTTTCGACATCACCTAATACAATATTGTGCATTTTACTAAAATCAGATCTTAATTGATTCCTCATCAATTCCAATTTTGGCAAAACTTTCTTCTCGTATTTACCATCTTCAATATCATTTAATATTGTCTCAATTAATTCTTCAACAAACAAAGGATCTATAGATTTCTTTAAGGATCTGTCGGTATAAATGTTTCTGGAAATAATAGATTCAAGCATAATATCACCTTCTCTTTTCAATTCAACAATAGAATTTAAGAAGTTTTCTAATAGAATCGACACACGCTTTTCATCAAATATCATATCATACAAACAATATTTAATCCATTTTACCGCATCTTTATACTTGTCAGACTTACATCTAATTCTAAAGTCGATCAAATCATGGGTAGAGGCTTGTAACCCAATTGAAATCTGTGAATCGACAGTTTCTGATTTCAACTTGGATACAACGTCTTCATATGGAATTATCGAACCTTCTAATCCCTTCATTGGCATAGAAAATAATTCATTAAAAACATGATAATATGGCAACAACTTAGGATCTTGAATTGATGTTGAACTTAGAAGAGTGTGAATTTCAATAAATTGAGATGGGAAGTATTCTGCATGAATAAAGAATGGGAAGTTTTCTGGCATTGAATTCAATATTTTTTGAGTTAAAGGATCATTTAAGTCATTAAATTCATAGTCCTTCATATTTGTTATACCCTTTGTTTTAATGAAATCTACACTTGAACTTGGATTTTCAATAGAGTATTTTTCAAGGTATTCCGTTGGAATTTCTTTATTATTTGCAGTTTTGGCATCTTCTAACTTTGATGCCAATGCTTTTCTTGCATCTCCCTGATACATAGATTCTCTTTCCTTCATCAAGTTATTCTGCTTTTTTTCTATTTCTTCATACATTAACTTACTTGGTTTACCAATGACAATAACTGGCTTATTATCAATGAATATTTGTTTTAACAAGTCGTTCCATTGCTGTATATCCCATGTCATCAATGTATCAAAATCAGAGATATCTTTTACAGCTTTTTCTAAACTTGCACCCTTGTCATCACCGTAAATAAAATCTGCAATAACCACTTGAGAAAGAATGTTATCACCGTTCTTTTCACATTTTAATATATAATCCCATTTACCATTATCAATCACTTGTTTCATTCGATTCATATCAATTTCGTGATTTTGTAAAACGTCCAAGACCTTATCTCTTGTTTCGTCTAATCTTTCAGTTGGCACACCATGTACACCAATATTGACAATTGTTCTCATAAAATCGTCAGTCCAATAATCAATAGAATTAGCATATGGATCTTCAATTTCTACTAAAAGCTTGTTGAAAGGGGCAATTGCAGTTTCAGTAAAATAATCCATCAATAGGGAAACAGCCAAATCATTCTTGTAATCATGAAAAGATGCACCAATCCAAGACAACAAAATTTCAGCTTGAGATTCATCTAATTCTGGAAAAGTTACTGTGGACTCTGTAGTTTTTTCCCTTTTAGAAGGAATTTGAGATTCTTTGGTATCTAAAAATGGTCTTTTACGAGAATCAGAGTTGAAAGAGGGCAAAGATTGATCCCAAGATTCTACTATTGATAATAACTCATCCTCAGGTACATTACCACTAACAATGACACATAAATTTTCAGGAGAGTATAATTCTTTATGAAATTTACGAATTTCATCATTTGTCAATTGTCTTAAATTTTCAGTTAAACCACCGGTTTCTGATCTATAACCACTACCTTCTGGGAACAATAATCTTTGCTTTTCTAACATTGTTACAAACCAACTTTGGGATTCAATTGCATCCATTTCACTATAGACAACACCTTTGTCACTTAAATCTTCAGGATCAACGTGATAAACTTCAGTTAAACAAGCCTCATCTGTCAATGTTGGGTGTAAAATATGATCCAGGTAGACAGGTAACAAACGTTTGAACCCTTTCCAACCTGCACTAGTCAAGGTGTAAACAGTTTGATCAGTAGCGGTCCAGGCATTTGTAGAAGACATACATAGATTCCCTGCTGTATCTAATAAACCTTTATAAGGGAATTGATGAGAACCCCATAAAGATCAAATGCTCCAAAGTGTGGGGAGTACCTGCATCAATAGGACATTTCATAGCCACTGCAAAATAACCTTGAACTAATGGAGATGACTTATGATTAATATGAACTAATTGCAATTTAGTTCTTGGAGAGATATATTTTGTAATTCTATATTGTGGAGCATACTCCAATTGGAAAGAAACAAGTTTATTGAACGACATAACAATAAATTTGCAACGTTCCTAACTGTCTCACTGACCTTAAGCACCTGAAGTTTAAAAGTCTGCTACTCTAGAAGTTAAAAACTGGTACCTCATCATCTTTTATTTATGTTAGGTTTTTTGTTTCTGAACAAATTTTCTTGTAGGTTCGAAATTAGATATTTGTCCAAAAAGCGACAGATATCATTGAAAGTGACAGCGTCAGTAAACATATGAAAAAGGGCAATGAATGTTGGAATGGGTAGTCTTTGGCCATACGATTTGAATCTAAAAGGTAATGGGTACTGTACTCGTATATTTATTTTGTATTTGTTTCTTTCTATATTGTTGGAAGGTTATTGAAATATACTAAGTTCTTGAAGTGTGGGTGGGAATGACGAAATGCCGTAAAAACACAGCTATGTGACAGAGAAAGAATGTGTGTAGGAGACAAGATGAACAGATTATTATTGATTCTCTTCATTGTTGTGGAGTATACGTAAAGCTCATACCCCAGCTTTAGGGAAGGGAAGAGAGGAGATCAATGGGGGATAGATTGATAGGTGTTAACTATTTCGAGTTGTAACCAAAAATGTCCCAAGACAAAATATATACGAGTACCCATTATTTGTTAGAGATGGAGAATAAAAAGAGAGAGACAAGGTGGAGTTAGTCGGTGGAAATTTATCCGTGTAATATCCGTACTTGTTGTACATCATTTCAACATCTCTGGTTGTTCCTCTCCTCGCACTCTGACTTTACACCTGCTTCTCTGTCAATTGTGTGTGTGAAGTGTGAGTGTGTGCATATACATCAGGAAATGAAGGGGGTTTGGATGGTTGGTTGTGAGCCTCTCTTTGTGCAATCTCTTCTTGGAAAAAAGAAACGCGCCCTCTCGAACAAGAAAAAAAAATAAAAATTAGGACAAATTTATGTTATTTTTTACATCATGACAAATTTCAAAAAGAAATGTGAAAAATTATTGCCAGCAACCAATCAACCAGGAGACCCAACTCTGGAACGCAACTGCAAGCAATCCTTGATAGCAAAAGAATAATTTGGACAAGGAAAAGTTTAATGAAATCGTTTACAATGTGAGTGGATTGGATTGGATTGGATTACAAATTATATTATATCCAATTA